GCTATAGGGCGAATTACACTTTTGGCCCCGATTCCACTTTTCGTCCCTCTGTTCTAAAGTTAACAAAAGTTAACCACTCAAAGTCCATTTTAAACACTTATGGTCCCCACCGGGGCACGTCCGTTACCAAGTAACGAAAAACACTATTTTTGGGCGAAAATTGAAATATTAATTTTTTTGAGGCCTGGAAAATAATTAGAAATTTAAAATAGACTACTTATAAATTTTAGTTAATTTCAATTAATTGGGGTTTTGGGGCGTAAGTCCCTAACCAAGCATCTATATTATTCTCGGTCTAGGGGTGATATCTCTTTCACCAATAAGTCCATCCCGTTAATATTTGTTATATATAAAGGAAAAATTCATGTATATGACCAAATTACCCACAACCTTTTACACCCATTTCTTAATTGTAACCTCAAATTAATCAATTCTGACCACAAAAATCAAATCTTGACGTTTTTTTTTTCAAAAACTTTTATATTCAAAAAATATTATTTGCCGCCGGATTCCTGCGTTGCCTTTTCGATTTTTTTTTTTGTTCCGGTCTATTTATCCGCCCTATATATATATATATATATATATATATATATATATATATATATATATATATATATATATATATATATATATATATATATATATTGGTTGTATGTATGGTCGGAAGTAACGCCTGATGCTACAGTGATGTTACAGGGGTTGAAATTGCAGGTGCGCTTAAGAATGTACTTGCAATAGCTGCCGGGATCGTGGAAGGGCTAAACCTCGGAAATAATTCTATGGCGGCACTTGTTTCGCAAGGTTGCTCTGAAATTAGATGGCTCGCTACAAAAGTTGGTACCTTTAGCAGTTTTTCGATATATAAAAATAAAAATGCATAACAAAAAAAGAATGTTCGGTTCATTCGTTTTAATGATTGATGCTCAGATGGGCGCAAAGTCAACGACATTGACTGGATTATCTGGAAATGGTGACATCATGCTCACGTGTTTCGTAAATCTATCAAGAAACAGAACGGTTGGCGTTCGTCTTGGATCTGGGGAGAAACTCGATGATATACTCAGTTCCATGAATCAGGTCTCTGAATAATCTTTTTCCGTTTTCAGCTTTTAAGTTCAATAATCGATGTCCTAATATGACATCTTTAATTCTTGACATCTTTAACACTTCGGGTTTTTTTTCTTTTTGGTTCTGTACAGGTGGCTGAAGGTGTGTCGACAGCTGGAGCTGTGATTGCGTTGGCACAGAAATATAAAGTGAAAATGCCGGTGTTGACAGCTGTTGCTCGGATTGTGGACAATGAACTCACGCCGACAAAAGCTGTTTTCGAACTCATGAATCTCCCACAGGTTTGGTTTTACGATGATTTTTTTTAATTTTATTATTACTATAGTTACGTGAATTTTTGTATTTTATTAGTAGTTGCTGTTTGCTGATTAGGATAAATATACTGTAGGTTGAAGAAGTTTAAGCAGCAGTTCTTGATGCAAGTACAGGGATCGTGGTCTGAAGAAACATTTCAGTCTGATGAATATATATATATATATATATATATATATATATATATATATATATATATATATGCAGATACAGTTCTTTCTCCACGTTATTAAATATACAGTTTTATGTTCTACAAGAAAGAAACACACAGTACAGCTTAGAATAGAAGGGATATTAGGATTTTTGTTTTTGAGTACGAAATTTTGGGCACAGTCGATTTATGGTGGATGCCATCGCATCGATTCAACTAATATTTTTTTTTGTAACTATTCCATGAATCGCTACAAAAACAAGCAAGGTAAAAAAAGACCATAAGTTTTCTCGTTTCCAAAGTTTATTCGATTCTATAGATCTCTGTTAGCAGTTCAAAGTTTTACAGGGCGGCGGAAAAGGGGACAAGGATCTTGTAATAAAACTTTACGAAAAGCTTATGTAAATGTAAATATATATATGAAATTCATTCTCGTTTGTCCTCCTCGAGATCTTCAACAGCTAGACCGAAGACATGATCTTTCCGATCAACCTTTGAACCCAACTCCCCGGCAGCTATTACTCCTACCCCAGTTAGTGACAAACCCTCTTCATCGTCGTCCCCGGTTTCGTAAGCGTACCTTTCATTTGAAAATAAATAAATAAATGAATCTTTTATGGCGAAGTGGTGATTTTGGTTCATTATAGAGGCTATTAATTAATTACCTGGTAGGGTTATGAGATGGAGACAAGAGGATGCATATGAAGACCAATAAGGTGAAGGAGAGCAAAGTCCAGAAAGCGGTGATTATCCATGCTCTTCGCCACAATTCGCTTAGTGGGTCGCTTGCATTGAAATACAACTGCACAACGCATTAACCACTCATTCTTCAATTCTTTCATCGTGTGTGTGTGTGTGTTTGTGTGTGTGTGAGAGAGAGAAAGGGAGAGAGAAAATACCTCATATCCGATCCAAGCAACGGAAAGCAAAACAGAGACTGCAAGTGCGTTGGTAAACTTTCTGTAAAGCTCAAGCTTGGCCATGCTTCTCCGAATCTATACCCAAAAACCGACACAAGGAGAATATACTTTTGAGAAACAAAAGCAAACGATTTTTTTTTTATTTCACAAATATTCAGGAACATATACAACAGATAGGAAAACTAAAACAATTTCTTTTCAGCACCCAGAAAAATCATTTAGGACAGTATCACAGTCAGTAGGATAGCCAAATCAGTTTTTCTTTTACTGCAACCTTCTTCTAATAAATAAAATCAAACCCGAGTATCCTATTTAATGCAACAATTGAAGGCAAATTAAATATATTGCGGCAAAGTATGAAAATAAACGGAGTGAGAAAGAAAGAAACCATTTCATGATACAAATGACCCTGTTATCTGTGGAACCAATGGTTCCTACATTTCATATGCTTTTTACGGTAATCACCTCGAAAAGTATAAATTCTCAATCTTCCCCAAAACAAAACCTCACACAGTAACAACAAAATAAAATTAAGCAAAAAAAAAATAAACAGGGGCATAAAAATTACCTGAAGCTTCTCCAACGTTTTGGACAAGGACGAAAAGATCCAAACGATAAAAAAAGCATCCAAAAGCGCCACAGGCAGCACCAAATAGAGCCTAGCCTTCCCCGAAAGGTCGTTAATATTCCCCAAATGCTCCACAAGCTCCAATGCCTCAGAAGCCAAAAAATAAACGAATCCAAGAAGTACCACCTTAGCAGTTATCCCTCCAAGTGTAGGCCTAGTCACACCATAACCCATCGAAACCACAAGCAAAAGCAGCCTCGAAAACGTTTTCTTTATCGCACTAAAAGTAACCGCCCAAAGCGTAATCCCAAACGGCCTGCTCCCAGTGGCGTTCAAATTCGCGTACTCAAAGTACCATAATGCCATCTCGCACATACCGAGGCTAATCACAGCTGTAATCTGATAATGCAGCTGTATAATATCTTTCCAATGCTGCACGAATCGAAGAAACCACAAAAGACCGAGAACAAGATAGGCTAACGACATAAGCCCGTAGAAAGTCATCAGTGGAGCCATTTTGCCAGGTAAATAGCCTTCGGGATTTCGCCAAACGGTCCTTCCGGTTATTAAAGTGCCCTTTAATTGTGGATCGCATACCACAAAGTAGAGATAGTACATTCCGGTTTTGTTTATGTAGATTGTTTGGAGCTCCATTTTGGCTTCTTCGCTATTGCCCTCGAACGAGGTTTGTAGTCTTTTGGGCCAGCCTGGATTTTCGGGATCTTCTCGGATAATGACTTCGCCGACTTTGCAGAATCCTTCCTTTGAGAGAGTTGGATTGCAGCATATTGCGTTCGAGTTCATATAAGCTCTTCCGATTTTATCGCTGTCTTTGACTTCGACTATTAGAGCCTCCACCACTCCTGTACTCTGCTGCATCTCGTTCTGCTTTTCGGCGATTTCTTTCGGTCTTTTAAACGTTATGGACTCGAACCTAATCCAAAAACAAGGCATAAGGAGAAAAAAAAAAGTCAAATTTGTGAATTTTATTGACTGTGTAAAGACAATTTGGCTGCATAAGTTCCGAATTTTGATTCCTTCCAACATTTATGACGAATAAAGACAGCGGAATACGTTTAACTATTTCAGTTGGTTGTTTTGACGAATAGAAATAATAGAATAATGAAAACTAATAACGATTCGAGCAAAGATATTTTAGTAAAAAATGAAAGTAAGTACAAACTGAAAAGTATATATGACGTTAATGTTCGATTCCACCTACTCTTGTCCTTTAAGCATAACTCATTAACATAAAAGAAGCATAGTAAGTACAAGAATCTGCCCATAATGGAATCTCCATGTGATGTTAATTGTGTATCATAAAATATGGTCGAATCTTGATAGAAATTCTAATCAACAATTTAAAGTACGGATATGTGTATTCGAAACCCGATATGAATCTATTTATTAAATAAAGTTTTGGAAATTCCATATGAGGCTAATGATTTGTCAAACATTTATTCCAATCCACATGCGCGATACATGAAACTAACAGCAGATTATATGCAGTAATTGCAACTCAATAATGTCATGCAAAATAAAAGAGCAAACATAGAAACTTTCAAAAATTACTCCAAAGGATGAACAATAGAGATTAATGAAAAAAATAAATAATAATTAGCACGAATCAAAAGTAGGTGATTGTAGTGTCGCTTCTACAGACAAAATTGCCCTCGAAGAATCAAAAGCACAATAAATTATAGCCTTGTTTAGCTTTAACGCAACACGTTTTTATAATGCATATTTTCCTGTCGGATTCCTCACTTTTGTCTGCTTATACGCCTCTCCTGATAGCGATATCAAACAATGCTCACTCTACTGAAATTATTTTTTACACACTAAAGTGTCGAAGGTCTCAATTTATGGTAAAACGCGCTTTTTTTTTCCGGAAACAACAAAACTATTGCATACATTATGAGAAAAGGAATCCTACTAATGGAGTCCTCAAACACCACACGAAAAAGGAAAGCACAAACCACACACACACACACACACACACACACACACACACACACAGACCCCATGTTAAATTACCCTGGCAAAGCAACAAACTAAAGATCACGCGGAAATATCAAAACAAAAAACAATTTAGATATTGCATCCTTCCACAATGTAACACTTAAAAACACCTAAAAAATAACAATTGAACAAAAACAGAAAATCAAGTTGATATATATGTTCAATTAGACCAAAAACAGAAAAAAAAAATTTAAAATTAAAAATCATTTTACCTGATGAAGGAATTGCCATTGAGGGGTTTACCATTATCATCAGTGGGCGAAGTTTTCGGGGGTTCGAGATTTTTGGAAGCATAGAGTCCTTCGCTGCCGCCATGGAAAAAGAAGGAATTGAAGCGAGGGTTGAAAGCTTCATTCGTGTACTCATGGATCGATGCTCTAACCCTATTTTCACCCACTGCAGATAATAGCAGCAAAACCCCAAACACTAATCCTATTTTATTTGTGTTCATGGCCAACAGATCACATCGAACGGTTCTCCCGAACAGCATTTCCCTATCTCTATTCTCCGAAATCTCTGCTTGTATGTGTATATACGCGTGTGTGATTATCAAGCAATCGATGAAATCGGTGATTTTGTGTTAGTGTTGAATGCCAAAAATTTGCAGGGGGTGGACGAAGATCTGCAAGCACGAGTTTAGTTAGCTAATCGCACATAGGAATAGAATTCACTAACACTGGTAATAATAATAAGGGGAATTTTTTTTTTTTTTCTTTTCTCTTTCTGAAAAAAAAAATTGTTAAATCAATTATGTAACACGTTACGTCAATAGTTAAGCAATTGATTCAAATATTTGAATAATATTTACTAATTGAAATTGAACTTAATTGATTCAAATTTTACTATTTGATTAAATTAAATATTAAAAGAAAATTCACAATATAGTATTTGTAGTATATAACTTTATTTTAAAGTAAGAAAACTATTAATTGGAATGAGTTATAATTTTTTCTTCTTCTAAATAAACATATTATTCTAATAGAGTTTGACTAGGTAACTAAATCCTAACTAATCTAGGTAACTCAATCATACTAGAATACTAATATTACAAGTGTTCTATAATATAATATTCTCTAACATTGTCGTTTGTTCGGTTGTTTTTAATATCGAAAAATCAGGTGTCGTAGAGTCCGTTGATGGGTAAACTTAAAGTTGGATCCGAAATTGGAAATTTTATATGCATTTTGATTCCGATCTAAATAATATCGAAAAAATAGAAATTGGAATAAAAAATATTATTTCAAAGTAGAAAAATTTCGAATGAAAAAACAGAAATTTGAATAAAAAATATTATTTCAAAGTAGAAAAATTTCCAATGAGAATCAGAGGGAAATCGGAAATAGACTGCAATGGAAGAATTACATAGCTCTTTCAAGTGAATTTATTGTTATTCAGAAGATAACAAAGTTGAAGTTTTGAATTCATCAATTGGAACAATGAACACTAGCTACCTCACAAATAATGCTAATACATCAAATTATTAATCAAAATTGTATCTACTACTAAGTAAATTAATCTCTTGATCAGCAACACAAGCCTCGCACGTGACATCTTCCTCTACTTCAGACCATCTCCTTTTCTTGTGATGCTGATCTCGGGACGTACAGCAAACCGGCGGCTCCAGCAAAACCGGGTTCTTCACCCAAATCATCTTCAGAATGCTATTCAAATTATTGCGGCAAATTCGAAGCCTTCTCCTCAATCCGTTCGTCTTTTTCATGTTCCCCAATAACTTGATGCCCTGTTGCTTGAGTTCTTCGTCCCCACTGAAGAGCAAAACAATGCATGTTACGTACAGAGCGCCCGTGTGGCCGTTTTTCACCGCTTTCTGTAAGTGCATGCACGTTGATTCCAGATTCGTTTTGTTGAAGTAGTCGAGCTGAAAAAGATTTTAAAAAAAGAAAAATTAATTAAATCTTGATTAATTTAAATTAACTAATTCGATAAAGTTCGTTGGTAATTAATTTTTGAAATCAAGAAACTTACAACTGCTTGTCTATACAACGACTCGGGGTTTTCGGATTGTAGGCACGTATTCAAGAACGTTACTTGTTCTTGGCTTATAGGTTTCCATGGTATGATTGGAACCTCGTCTAGCGATACATGTTGATACACGTACATATCTTCGGCAATTTCATTCAACATCTTGCAGCTGTGCCAAAAAAAAATTATGTTTAGAAAAATTAAGTATCTAAGGTATCGAAGACGATAATTACAAGCACAAACACACATCGCTCACGATTATATTAATTGATAATTAATAATCGAAAACTCGATAACCCACATAATATCTGGATTTAAAATTTCAGTTTATAAAGAATTGGTTGAGATCGAAAAAAAATTTAAACATCTAAAATAAAAAAAACAGGGAATAGAAACGAAACGAACGAAAATAAATCAACGGTCGTAAAACCATAATCATGCAAGAACATGTTTCTTGAAGTTAATTATATTAACGTACCTTAATTTGGCATTGAAGATGTCCTTGATGGAAGACGATGCAACTCGGCTTAAAACTTCGGAAACCAATTCATGGGGAATACTATCGAACATACTCGAAACAGCTTTAGTGTTTCTTTTCTTGTTCTTCGGATTTCTTGTCATGGTGTTTATGATTGTTTGGATTAATAATCCTTCAGGCGTGTGATTGATTATAGTTTTTTTCTTTTTTCTCTCTTTTTTTTTTTTTTTTTTGATTTATTATGATAGAAGTTGATGGTGTTTATATAGATGATTCAGAGATAGAGACCTGAACTAGTTAGTAAATAAAATAGTTATTAATTGGTAATTTACCATATATATGCAAATATATATATGGTAGGATTTTGCATGTGTCACAATACTTCCATGTTGGGCACGCCTTAATTATTTATTTTTCTTATTTACTAGAACGAATATATGTACTTACCTTGTTGATTTAGGATTGAAATTTGTGTGCGGTATTTCTTCTTCTTCTTCTAATACTACTATTACTATTTTTTTATTTTTTTTTTGGTATTAAATTACTTGACTTTTATCTATTTAAAAAATAATAAAAGAAATCATTAAAACTCAAAATTGTGACAATAAATTCAATAGATCTAACCTTCGAAGTTCAAAATTCTATTGTTCCAACTATGAGAGAGAGAGAGAGAGAGAGAGAGAGAGAGAGAGAGAGAGAGAGAGAGAGAGAGAGAGAGAGAGAGAGAGAGAGATAAAATTGAACTCAACCAGATAAGAGGGTCGAGAAAACCCTAAATTCAAAGTTAAATAACCTTACTCTTGTGACAAAAATGAAATCCAGAGTACCAAAGAATACCAAGTACAAAGAATCGATTTGCTTCAGAAGTAGGTCTATTACATATCATTAAATGTTTTTTTTTTGTAAACATTACAACATAAAATCGTCTGAAGATGATATATTTTAAACAATTTTCTTCTTTTTTTTTTTACAGAAACTCGTCTAAATTCAGCTTACACCCCGGAAGAAGTTCGATTTATCCGTTGAGCACCCAATCTTGGAGCAGCAGCTTTCCCTCTGCCTCGCCCAACTGATGAGGGCTTGTGCCCAGCTGTAGGTGCAGGAGCTGCAATCGAAGCCCACAGGTCGTCATCTGCCGAACCACTACCTTTTAGATTCATCGCCTTCGATGAAGATTTTGGAACTGGTGCAGCTATTGCTCCCCATGGATCATCTTCCTCTTCGACTACTCTACTCGTTTTCGAGTTCGAATTTCTCGACGTGGATTTAGGGGCAGGATCTGCTACACTACTACCCCACAAGTCACCATCTGTGCTCTTTGGTCTTGAATTCGAAACTGAATCACGTATTTAACTTACTATGAGATCAATTTTTCATAATTAACTATTATAACAATACGAATGAATACCTTGTGGTTTTGGGAGAGAGACGGGTCGTTTTTGAGCTGCTTGGATATTTGCAAGAGCTGCGGATTGTTTTGGGTCCTCGAGTGGTTCGATGTCATCCCAGCCATCTTTGGTGTCACTTTCGAGGTCTCCGTTAATGCCGTTTTCGAGTTCTCCCCATCCGTCAGTTGAAGTAGGGGAAGGAGGTGGAAGTTCATCGCCTAAATCAGTTAAATCTGTCCTAGAAGTTACGCGGACTGGCGTTATACTTGCATCGTTCGTCACTGCAACATAAGAACACCCAAATCAGTTCTGCCAATGCAATCAGAGATAATCACAACTAGTATTATCTCAATGAGTTCTAATGCTCCATAAGGAAAGACGTATACAAATATATAGAATTTTGTGTGTGTGTGTGTGTGAGAGAGAGAGAGAGAGAGGGGCACCAGAGCTGGTGTTGGAGATTGCAGATGCAAGAGGTGCGGTGGTGCTTGATGAAGTTATTGAACTCTGTTCAGAAGGTTTGCCTTTCAGTGTCAAAGAGCTCATTGCCCATCTGCATCATAAAAGTGATATTGACTGTGAGGAACAAATTCCTTCATATAGAAGTATCTAATTTGAAGTACTGAAAAACAAATATTATAAGTAGACGTACCCAAGTAAACTTGCATTTCCAGGTATAGATGAAATTCCTATGCCTGCTGATGTGGCATCTCCTGACGTTGTCTAAAGAAGTAAAAAAAGAAAACAATAAATCCTCAATAAAGATGTAGAATGTATAAAACCTCGTTTTAAATAACTGACGAAGATATAATACCATGTCTGATTTCATATTTCAGACCAGTATATGAATAAAAACAATACTAGTGTAGGGATACATAAAGGCCTCTTCACAAGTTTGAAAAAAATCCGAGAAATCAGAAATAATATAGAAATGACCCCCAGGTAAATCAGAGTATTATGATCTCTTGTAACGTCACTTCGAAACAAAGAATTCCATGTTTCCATAAGAAAAAATGCATGGATCCTATAGTAATTCCAAGACCTCCACAGTTGCACAGAAAAAAGAGACCAGGAGTATAATTTACACACCTTCTCATGGTATTGTTTCACTAAATGCAAAAACTGTTCAACAGCTTCGAATGCTTTTGATCGAACGTCACTGCAGGATAATTTACACACCATAAGGGTGAAAGATAATTTTAATAAATCAATCAATCACAAGAAAGAAAGAACTAATACCTGTCAGGATCTATCGTCAGAACAACAACATTTGGCAAAATTCTAGTTGCAATCTCAGTGGCGTCATAATAAGAACTAGTAGCAGACAAAGCCATAATACCTGACATGGACGAAAGTAGCATTATTGGCTAGAAGTTAGTAGCATACGATGAAAAGGATGATGGGTGAGCATGGTTTTCATTCTTGGTGGAGGAAAATTGTAATAGGAAGTTGTCTCAACTAAACCATTAAGGGAAATATTAGGAAGCTACTAACTGAAAGACATCTCAAAAGACTTCATAGTATGAGATCACATAAAGGATTAAAGCTTTACCAGCCCCTCGGGCAGGAGAGAATGTATCCCGCAATGCTCGAACTGTGAATGCATTTATCAGAACTCTTTTCCTTGTCTGCATGACAGTAAGTTCTTGAGTAGTAGATACTTTCAAAAAAAGATTTGTCTCGGTAAAGACATGGAGTCGTAATAACTTTAAATTTCAAGACAAGCATAATCCGTAAGGAAAATTTGGTACTGACCCCATCATTAAGGTGACTGGCAATATTTCCAAGCAATATGGTGGTGTTTGTGCGAATGGCTGGCTCTTCATCAACCTGACTCACATATGAAAATAGAAATTGGATTCTTACGGAACACTCTGAAACAACATCATAGGGTAAACAGAAGCAAAGTCGGGCAAATGCACAGCAGTTTCAAGTATTGGTTGCTAAACAGACGTAAAGTGCATACCTGTAACTTTGAAAGAAACTTTAACAGTGATCCAGCTATCGTGCGCTGAGAGAGCTGTGACAATTTAAAACAAAAATAAATAAATAAACTATTAAGAGGAAAATAAACTACCAAGAAAATAAAGCAGATAATGTTAGATCAGTCGTCAGAAACTAAACAGCTGGGATGTAATTAGGTGTCTATTTGTGAATCGTGTACTTTAAGAATATCTAAATTTAATTCAACCAGACAAGATCTTTTAGGAGGTGAATTTACCTTAGGAGCCAGGACAAGCATAGATTTCAGCGTCAGTTCTCGTAGAAAAGCAGATGTATCGGAAAACCCGTTAGCGACATGAGGATAAACCTATAACAGAACAGTAATCCATGACTTCCAAAACATTCTAGACAACAAAAGAACAAGTTATGTGCAACATTCATGGAGGATATTACTTTTAAATTATAAACTGTAATGACCATACTAAATCATACTTGTTCATCAACAATTTGTGCCGATAATGACTCGCCATACTGTTCAATATGCTGAAGAAGACCAACACGAATAGCACGGTCATTTGATGCAAAAAGTTTGACAATTGTTGGTAATACCTACAACACAAAACAAAGTTCAACAAAAAATTGTTCAAATTCCATTCATAAAAGTACTGCTCGGGCAAACTGAAGCAACACAAAGTTAACCATACAGATTTAGACAACAGTAACCTTAAGACCATATTCTTCTGCTGAAAGACAAGATCCCATTTTCAGCAATGCAGTTAAAGCAGGTGCAGTAGCTGAACCAAATTCTAAAGCGGATGCCAGTAATGGGAGCAACTGGAACAAGAAAACCCAAAAATTGTAATTCGATGACAGGCATAAGATTGGACTATAAAAATACAAGACAACATGACATACCTTCTTCTGCACTATCTGGAGAGGAAGCTGGTCAGCAATATTTGGAAGCTTGCGGAAAAAATTATCCTTTTCCACACTGTCCTTCAAATTAAGAATTTCCATAAACTGTATGGTCTCTACCAACTTATTCTGAAAATATTCTGTCAATACATCACTGCAAAATTTTAGCTCATGAAGCAAATTTTCACATTTATTAACATGGGAGCTAGCATATTGTCTTCAAATATAAGTGAGGTGATACATTGGTGAACTATGTACGAACGAATTCAAACTAAATTTACATAATAAAAATTTCGCAAACACCTCGAATTTTTTTTATTAAAAATGGCACCAAAAGCTGGTCACAAAAAAAATAAGAGCAACACAAGCACTAGGGTGAAAGAGGAAAGGGAGCAGATAACTTGTCGCCAATAGTTCACCGAGTTTAAACTGTATTAAAAATATAACATATCCAAAATATAAGAATAACAATAACTATGCACCCAATTAAATTATGAAATACGGAAAAACACACAAATCCACCATTGAAGCATCATGTATAAAGGAAATAAATGAGAAACAAAATACTAATTGTTATAAAGCTGTAAATCTGTAGATAACATTTGATGTTTCAACCCCCTATACTTGGATATCAGAAAAAAGAACTTACCGCTATTCTCCAGAATCTTTGATGAATTCAACCTGCGAGAAGGCATAGAACTCAAGAGACGCTGATAATCTTGAAGTAGAGACTGCGAGACATGAAAAAAGATAATTTCTAAATAAAAATGAACTTTATCAAATTAAATGGAAGTTAAAGTAATTACTGTATAGTAAGAGATAAACATTAAAAGAGACATCCTACATCTGAAATAAATTCCCAAATAATAATTGGAACAACAATCTAGACCATTCTGTTGACCTTTCCATTAAGGTGGAAAAGTTGAAAGGAAAGTCTAACCTTCGGTATGCTAGCAGTATTCCGCAACTCCTCTGTTCTGCTCAACTTCAAGCCAGAGAAGAGTTCATAAATTAAGCAGCCTACCAACGAAATGAACAAACAAAAAAAGTTAATAACTCAAAATAAGAATTGTGGTAGAAGATGTGAATTTTTTAAGGAGGAAAATAAGAAAAAGAAAGAAATGAAATCTAGCTGCGAAGCTGAAACAAAAATATGAAAACCCAACTAAGTACTATAAAAAGAGCAATAGCTACCAAAAAGAATGGAACTACACAGGACGAGAACAGATTGAACGCCGACTTAAGTCAACTTAAAAACAATCTACATCACTTTTGTTTTTCATTGAGCATTGGATTTGTATATTATCCTGAATACAAATTGCGTTGAAGGAATCAAATACTGTCTTCATTCACTGTTATAAACAGAATAACAAGCACATCAACCATTGGCCCAGAAAGCATTATCCACCTTCAACAAATATACCCACAAATTTCATAAAAATGCATGCATAAACACTAAATTTATATTAATCAAAGATCAGGTTTCTTTTGCTGATAACCAAGATCACTTTCAGCCTCCCACTCATCCACATAAGATTAGTGTGATCAATCTAAATTCATTCATTAAAAAAAAATTTGGAGAGCTGCATTGCCTATTAAAGTGTCCAAAAATACACACTTACCCAGTCCCCAAGAATCTATAGCCCAAGGTGGAGATTTTCTGATAGCTGACCAGTCAGATTTTGACAACTCCATTGGTTTGTATTGTGAACCAATAAGCCATTCATATTGCTGTGTCAAAATCATGCAAAAGTGATGAAGTAAAATTAGCCATCAGACTATCTACTGCAGTAATTCAGAAAAGAGCAGCAAAAAACAGGTATCTATCTGTTATAAAACAAGCATCGAGTGAGAAAAGGTAACAAGACATTACAGATTGACCTAATCAATCTAACTGAACAACTATCTCTATGATGAACATTCTACAAGGATAAGAACTCGTTTGTTTAAAAGTTGAAAGGATAAGGATTCATTGGTTTAGTTTTAGTTCAATTTCTATTTCTATTTTCTGAAAGATTATTCTTCGATTCATTACTAGAACCAGTTTCACATTTTCAACCCAAAAAACTTCTGTCTGCTTATTTTCTGAAACCCTCTCATGAAAACATATTTAGAAAGCAACAACTACTTTGAGAAGCTACACTAAAAAAATAGAAAAATACAAAGATAGAACCATAATTTCAAATTTAAAGATGCTGATTGCAAATTTTTCACGGGGCAGCAGAGTTTTCATGAAGATTCTACATAGTAGCCTGCAGTTCTACGATTTCTATCCATTCCTAGGGGAATTCAATATCATCTTGGTCCAATAATCACTGAGATGAACTGTGGAAAATGGGGGTCAAAGTGAGAACTCACAAGCATTGGTCCTGTCGAAGCTTCATTATTCCCATCAAACTCGGACAAAACATCAAATGCATGAAGTTTCCAGTCCAAAGTTTGCGTGACAACAACACTAGCCATGCAAACATTACCATGAACCTGCAATACAGAAACTTATCCTCAACTTTTAAGCAGCACCCAATGAATATTATCCTTGTAAAGCAAATCATGCACAACTGGATAGAGTCAGTTCGCTGAAATCTGACCCTCACCCAACCGGCATCTGGAATGTGTGCCCGTCGAGTAAGGTAATCTTACTACAAAGAGAATTACCAATAATTAGATTGAAGATGCATACCAATTTACAATCATTATTCAAGAAGCTCACAGCTTTAGCTATCCGGTGCAGTCCCCATGCATAGTATTCATCCCTGGAATGAGATGAGAATAAACAAACTGAACGTCTACAGTCTAGCAAACAAGATAGAAAACCAAAGAAACATCTAAGATGTTTAAGGTTACGGGTTTTATTAAAAATAAGGTTATGGACTTCTTGTGGCAAACCCTAAAAGATAATGAGATTAAACCCACTCATATAACTCATGTGATAGAACTATAGCAACAAAAAAGTCATCCGACTTACTACGTTGTTCAGATAGCAAACAATAGGAAAGCACATCAACAGCAGATTAAATGCTAGAACAACAGAGGCCAAGAGAATAATTAAAAAATGTACACCTTTGGCTGCCTTCTAAACCCAATTCCTTGATCTTTTCAGCAAGTGGCATAACAGGCTCAGTCACGATGTAGATGGTAACCTTTGTACTATTACCATCCAAAGTTTCTGCCTCAGTACTGTGCAGAAATGACAATATATTTGGATGTCTGACCTGAAAGAAAATAAACACAACCTTCAGCACTAGAGAAACACAGATTAGTGCCTGAGGAACCACATACATATGCTTATTTTCCAGCCTCCAGGACTGGAAACAAATATAAGACATAGCAAAAGAAGCATCATAAATCCAGACATAATGACGGGACAGCAAATCACATAGTACTCTGTGCTGTGGTGTCATAGGCATCGGTCCCCAACCTTAATTAGCCTATATATATCAACGTATATTCTATATTTATTTCACCAATTTGATGCTTCACATCGGCCTTCTCTTTCTGAATGGTCTTTTCACCATTTTCTATTAATATGAAAACCAGTAACGAAAAGAAATTTTGTAAAACAACTGTCAAATAAGGATAAAAATACTCATCTTCCATCTCAACATAATTTCTTCACCAGGATCACTAAATTATCTCTTGGGTGTCAAGTTCATTTCATCTATTCATCTACTAGCTATTAGTTACTGTGGATATATGGTTCATGCCAAATCTCCAACGAAGTATAAAAAGCATGAGCAGTTTCTGCTTCACACACCACTAATTGGCTCACAGTTTTCCTTAGTGTGTGTTGGATGTTGGGAGAAGGGGCTAATTTATAGCTGGGGCATCAGATTCTGCCTTTAGAAAAATTCTCCACTGGCAACAAAAGTATCATTCTGAGATTATGCATAAATAGTAAATACATTTTCATTTGAACTCAGAATATGACTCATAGGATTCAAATCTTGCGAAGAATACTAATTTGAAGGCAAACGCTGACGAAGTGACCTGTGATGAAAGACATAAGGTAGCAATATAACAACCACTCTACTAGAGATAAAAACTTAACAGTACAGACATTGCAAGAGGATTAAATGCAAAAAATAAACATAAAATTCAACATACCAATGGAGTAAGCACATACGCATTGTTCAGGTTGGCCATCAACATTCAGACAATTAAATTAAACAAAACAGGCATTTTCAAAGATAATCAATACGTGCAATAAATCTCCCCAAAAGAAGAAAGGAGAAACAAGCTAACTGAATAATTCATGAGAGATCTTCAGAAATTGATTCACACCTGAACTAGAATAGATAGCCAATCAAGGATGCTAGCGAAAGAAATAAGAAATATTATTGTTATCTAGTAACTGAAACACATCAATCGGACCTCACCGTTCGAAGGCGTTTGACACCATTACGGCCAGCAACTAAATGCCCATCGTTTGCATTGCTCCCTGAAAGAGAAAATATTGAGACAGGAGCCCCATCATCCTGTTTGATAGAACGCAAAAGAAAAAGGAAATACAGTAAGTACAGACCCTATCATGTCCATGATCACATAAGAACACTACTTCAGACAAAAGACACTGGTTCAAAAGCACCGAGAAATTTTAGTACTACCTTTGTATGCTCAGGCTTCCAAACAAGGCTGAACACAAAATAAATCTAGTAGAAACTATCATCTATACCCACCACAGTATGGAGATATGTTTTTTCAAACAAAAATATTAGGAAGGTACATTATCCAAGTGATAAAATTTGTTCGACAGACGACAATTAAGTTATCTCCCATTGTTTCTCTTTCCCACTCTCTACACAAATTATCCTCCTCTTCCTTTTTGCTTTCGCCTTCGTGGTGCGTAAACAAATACTTTAGCATGTAAAATATTGTCATAATCAAAAACACATAAGCATACTTAGTTCTTGTAAAAGATGTTGCAGATAAAATTCCTAATCAAACAATTGTTGAAAAAAAAAAGATGACATTAGAAGTGCTAAATTAAATAGAATAGTAACATAAATGTAGTCTTCTCAAGATCAATCATAGATCGTTGAAGTCCTAAGAGTGGAGTTTGAAAAACGTTTAGAGAGACAAACACTTAAATGACTTAGTATCTATGAGCTTGCACTAATGACTAGTCACATTTGAAAAGGAGGAAATTGCTCAGTGGCATGATATCTTACTCACATGATGAGCATAGTCCAGACCTATCTAATTCCTTTGACCGAATAGCATATATTCAAAACAAGAAATGAGAAGAAAAATAGTCGTGATTGGAGAAATCTAGATAATTAAATATTTTTTCAACATACTTGCTCAAAATTCTAACAGAATAAAAGTTCAAATACCATAAAAGAATCTACTATGAACGTCATCAATCAATGATGATAAAATGCTATATAACCAGCGATGCCAGCAAATGGATTCACAGAACTATATGAACCAATGCCAAAATTGACTTTCTGGATGAGATATTAGGATATATATTAAATTTATTTGTGTTGATCCAACCTACGTGACACTATTTTCTTGTTCCAGAATTTAAAATGTGGAGCAGTGATATGGAATTTTACATGTAATCATGTGATGCGAAAGGTGTGTGGTATGGAATTTTAAAAATTGCAAAACATATGCATCAAATTAACCTTTAAAAATCCTGATATTCGCAAATTCGTGATCTGTAAAACTAAATACAATCTAATGAACCAGAAACTTCACAAATAACTAATTCTCTTCATACTCCCTAGTTCATTGTCTCTATGCATCAATTCCACACACACACACACACACAAAAAAACATCAATTCACGCCACCAGCATTAATCTCACTATATCAGAACTTAATTTACAACGCGGAATTGAGAAACTTCGGAAAGAAAAAACAGACAAATCGAAGCATAGCAGGAAACGGATTAGATGGAAACCTTGGAAGTTCCACGATGGTGTACCCAGGAGCCCCACGCTGAAGAGTACGGCTCCCCGATATTATACGGCAGATCCTTCAGGCCCGCACCCGATCCGGCGACCACTCCTTTCAAGAATTTCAGCATCTTCGTACGGAGCCCGGCCCAATCAAGGAGAGTGAGAGAGAGAAAGTCGATCTGCTTTGCTGGAGTGAGGGAATTTGATGGAGAATGGGGAGGAAGGACTATACGCTACGGTGTGGGATGACAGAGTGCGAAACAGAGGATCGGATTTTCAAAAAAGGCATTAAAAATGGAAAGAGTAATGCAATTGATTTAGACTGATTCTCTACCTGGAGGTGCACATTAGTTCCCTGTTCCTTAAGGGTGTTGCACCGTTGATTGAGTGAGAAGGGTCGTTCTAAGTTCTAACGGTGTCGATGGATTAAAATAGACGGATGCAGCAATTATTGGGGGGGAAGTGATAAAGATAGAAATCGGAAGGATCATATTGCAATTAATACTTTAAAATTTGTTTTTTTACATTTAAAAATCATGGTTATCAAGAACACCCGATAAATTAATAATCTCGTTTCAGTAATATTAATATCGGATAATATCGTATCATGTATCGTTTTCCTTCTGAAATTACAACCACCAATCAACTATGTATTGTTTTACGGAAAACTCCTTCATTCTGTAGGTAAATTTGACACTATAAAAGTGGACGTATAAGATAATACATAGTTGAGGGGTGTTTTCATAATTTGTCATTACCTCAGGTGTTATCTGTAATTTATCATAAAATTAATTTGAAGCAGTTTATTTTGATGTTGCCTTAATTGAAAAAAAAACAAAAAAAATAAAAAAATAAAACGGATATTGAAATAAAATTGTGCTGAAAAATTGCACAAATCCCCGAAAATTGCACAAATCGTACTAAAAATCGCTAATCACCCCTAAATGTGCTAAAAATTGACAAACTACCCCTAAAAAAAATATCGTTTCGTATCTCGATGTGAGCTAAATTTACCGACATTCAAAATACAATCAATACATATGCCGAGTTGTATTGTTGCCACATAAACCATATCGTATCGTGATAAATATTGTGATATCGACTACACTGTTAAAATTTAATTCATTTTTTTTTTTACAACAGCTTCAAAAAAATTGATATATGAAGCTTCCTAATCACTCAGCACTAAAATTCAAGTGTAAATGACGAGCAAAGTTCGAAGAAATTCAAAAAGAAAAAAACATTAAAAAAAAAACAAATAAATAAAAGTCATGAAACCCAAGAACCTAAATCTTAAGTGGACCAAATTAAAGTTAGTTTAATTTCCAGATCGAGAAGGTCTAATAAAATCTAGGAAGTCAAGTGTTCAAACCCTCCAACCAAGAATAAAATCCCACTCAATTAAATTCACTTCATAATATAATTATTACAATAAAGTAACTAATTTTCAAAATTAATATTCACAGAATCAGGCCTTCAAACCTAGGAAATTTCGTCACGGTCCATAATATTTTCGTTGTTTCAACAAGGCCAAGTCTTCTCGTGGACTTTGATCAATACAATTGAAGATGAGAAAAAGATTTAATTTTGCCCAGGAATTTAAGACCAATGACTTAGTCATATTTTTCCTATATAACTTTAATTTCTTCCACTCTCCGTGTTCAACATATATGCAAAAAATTAAAAAATTACATTTAATATTAGTTTCCATATTTATTTATACCCCCCATATTATTTCCAATTTCAAATAAAAAAAATCAAATATGGAAGAGAATTTAGTGGCATTAGTGTTATATGGGTGCAAGTTGGCTAAGGATCTTGAACAAAGCCTCCCGGTGTTGGCAAACCAGCCCGATATTCTTTCGTTGTCTTGCGAAGAAATCGTTCGAGTTTTTAGCAATGTTAAAGACGGGTTAAATTCTAATCAACCGAGTAATTTGAATAGTAATCTGAGGCGGGAACAACAACAGCAACAGCAGCTTGATCATGAAGACCAAATTGGTGCCGAAATTCAAGAATGGCTGAGGACTGGCGGCACCACCACCGCCACGGGCGTCGCCGCCGTGACTAATACTCGTGAGGCGTTGGATTTGCTCAATCCTCGAGCCACGGCGATTGTTGGTGATGGGAGAATGAAGGGACCGATGGTTCGCGAGTTGGGCGATGTGAATGGTCGAGGCCGTAATTCTAAAGGTGGGGCCCGCGTTGGGGATGATGCACCGGATTCCAGCAGAACTAGGAAGAGGTAAGAGAAATTTCTTACCTTAGCTGAAAATGTGTGTATTTAATTATTTATGCATGCCTATAAATAAGATTGTTCTAGTCTGGAAACTATAGGGACTTATATTTAATTTTCGAATATTGTTATGCATATAAAGCAATTAATTATGATGATTGATGATTAATTAATAATTATGCTTCAAATTTTAATGAATTAATGATCAGAAGAGACGAAGGTTACAAGACAGTGAAGAGAGTTGCAGCTCCTCAGATGGGGAATCTTGATATTCCTCCGGAAGATGGTTACACGTGGCGAAAATACGGTCAAAAGGAAATTCTAGGTTCCACGTATCCAAGGTGACATTTAATTTTTTTAAGTTTGATTTTTAAAATTTATAGTCATGATTTATTATTAAGGTAAATTACACATACACCCCGCGGTTTGCTAAAATAACTTTAAGGTCTATATGATATGTGTAATTATATCCAGACCCCTGAATTTTAGTTTCTCGTTCGGCCGTTAATGCTACCACAGATGAAAATTTATAAACCTTATATAAAATAATAAGGATTTAAGAAAGGTTAGGAGAGCCATGTCACCCCCTACCTATATATAGTCTCTTTCTAGATCTTAGGGGTGGTAAAGGAGATGAGCAGACTCGTGAACTTGATGAGCAGGCTTCAAAAAAGCTCGAACTCGGACTCGAGTTTTTCGAGCTCAAGCTTTCTGACGAGCCAAGCTCGAGTCTGTTTTTAGTTGTTCGTGAACTCACTAGCCTTATGAATTATTTTTATTTTTTTAATTATTTTTTATTTAAATAATTTATAATAATAAAAAATATTATAGAAATAAATAAAAATAAAATGTAAATATTAAAAATATATATTTACGATTTATTGTTTATTTTGTATTTTTTAATTATTTTTTAATAATAATAAAATAATAATTAAAAAAATATTCAAAAACAACAACAAAATGAGCTTGAACTCGAGCTCGAGCTCGAGCCAAAAAAAGAAGGAACTCGACGAGCTCAAGCTCGACAAAATAGACTCGAGTTCGAGCTCGAGCCGGTCTACCAAAAGAGGCGAGTTCGGCTCGTTCACATCCCTAGTCTTGCCTAAAACTAGTAGTATGTTAGAACCATAACGGAATAATGTATCTAATGCATTATTCAGTTAGTCTAACAATGGTTCAGGGATAATTATAATTATAGATATTGTAGGGACCTTAAATTTATTCAATATTTTTGCCACGTATGCACTATAAAATGTTTCAAAATTTATGGGAAAGTTCAATGACTTGAAAATGTCAAATGCATGCTTTCTTTTTCATTGGTTTGTAAGACCCTCTTGAATTCATAACTAAAGTCGTGGTGCACTGAACAACACGATTCTAAGTATAGAATTGTAGGGAATTAGGGCGAATGTTTCAATTCCATGAAGAAGAACCAGACGACGACGTTTCGTCAAGTTGAATAAAATGAAGTTGACTTTGATAAATCAAAGAAAAATTATATAAGGGCCCGTCTTGAATTAATACAAAATATGAACCCAAAATAGTAATTGTAAAAAAGTCTTGGGCTCGTGTTTTGAATTGAATAAGATTCTAGTTTTCACTTTTTCAAGCACAATTTTGAACAATTACTTATTTTTCTTTAAAATTAAATAAACATACCTTAATGTTTGATAAACTAGTATTCATCCGTGCGATCCACGAGATTTCATTTTTCCAAATAAACATAAATTTATTGTAAAATAAACTAAAACATATATAACTCTTATGATCCTTTAATATAAACGAAGAAAATGCAATTAAAGGTTTTCAATAATGTTGTAATTTTATGAACCGAAATAAATACAAAATATTTTCGATTGATCGATCACAACGTTTAAAAATATCAACCTCATTGCAGTAATACAATCGAACTCACGTAAGTCCTATGCTTCAGAGTGATGATTTTCTAAAGCGAACGATGAAATTGCATAAGCACCGGCCACAAATCGAGCGTAACCGGAAACTACAAAAAAGACTAAAGTACCCCTCATAACCTAATTCAAGATTTTTTTTTTTTTTAAATTGCAGGAGTTATTACAGGTGCACCCACCAAAAATTCTACGAATGCCCCGCCAAGAAACAAGTCCAGCGTTTAGATGACGACCCGTTCACGTTCGAGGTCACCTACCGCGGCAGCCACACTTGCCACATGTCCTCCACCGCCCCTTCCGCCGCGCTGCCGCTGCCGGAACAACAACCGTTCCCGCCACGCACAACCGCCGCCGCGGCCAACGCGTACGCTCCACTACTTCCCTACTCACTCCCTAATACTAATAATATCCACCACAACTGGCTCTCCATGCAAATCTTTCAAGATCTCGGTGGCGGCGGCGTGGCGGCGGCCGGGAGTAGCGATGGAGCCGCGGCTAGGTTCCCGGAGTACCAGCTGCCGGTGGCGGATATGGCGGACGCGATGTTTAATTCCGGAAGCAGCAGCAGCAATAGCATGGATCTCATTTTCTCTTCCATGGATGATAATCACAAGTGGGATTCTGAAGAAAAGAAAGATTAATAAACTAAAAACTTAGTTACTTACTACAAAAAAAAATTAAAATTAAAATGTAGCTAGGCATCAACAAAGATGATTTAATTTATTTGGAGCTAGGTCTAGTTAACCCGTATTAGAAATTAAATTAAAGTTTGCCAAATTTATTTTTTCAACAAATTAATTTCCATTATTACGAGTGTAGGTTAGATTATTTATTATTATTATTATTATTATTGAATTTATTCTGTCATGATGTATCTTGAAATTGACAATAATGATGCAGTTGGCCACTTGGCCCTATGTTGATAGTTGAATTGTATTTGAAATTTGACTATTTTACCCCTGCCAAACTTCGTGCTCCAAATAATAGAGTTTGGGGGCATTGTGCAATTGTTTTTAGTTTGGGGGGAAAAGTGCAAAACTCGTCGAAGTTCGGGGGGCAAAATGCAATTAATCACAGTAACAAAAAATTACGTGACGAATATCAATCCTAGTAACAAACAATTACGTGACGAATATTTGTCTCGGGAGATAATTCATGTCATACTAAAAGTCAAACGAATTCAGTCAAATTTGGACGTAAAATTTGATAACTACGTACAGCCGAACTAAACACTACTTCTCGCATTAAGATAATATGTTTGAAATAAAATAAAATAAATAAAAAATAAAAAATAAAATCTCAACCATCCCATCTTTACAACATGTTGGAGTATTTTTTAATTTTAAAATTTTAAAGAAATATAATTTATAAATGGATAGTGATTAGTGATAGCAACAGATGGTCAAATGGCTCTTTTTTTTTCATAAATCAAAATTAATTGTAAAATCGAAATCAAGGGAGAAATTCAAAAATAGAATATTTCTTCTAAATATCAAACATATCATGAAGTTGTTGATCACATACTGCTTGGAACGAATTTTTTTTTTGTTTTTTAATGAGACGGTGGATTGTGCTCCCCGGATATGTTAATAGGAGTGTAAATCGGATGGATCGGATCGGATCGAAAAAAGCTCTTTTGGGAAAATGTCGATTAATTCCAGAAGCGAAAAAATAGTTCCAATTTCATCCCGAAAAAATCGAAAAAAATCAGAAATTGGAACGAAAAAACTTGTTCCAAAATCAGAAAATTTTGGATCCTAATCGGCGAATTCATAAATTTTCAATTTGTTGTCACCTGAAATATAAATTACGTAATAATATTGGTATTTTAAGTGTAGTATTCGGGAAAAAAATGGAAATTTCAGAATTTAAGTCGGATCAGGAATCAGAATCTCATAAATAATCCAATTCCACGGAAAAATTCGAAGTCGGAATTCGAGCTGGAAAATATTGTTGCTAAATCGGAATTTTTTTTATCAGAATCGGCGAAAATAAAAAATTTCATTCCAATTCCACCCATATATATATAAATACAATTAGGGTAATGAATAACTATAAATTTATTTCAACTCTTTAAGTTAGGTTTTAGAGATAGGAACAAGAGTAGTATTGAATAGTCAATATCTTGAGTCATGTATAATGGTGTGGAAAGACTGTTGTGCTTCAATTGGCGGAACATAATTAATTCCCTGTTTAAATACCTATAGTTGAAGTTGTTTATGTTGAGGCTGAAATATAATTGGTCTACAACGTTGACTTGTGTAATTTATAATTTAATCTATTTTTAAAATTATATTAAGGAATATATTATATAGTAGTACTAGTGTCCTACTTTTAGGGTAAAAGTCCAAGATATTGTACATAAGTTCAATTTTGTTTAAGAACAATAATAATTATGAATAAACGATATTTAATTATCCTAATTATAAAATTATGATATATATACATTTTTTTTTTGTTTTATCTTACTCATGTTATATATTTCTTACAACTTTAATATTTGTATATATGTGTGTGTGTATGTGTTTCATCATGAAATTATGAGTTTATTCAATGAATTTATAATAAATTAATATACATGGGATTTAATGTCAATTAAATTATCATATTTTACTAATTAAGTAAATCATGTTAAAAAGTTACATTAACTCACAAAATCAATTAACAACATTCGCTCAACAATTCACAACAAACAAACCATAACATTATAAAAGAAAACTAATATTATATCGATTTATACTATTAATTCTCAGTTATCAAACAAACTTAATTGTTCAACTCCGAAATAATTCAAACACAACTACTCTTAACCATTTAGATATTAACCAATTAAAGATTAAATATTAAAAGCTTAATTCTATATCAAACAAAAACCTAAATGTTTAGCAACTATTTAAATCTTGTTAAAAATCTTGTTAAAACTTGTGCTATTACTAACATATCATTATACATGCATTATGCTACAATTATAAATTCTAAATAAATAAATAAAGAAGAAGAAGAAGAAAAGATAAGCTAGCTACACCACTAGCTTTACATATACAATCGAGACAATCAAAATTTAATTAATGAAGAACGTAGTTAAGTTCAAACTTTAAACCTTAAACAACACAACAATGGCCATCTAATTAATCAATGAAGATAACTTATATAGTAGAAATTAAATTAATTTATTCATACACAACAATGGAATGTATTATAATTACGTATTACGACACTGTACACCAGAAGCCGAATAGCTATCTCACCATCGAGTTTTCCATATGTCAGCAAACTGATTAACCTCCAAACAATCCAAACCATCAAAAATAGTTGACGACTCGCACGAGTCACGATCGAAACCAGAACCCGCAGCTTGATCTTCTTCTACGTAGGGCCCGTTCATTATCGGATGAGTCCAAGCAGGCTTCTGCTCCAAAGGGCCCACTCCGATGGAGGTATTCTGCCACATAGTATCCTTATGAATCATTGATTTAGACTCGGACAGATCTTCATCGGTAGTTTGAGGAGTGTTTTCTTTCGATTCTTGTTTGACGACCGAAGGCGTGAACACGGAAGTCGGGAAATTTTGACGGTCGGGCTTTTTTGATTGGAAGCTAATGAGGTTGGCGGACTCCATAGGATCCGAGTCGTCCAATAGCATCGCGACATGTGGCGGCGCCCTTTGTGTTTCTGTGCATGTGTGGTGGCTCATGTAAGTGGTTTGATAAGTGAGAGGATCTTCTTTGATTCTTTGCACTTGTTTCGTCGCTTTGCACCCTTCGTATTTGTGTGTGCATCTGTAATAACACCTGTAATTGCAAATTAACCAAAATAAAAATTCAATTATATAATAACTAATATATATACATTCTTGATCATGAAGATGCAAGAGTTTCTGTAGCTAAATTAAAACGATTTCGTCCAATCAATTAGGGCAACGGATTTATGATCATCATCAAATGCACGCATATGAATCCATCAAATTACGAATTCGTAACTTCGTCGATAAGTTCGTATACATTCACAATGATTCATGAATATAATGTGATCGCGATAGGGGAAACGAAACAACGCACGATGGCATTTTATTCTGACAGATACGAACTAAATACTAATTGGAGCATTTGATCATATATATGAACACAAGAAATTGAAGGTACCATATATATACACACATAAGATAAAACACTCATTTTACGACGACAGATCAATTTCGAAAAATGCATATGGCACTGATATATCAAATTATATGTATGGCAATATAATTGTATGATCAAATTATATATATATATATATATATATATATATATATATATATATATATATATATATATATATATATATATATATATATATATATATATATATAGCTAAATATTTATGAATAACTAGCTAATTAACTGGTTTCGAGTAATTACCTCGGAAACTCGGAATTCAAGATACTCTTTTGTCCGTATTTCCTCCACGCGCATCCATCTTCCATAGTTGAAGATACAATCACCCACGAATCTTTGGTCTTTCTGTAATTAAATCCATGTTTATATTATATATATAAGACAATTAAGTACAAACAAAGGTAAATAATTATTCATCAAATTAAAGTGGAATGTCTTTAATCAATCAATTATGGTTATATAAAATAGGGCAAAAAATCTGCTTTAAAAGTACGTAGATAGAAGTTAAAGGCGGCCGCGGCCCCCTCATCTCTTTTGTTTTTGCCTGTCCAAGTTGATGCTACTGTATATCTCTCCACAAACAGTGCTATTACATGTTGATTTATCTCTTGAATGTACGGACAACAATATATATATATATATACTATTAATTAATTAATTAATTATAATCATTGCGTAATTTCTAATTTTTTTTTTTGGTAGTGGAGATAAATCGATTTCAAGAAGCTAATTAATGTATACTTGAGATCTAGACAAGAACTTTAATTTACAGATTAATTATAATTTATAATTAGGTAGAAATAATCTCACCTCCTCTTGTAACAGCCCCTCCGATCTTTGACCACCACCCCGGGTTTCAGCTTCTTCCTGCTGTCGCCGCCGCAGTCAACGGCGGCGATCTGGGCTGACTCGGTGCAGGAACTCACCACGGAGAGAGTCACACTGAAAGATCTCACTATTTGAACCGCGAGTTCCTGAGCTGACACGTCAGCACTCCGGTCATCTTCCTGGACGCGATTCTGCAGAAGGGTTTGAAGCCTGGCCGCCATTTTCTTGCCCTCAACCAGCTCCGAGATCGCTCTTTTCCTCTTTGCATGAAAATTTCCTTCACTCATTAGACTACCCATTTTCTCTCTCTCTCTCTCTCTACCCTCACCTCCCTCTCTCTCTTTCTCTCTCCTCCCTTTTGGGAGGTACACGCTGCACTGTGTGCGTTTTGGATGTTTGTGGGTGGAGGGTTTCAGATGTAAGAGATAAGAAAGGAAAAAAAGGGTTTTTGCCGTTTGCTGTCACTTTTTTGCGGCTCTGTGATTGGTCGAAGCAGAGAGGTAAGTTACTGGAAAGGGAAAATTGTAATGCTGGTCCTCTATGTTGGTCAATCTAACAATTTAGTCCTCTAGATTGTCCTATTTCAATTTTACATGCAATACCTTTTCAAATTTAGCATTTTTGTTCCTATTTTGCTTGAAATTTTAATTCTAGCTCCTATTTCATAAACTATTTGGCTGATGATGCTAGAATTAGATCACCTTAGAGAGTTGAAGAAGGATGAGCTGGAAGAGCAAAGTGGATCACTGGCTCACAAGCTTGCTGATTTTGAGATACCTGCGATCATAGAACATGTAAACTAAATCTGGGGTTGATCCGGCAGAAACTCCTCCAACGCTCAAGTTAGACGTGTGGATCGCAAAAGTCGTATAGATAATACGAGTCATTGTATAATTTGAATATAGAACGTACCTTAAGAAATGAATTAAAATATTTATTTATACCTCATAGACTGGGCTGAAGTTTAATTAGTTGAGATTGTCGGTCCAAATCTTATTTGAAGGTGATTGAGACTCGATGGTAGTGGTGTTCAATATTGGATTCGTAACCCAATAGATAAAGAAATTGTAGACCCATTACATTGGTCCAACTAGACATATCGGTGACTAACAACCTTATCGTAATTTAGTTATATGAATATTTATAGATTTTAAATAGGGCTCTAACTTAGATGATGAGATTATCATTTTTAAAAGTCAATAGAAGCAAAATCCATAAAATCCGGTTGCCATATGGTGAAAATTGAGTTCAAGCAATTAAGAGAGGACCCAAAATGCTACATTCGTAAAATTATTGCATGTGAAGTTGAAATAGGATAATTTAGAGGACTAATTCTCTAAATAGACCAACATAGATGACCAAAATTACAATTTTGCCTTAATGGAAAATAAGACGAAGCCAGATTGGAAAAAAGATTAAAAAAGGAAAGAGAAAAGAAACCCTCGAAAATTGATTGTATGCGGGTCGGGTAAAAGCGGGCAAACCGAGCAAAACGAGGTGATGACGTCATTTAGCTTACGTTGCATGATGACGTCAGATCAGTTCTTTTATGGGCCGTGAGATCTTGACCGTTCGTATATGGGACTTCCTAACTAGCGGTTAAGATCTAGCGAAAGGGGTCTGGGACTATTAATGGGATTGGTGGGACTGGGTTTCTAGATATATTGGGATTTAATTATGTTGTTTAGAAGTCTAATAACGTACTTAAACTAATTAATTATATTAAATTAATTAATTAAATATGTGTCTTTTTTACTGTTTGTTTTTGTGCTCTACCAAAAGGCAAAAAGTTGTTACCTACATGGCTACATTCACACTATAGAGTAAACAAGTATTTTTCATGGAGTGGAAATTTATTAGTCATGGTATTCAATTATTGGTTGTCAAAAATGGCTTGAAAAAATAATAGGAAAATTAAATTGTAAATTCTTTTTTATATTATTTTTATTTTTTGTACATAGGATTTGAGAAATTTTGTACACTAAAAAGTTACACTTTAATTTAATTTATTCCCTGTAAATGTTAAATGTCGTTTCAATTTTACTGATATTGTTTTGACTTCAAACCTAATTTTGACCAATTTTTAGCCAGAATTTGGCAAAGTTCGAAACAAGATAATTGTAGTCGTTTGAGTTAGTTTTCTAATTCAATTTGAATCGGTTAGATTGAATGGCGTGTGACAAAGTTATGCATAAATAAGTCACATTTTGAATTTTAGACAACGATCAAAACATCAAAGTTGCGGGCAGTGTTGATTGATTCATATATATCTTTCTCACACGACATTTCAATCTTGGTAACTCAAGTTTTATTAGAAAGCTAACTCAGAAAACTACTCGTTCAGTGCTATGGGTTTTGGACAAAAAAATGGTTAAAATTATATTTGAAATCGAAACAGTATTATTAAAACTAAAACGACTTTTATCACATCCCGTAACTAATTATCTACTAACGCTAATTAGACACGTACTTTTTCTGCAAGATGTTTCCCTAATTAAATATTTCAATGATTTTATTTTTATTTTTATTTTTTTTTTAATTAGGGATTTTTTTATTATTATTTTTAATTCGATGGAAACAAAACCATTATTAAAATCAATTTAGTTTTGGAATATTGAAAGTTCAAACAACATGGTTGAAAAAGGTTAAAAATCGTGTAGCCTTTCTGCACAGCAACGGACATGAAAAATATAAAATAATCAAAGTATTAAAATAAATAAATATTATAAATCTATGGAGTTGTACTATATTTGTGTGTGATAAGTATATATGAGTATTAGTAATAATGGGCATCATTATCCATTAATTGCACTAGTCTATATGCACGTTCTACAGTTCTTTTGCCAATAACTAAACTAATTAATTATTAATGCACTAATACAATTAAAATTGCATTTAAGTAAGTCAAGTTGCAGTTTTGTTTTTTGTGTTTTTTTTAATCTTTGACTTATCATTTCTATTTTTTTTTTAACCAATACTTTTTCTGATGAATTAACTGTAACCATGTCTTACAAAATAAGTGGCACACTATACAATATAAATTAGTTTTTACACATAAAAACAAAACTTGATACAATTTGCCCCAGTCCTATGCTAACTCCACCACTGATTATAATTCTCTCTTCAGTTTCATCGTGTGTATTTTCTTCTCGCTACAATTAATAATAACGGATAAAATTAATGAAATAAAGAAAACAAAATAGATTCTTTACAAGATTCTGTTTTTGTTTCAAATTAATTATCACTTTACGATTCCAATAACGAATTTGTTTGCAATTTTCTAAATTATTTTCTTACTACTCTTAAGTAACTGAGAAATATAATAATTAATCGTAAAAAAAAATTAACGAGATCAATATTTTAGCCACTTTATAAGTTTTTTCATAAAATTGACGCATACTGATTAATTTTGTAATATGCGTGCACCAACTCAAAACGACAAATAATTTGACACGAAGGTAATAATAGTAGTTCACTATAATAAACTCATTGTGACAAATTGGAGGTTTTTTCATGGAAATTAACGAGCCTTAAAAAAAAGTTTATATTTCAGTTTTAAGTATTGGGCCCAAATATGAATTTCGGATTTGGCCTCAATTAGTCATCAACGGCCCAACTTATGGAAATGCCCAAATTAGCTAAAGTCCACCATCTTAGTTTTGACTTTTGACCATGCAAATTACTTCGTTTAATCGTTGGCGTTCACACTCTCCTCACAACCCTACTATGTGTTTGAATGTGCCACCTCTCTCTCTTCATTTCGTAACTATAGTTCCGTCATCAGCTTGTCTTTTTTCGGCAGTATTCGCTGTACATGGTTGACTTTGACGTAGGAGTAGCTTGTTGTCTCCTACCATTGATTATGTGCCTATTTATGCACTTAGAGAGAGGGACAAAGTTAACACTTATTTATAAGTATCTATGAGTTTTCTTTTTCCAATATCCTTCGTCTATGAGTGATTGAGTTCTGAGTGAGAAAATTTGGGTTTATCGAGTGTGAGAGTGTTCCTTTTGACTAGTTAACTATATCTATGTGTTGGTAAGTCAACTCAGTGTGAGTATTGAGATAGATCTAAGATTTTCTAGGCTTGAAGGCCGTGACTTAGTAATGGTTTCCGATTGGAGTTGCTACCTTCTTAGATTTTTGGACCGAACACTAGACAATAAGAAGATTGAGCCGATTTGAAAACAATAACAGTTACATGCATTAGAACTATAAACGTTTATGTAACTCTTTCTCTCTATTTCTAATATCTTCTGCGTATGTATATTTCTGTTAGAGTACCTAACATTTTTCTCGATGGAATATTTAAAATAAAAACTTGGAGTAAAATTACAAAGAACATAATTTGCTTTACATGAATTAACAAAAAATAAATAATTTCCTATTTATTTATTAAGTTATTGTTTATATAAAATATTTCTAAAAACTAAATTATTTGTTCCATAAAGAAAAAGGTTGAAAAATAAATCCCAAAGGCAAATTGAAAAAAATTGCAAGAGAAGAAAATGGTATCACTACCCCATGTTTGTATGCACCCTCACCCTCTTCTCTTGTACAGGAGAACTGCCTCGGCGGCGGCAATCAGAATGCTATCTTCTTCTTCTTCTTCTTCTTCCTCCTCCCCACCAAACCCTAACCCTTCTACCCTCATTTTCAATTCCTCCATGACTAAACTCTCTTCAGAAATACCTTCAATTTTTCCATTTTCCGCAGATTCTTCTCAACCCGGTTTTGGTTCTCATACTCTCCGGCTCTCGAAAAGCGTCGCCGCCACCAGCAACCAGGCTCCGATTGGTGTTGGTGAAGCTACCGGTGAAACTGAGTGTCCGTTGGTGGTGGTTTCCTTTTACAAATTCGCCGATTTTCCGGACCATGCTGGATTACGGAAGCCATTGAAAGAACTATGCGAGCGGCTGGTAGATTCTCTACTTCCTTTTTTTTCCGAATGTGTGTGTAGGCATTTTTCGTATTTCTGAGAAATTATTATGATATGGGATTTAATTTTGTTTAATGTTCTGTGATCGAGCTTTAATTGATTTTCTCATGGTTAAAAGAAGGATCTGTTTGGTTATTGAACAAATTGAATTGGTCGTCTTTATGTATCGACTTTAACAATTTGCGGTAATTCCTTCATTTATCCGGCAAGTTTGTGTGTGCCACAATTCAGAGTGTTGTGTTAGTGAGTGACGAACACTAGTAAAAAGTAAAACTAGGGCATACTCTGTTTTCGCTCTTAATTGTAACATCAGCTTCGTAAACCCCTAGAGACTGTGTCGTATCTCAAGAACTTCTTAAGAACCGAGTAATATTGAAGGTTTTCGTTTTTCCTAGTCAGAAAGGATGTAGAGTGACCCGATTGATAGCAAGCAAAATGATCTGTTTCTATGATCCGATCGCTACCCCTCTCGAAAGCGCATTTATGTGTGATTTTTATATTATTGCATATCTTTATATGAGTAATAATGCCTCACTAAGCTGATACTCTCAGCGTGTTTCAGGGGGCATTATCCTGGCACCAGAAGGAATCAACGGAAGCGTATGTGGGACCCGTGATTGCGTCGAAGAAGTGCTCACATTCATCCAAGCTGACGAACGGTTAAAGGGGCTTAGGCGTATTGAGTCACCTGTAAGTCCAGAAGAAGAAGCTATTCACCATGGACATACGAGCGCTTCTCCTCTTGCTGCAGGTGAAGATGCTCCCTTCCGATGGGATCATGTGAGGGTCAAATTGAAAAAAGAGGTAAAGTTCACTTTATTTATTTAGTTTAAAATTTGATTAGAAGATACAAATTTTGATGGCATTTTATTGGCTGTTTCAGATAGTCACATTGGGAATGCCTTCTGTGTCACCGATTGAAAGAGTTGGAGATTACGTGGGCCCCAAGGAGTGGAACAAACTTATCAGTGATCCAGATACTGTAAGCAGCGCTATATAGCGATTGTATTCTTGAAACTTGGAACTGTGTAGGCAGTCAAATTAATTTTGATATTTTGTCGCACGGGTTCGTTGAAGGTTTTCTATATTACGATTAGATTCATCAGGTGAACTGCGAATATTTGTTACATACTCCGCATAACTTATAGTGCATAGGAATCTCCTACAAAAGGAAACTCCAGTATTTTTAGACTCGTTTCCTTATTTCTGTATACTATTTTTAGATTTCCAGTGTAATTAGACTTGCATGCAGTAAAAAACTATAATGTGGTATCTTTTTTATCTGACTTTTTTGTTTTTGCATCAATGTCACTGTTTTAGGTGGTGGTAGATGTGCGGAATGGTTATGAAACTAGAATAGGCAAGTTTAAAGGTGCAGTCGATCCTTGTACAACAGCATTCCGCGAGTTCCCATCATGGGTGGATGAAACGTTCGAATTAAACGAATCTGATGACCAGGTTAATTCTGCTGGTTCAACACAAACCACAGCCAAACAAACTGAGGAAACAAAACCAAAGATGCCCCGAGTAGCAATGTACTGTACTGGTGGTATTCGGTGTGAGAAAGCATCGAGCTTTCTCCTCAGCAAAGGGTTCAAAGAGGTGAGATTCCTTAATCTTTACTAACGGTGCATTTGCATTTAATGAGAATGGATTTGAAATCCTTCCATTTGATTGACATCTATAGCAGGTTGGTTTACTGGTTGAACTGATTGTTGTAGGTTTATCATCTAAAAGGGGGAATCTTGAAATACCTTGAAGAAGTACCGAAAAACGAGAGCCTTTGGGAGGGAGAGTGCTTTGTGTTTGACAAACGAGTATCGGTAGAACATGGGCTTGTGCAGGGGACCCACAAACTATGCTACGGGTGCAAGCAACCCGTGAGCGATGCTGACATGGAAGCTCCAGAATGGGAGCACGCAGTTTCTTGTCCGTATTGCTATTCATCCAAGTCGGAAGAAGAGAGAGAGAGGGCTAGAGCTCGACAAAAACAGTTCGAGAGATGGGGTATTATTGGCGGTCCCGACAAAGGCCGTAAACCAATGAAAATGCAGGAAAGTGAAGAGGGAAACGATGAGCAGATGTCAAAGCTCAATATAGCTTAGTCAGTTCTAACTAAGAGATCTCAGATTTTGATCACATTGTAGTGAACATTTCCTCAATTTTGACCGTTTTCTTTTATGTGTTTGCAACTTTTCTTTGACTGGGGACCCTTTTAATTTTATTTTTTTCAAATTCAATTTCCAAATGAGGGATTATTAATTTCTAATTTAATGTGCTGATAATTCTACTAACAAGTTTGAACTTTGACGATTATTAATTCTAATTTTTTTTTTTGTTAAAAAAGAGTTTCAAATTTCAATTGAATGACATACATCTCAATGAGGGTAAAAGCGTAAAAGCGCGAGCTTCTTTATTCTATTTCCGGCAAAAAGGGCTGAACCGAGGACTGGTTCATAATTTAGGAAAGTTCTGTTTTCATTTGTCACAATTCCATTTACTTATTTAATAATAATAATACACAGTGCGAAGAAATCCTCTCAAGCGAAAAAGTCTCAATTCAGAATTTCGAATCTAGGGTTTGTTATCCTCCATCGCTAATGGCAACCCCAGCTGCAGGATCGGGTCTCCTCAAGTTTCTCCGCCCCAGCACGCGCCTCCAGACCACTGACATGAAGGCCGCCGTCCTCTGGGGCGTCGCCGCCGGCACCTCCGCCCTCTATCTTGTCCAGGTCCGATGATTATACCCTATTTTTCTACGAATCTGGATCTATTTTGCGTTCAATTAAAATCATCATTTGCTTCTACCTTCTCGTGTATCATAACCCATATGCATCATTTTATATATTTGGAATAGATCTCAGCATCAATCTATACGGCTTGTTCTTTGTAAAATTTTGCCTAAATTTGATAATTGATTTTGGTACTCACTCTATTCCATCTCTCTGGGGCGTTGATTTGCGTGAATTTTATTTATGAATAAGAATATCTGAAATTTATTTAGAAAGTATAAGATGATTACTTATGTAAAAGATGGCAATACAAAACTGTAATCTTATTAACTAAGTTGATGAGTAGTAAAGCTAGATAAAGTACTGAATTTACATTTGCATAAACTGCATACACTTTCTCAGCCGCCGACCCTGAAAAATGTTATGTTTTAGCTGGCACTGTTGTAAACTTAATGTACGAGATGATAATGGGAATTTACTGTTTTCCAATCTTCAAGTCTTTGTCATGGTAATCTTCTTGTAGCCTGGAATTTCTTTGTTTCCGTTTCATTATTGGTTGTTTTAAACCCATGCTTGATATACAACGCCTGTATGTTTGGGTATGGAATGTGCAAATTCGTGGAGATATGTTTCCCTTGTCCGAACTAAATCATGTTTCCGAGGTTTAAATTTTGGGAGATGCGCTACACTCCCACGTGAATTTCATTCCCATTCCTCCAATTGGAGCCCCAACTTTTCCGAACCATCACAAAAATATTTCCCTTGCCTGCATGTGAGGAGTTATTCTGTTACGACCAACTGTTGTTTGAAACGATATTCTCATCCTAGCTTAAGGCGATTTTTTTATTCAATGGGAACTCAAGTTCCCCAGCTTATAAATTCTGACAGTGTTATAGGCTTCTAACAAAATCTTAGCTTTTATTTCGTGACTGCAGCATAAGAGAATAGGTGATTTATGGATTTAGAATCTTGAAGCAATAAAGTATAGTATAGTGCTTTTGTTTTCTTTTTCTTTTAGTAGATGTTGTTCGATTACGACACATGGGATTATATTCAAGAATATATGATGAGTTCAGGGTAACCAATCATTACTAAATACTAAGTTTGCTTTTTATGGGTTGTCTCTTGTGCAAAATTTGGCAGTTGAATCTGATGTAAAGAAAGTTCTCTCTTGTCTTGGTTTGGATCACTGCTAACTTTTCTCTGTTTGGACTTTTGGACAGCCTTTTGACTATTTGAGAAAGACGTTTTTCGAGAAACCTGAGCCCGAACAAAATTGAATAGAGATGTGAAATCCCGGTGGTAACCTCTTTTTTGTCTTTGATTTTGCAAACTTGGAGAAGCATTTGCCCAATAAATTTGATATTTTGTACTTACGCTTTTAGCACACAAGGCTGCATCATTTAATTTCTGAGGATTTGCTTGGAAACAATCTATTTTTATTTTTCTCTCTCTCTCAAAGGCATTCTTTTTGCCAGTTTATTGCATGCTTTCATTGATTGTTCATATTTGTGTTTTAGCATCAGGTAAAGTATTTAACAATCTCCAATTAAGCAATTCGAAGTTTTGAATTTGAAACCTACAACTTCGGCTTCTATTAGAATCCAAATTTCGGGTTGTCGGCCTTTGGGTGCGTGTTGTCACGCCTAGATCTCTATTCTAGAAGATCTTCTAGAATTCTTTTTTTTTTTTTTTTATCGAAGATCTTCTAGAATTCTGTGTTGGTCAAATATAACTGAACTTTCTATATTAATCCCTTTCCTAGTAAGTCATGTTTTAAAGTGTGTTTCATCACAGGCCAATTATTACATTACATTCAACTGCAATTCCATTCTCATAAAACTCCTCAATTGAACCTGAGTCACGTGCTAATGGTACAGTCTAGAAGAGAACGAAGACCTTTTCCAAACGGGAGCAAATTTGGAGATTAATACCCGAAAAATAGATGCCATGGGATGCAAATATATAATTTAAATGAATGTTTTTTTTTTTTTATATAGATCTTAATTTGAATAAAACTTTCCAGAAATCAAAACCAAAATCAGAAGTAAAATATATATATTTCCACAAAAAGAAAACAAAAAAATAGTGTACTGCAGTTTACAAAAGTAAAACCCCAGAGTTCACTATTCTAACTTCAATGGGTAAATTAGATATTAGAATGAATTAAATCAGCCACGTGTTCAAGAATCCATTTATATCCAAAAAAGCACCGCATCCATTTATATCCGAAATTACAATATCTAGTTAACAAATTCTTGTCCCTCGAAATTACCCATCTCACACGAGTACGAAGCACAGCCGTTGGATGGGGATATCCTTTGACCAATCCTCACCGTCAAATCAAAACCTTGGTGCCACAACATAACACAACACACCAACCTACCTTGTTTATCTTCGCTCGGTGTTATTTCAGGGAAAAACAGATATTATTATACACGCAGATATACTTACACTAGACGACGCGCCGTAACTAGGGTTTCAGTTTCTTTGGGGGGAGCCCGAAGCTGATGCTGCATTCGATTTCTAGTTTCTTGAGGTTCGATTTCATAATTCCATTTTCTGTTTTTCTATTGCTTTTCTTTCCTCGTCCAATTTGTTGAATTTGTTTTCCTTTTCGTGTTTGTTTATGATAATTGGACCCTGATTTTCGGGCACCCTGAATTTTTTGTTTCTTCGAAGATTATTTCGAGTTCCTATATTTGTAAGGAAGGATCGATTCTTCTGTAGGTCAGGGTCAAACATTCGTTTTCTTTTTCGTTTTTTTTTTTAATTTTATTTTTCTGGTGTGCAATGTGAAGATTCAGTATTAATATTAGCAGCTGATTTCGTTGTGAATATTTTTTTTGGCGTATGTTCGATTAATTTCCTCTCGAACTTTTTTTGTTTGTTATTTGGTGCTCCAAGATTCATCTTCAATGATACCGAACGATTCCCCAATTTTATCGAATTTTCTGGTATTATTCAGAACAAAAAATTGGCATTGTTTAATCTGTTTTTTTATCAGATAGAGAGGAATAATGGAGAAGGAGCTGTGTGAACTTTTTGAATCGGTGAAGAGTGCTGCAGATGGGGCTGAGAACTCACCGAGCGAAGAGGAACGGTGCCTTGATGAGTTAAAGCAGCTCAAGAAGTTCCCTGTCAATTATCAAGTCCTTGTTTCCAGTCAGGTACTTTTATGCATTTCTATCTTGGTTAGTGTCACGTTCGTATTTGATTAGACTTTTAACGACTTTTTCGGGTGTGATTTTCCTGAGGTTTGTGTCTTTTACATCCGACAGAGCTTGGCTTGTGGTAAAAAAAAAAAACTCATTTCGTTTTGTTACACTTAATATACTAATATCATTAGTTGCAAATTTCCACATAAGAGAGTTGTAGGAGTTGATGGTGTATAATATCATGAGTGATTTGTCGTTTTTACTGTCAACACACATACTTTGATCCCCTTCCTTAGTTATATGTTCAACTGTCAGAAGTCCCACTGAAGACTAGGTTGAGTTTTTAGCACGTGTATATCAAAAAACACCATAACTCATTTAATGAATTACGACAAAGAGCTTTATTTGACTTTTGAATGAGGCGCGTGGAGTTACACATGGCATGATTTGTCTCTAATGACCGAAATACTAATGGACTTGTAGTGAAACAGAAACAAAATATAATTTCTCTCTCGAACAACTGATATATTCTGTCAATGGGAAATGATAGCTATTAGCTACTATGCCAAACCTGGAAATGGCTTCTCTTATTGTATATTTAAAAAACATGTTCCTTTTACCGCCTGTTCTTATACTTGGTGGGGTTTCTGTTTTGTCTTTGCTATACAATACGAATAACCAATATTGTGAAACGATTCGGATCTTACTCTATTTATGCCCTACAACTTTATGCCCAATGAAATGGATACATATTGTGTGATTCCAAAATGGGTGCATACCTTCTAAACATCACATATCTTGATAGAATGTGAGTAGTTCTTTTTATCACATTGAACATCCTATTGGAATAACATGCTGCTGTTTGCCACATTACTTTTCTTTGTGCTACCTTTCGGAAACTGTTTTAACTTTTTATATTGAGTGATCTTATAGATGAGAAGATTTTTTCTTCTTTTATCCTTTTCAAGGATCTTGCTACTTTATACGTAGCTTCATAGTCAATTTTCCCTCGAGCTAAATACTTTTTTATTACAGGTTGGCAAACGGCTCCGCCAACTGACAAAACACAGAAGCGAGAAGATCAAGGCATTGGCTTCCGATGTGGTCGATATGTGGAAAAACATAATCGTTAAAGAAACAATGAAAAACAAGAAAAACGAGGCCGCCGAGAATGGCAACTCAGTGAAAGCCGAAACTACCGGTTCAGAAACTAATGGGGCGAAGAATCTCCAGAGATCAAACTCCATCAAGGGCGAGACCAATCCCGCAGCCAAGAAATTGAAGGTGGAGACAAAACCCGCCAAGTTGGAAGTTTCCACCAGCCTCAAAATTGAGAAAACAGAAGTCATTCAGACAACCAAGAACTCCACCGGAAAGCAGTTGCACGTCGAGACAAAAGTCAAAGTGGAGAAAACAACTTCAGTGGGACCACCGAAACTGACGTCTCTAGTCTACTGTAAAGATCCTATACGAGACAAACTCCGTGAGCTTCTCGCAGAAGCTCTCTGCAAAGTCCTAACCGAGGTAGAAGATGACAATTTAAAACAGAGGGTGAATGAATGCGATCCTTACCGAGTTGCTGTCATAGTCGAGACAGCAATGTTCGAAAAGTGGGGCAAATCAAACGGGGCCCAGAAGTTCAAGTACAGGTCAGTGATGTTCAATATTAAGGACCCGAATAATCGGGATTTTCGGAGGAAAGTGCTGCTCGGGGATATTGAGCCGAGGGACATTCTTGAACTGACACCGGAGGAAATGGCGAGCGACGAAAGACAGGTGGAAAATGAGAAGCTCAAACAGAAGGCGTTGTTTAATAGTGAGAGAGCGGCGGCTCCAAAGGCGAGTACTGATCAGTTCACGTGCGGTAGGTGTAAGAAGAAGGAAACAACTTACTATCAGATGCAGACTAGGAGTGCTGATGAGCCTATGACAACCTATGTAACCTGTGTCAACTGTGGTAACCACTGGAAGTTCTGTTGATTTGATTCATATCAACCAATTGTTTGTAGTTTACATGTGGCGGGAGATGATTGGTTCTGGTAAGACCCCCCTCCCCCACACCACCTATGTCTTGATTGGTTCATTGTTTTATGTTGGTGTAGTTTATTTTAGGACTCCAGATTTGATGAGTAGAGCTAATATTTGTTTTAGGAGTTGTTGCTATAACAAGTTTAGGTATTGAAACACTGGTAGTATTTTTGTTTTTCGAATTCTTAATCGGTACTCTGTTTCAAGTTTCTGTTGTGCTGTTTTCACAAATATTATGTTCTTGATTAGATATTGGTAGAATCAGAGAGAATGGAGAAGTTTCGATATTATTATTATTATTCCATGAAAATCAGGTACATTGTCTATGGGGTAACAAAAAAAAAAAAAAAAAGAACAGAGAAATTCTTAAACAGCAGAGGAAGTGGTGATGGTGTGTTTGATGGCCTTGAAAACCTTGGAACTGTTGTCGAAAATGAGAGCCCTTCGGTTGTAGTCGGTGGGGTTGGTTCCGTTGTCTTCACCCATTATAGCTTCTCTCTCCAAGCACTCGAGCAGCTCGACTATCCCATCAATCTTATCGTTTGTTCCGACGAGTTCTTGTTCTTGCTCTACAATGTTGTTGATCTCCATTAGTATCTTGTCTACTTCTAACACTGATGATGAAGAATCCCCTTTGGAACATCTCAAAGTTGTGACAGTTTGCTGGTTTTGAACAGAACGTAAACACACAGTACTAGGACATAAAAACCCAATCTTGGGTGTGAACAAGATAGGTGATGAACGAAATGTATGTGCTGTTTTGACTTGACAAATTGCTCTCTCCATTCTCTCTCTCTCTCTCTAAATCAAATACTCTTGGACGATGGCCTCCAGGATTCTAGGTGCTTTCTCTGGTATATATAGAGTTTCGTGCGGAGGAATGAGGGGGGGGGGAAGTGGGTTCCTGCCACGTGTCAGTATTAGAAATTTTGCTACGTGGCGTAAAGATTGAGCAGATGGAGATTGGCACGCGCCCCTAGGGTGTGGATTTTATGTACCACGTTTTCTTTTCGATAAGGAATCATTTCCAGACAGCGAGATTAAAGGAAGCGGTGGCGGCAGATTTTTCTTTGACTTGGTTGTTTCCAAATTGAGTACGATTTTTACTATAGTTGGTAAAAAAAAAAATTAAATAAGATTTTCATTTAATATACTCCCTCTGTTCCATAATATCTGTCTCTTTTGAGAATTTATTTTGTTCCATATTATCTGTCACTTTACAATTGCTTATTTTTCAATTTTACCCTTATTAACTCTATACCACTCTTCATGTATTAATTAATAAACAAGGGTATTTTGGTCTATCAATATCTATTTTCCTAAAATCAAGACATATTTATTGAGATTCTTAAGATTTGTGCTAAGGTGAAAAACGACACCTATTTAGGAACGGAGGGAGTATATTGTAATATAGATTAGATAAAATTTATCGAACTAGCTTACACATGAAAGTTGAAACAAATACGAATATAACCAAAGAATGAAGAATACATGAAGCATATGACCTATAAAAATAAGAATATAGAAGCTGAATTGAGCTTTAACTAGTTAATAGGGTGAGGATGATGCCACGTAAGCTTGTTTTAGGAGCTTAATGAACCAAGATCCTAAAATTATTTTGGTAATAAAAAGACCTGTGTAAGCCAATGTTTTCCTAGTCAATTATTCAGACATGTCCATTAATCTTCTTTCAGCAGCAATAGCTGCAGCTACAGAAGGTGGCAGATCCCTCAAGCTTCCACTAGACGGCGGCGGCGGCGTCTTATCTTCTTCTGCAGGCGGCGGCGCTACTCTGAATAAGGACTCCACATCCCTGAGAGTCAAACATGGCTGGTCCAGATTCTTTCTGTTCCCACTGATGAACGAATTCGAATCCGTATTCCTACTCTTGTTCATTTTATATATGCTTTCCTCCACAGTGTCTTTCACCTGTCCACCAAGAAAACATTAAGAGTGAAGAAGACAGAATCGAGATATCATATAAACACGAGATTTTGAGAGAGATATTTTACGTACGATAAAACGGTGGACTAGTGTTTTATGCTCCTGTCCAATTCGGTGAACCCTGCCAACCGCTTGTGCTTCAGCTGCTGGATTCAGAAGTGGCTCCACTAGAATGACATGCTGAGCTTCCAAGAGATTTAAACCATTGGCTCCGTGTTGAATTAATAGCAGTAGTACTTGTGGAGTTTCGGTTGCCACTTTATCTTCTTCTTCGGGGTTTTTATCGTTTTCATTGGCATTATTGCTCTTCCGTCCCCTGAATTGGCTGATGGCTATTTGTGATTTCCTAGAGAGTTATACCAAGAAAAATTAATTAAATAAGAAACTCGTGTCTCAGTGGTGCAGTTTGGAAGTATTCGCGTGTGAATATCTTGACCCTCAAAATTTACAACGACAATGGTGGTCAGTCAATACACGAGGATAAGAATCTACCTTCCTCCTTTCATCCTGACGTAGCTTATGCTATTGGCAGTGAAGGCGTGTTGTAAAACATCAAGGACGTCGTTCCAACTGGAGAAAACAAGAGTTTTTGCCTTGGGATCCGCAGAATTAATCTCTAAAATTCTCCTCGTCACTGCTTCAATCTTCGTAATACAACCAACCATTCAAAGTGACAAAAAAAAAAATCAATAATTAGGTTAAGAGATGAACAAGCCTGAGGAATACTAAGCATGCTGGCAGTTTTTTCGTGTCATTTTATTTCAATTGCAAATGACATTTTTACCTTTGTACTGTATGAACCTTGGACAGTAATAGAAGCTTCGGATTTGTCGTAAGTGCAGCATGATTCATTTTGTCTGTCATCAGCAAGCGCAATATTTCCAAAACCAGTGGGTTGCCGGCATGTTGGGCACATCATCCTATCAAATTTTCTAGGTTGAATCAGCCTTCTCTCGGTCATTGCAAGTAAACCTGCACCAATATTATCACTGTGTGTTTTTTTCTTTTTCAAACATTTAAGCATTATTAGGGAGCACACACAAGCAACAGAGGCCAAATGAAACCGGGACAAAACTGACCAGACAGCATTAATATTAGACAAACATTCTTTCTCAGCCGAACATTATTTTCTCTTTTCTAATACCAGCTTATGAAAAGAAATATAACTTTATCTTACAAAAACACTTTTATTCTGTTCAAGCCGAGATTATAATGATATACAGGTTTTAAATAAATATATAAAATCTGTAAACTGCAATGAACTAATGTAGAATGGATTGAAGACATTTTCACTTGATAATGACTAAAAGTTAAGTATTTGACAATAAACATGAAAGCATTCAGACTTCAGAGAGCTTCGTGCTTACTGCTAATTGATTTTGCTGCTGATCATACACTCACTCAACAAGATCGAGCCACTAAATTTGCACAAGGCTTATCAGTAGATTTTATAAACTATGCCTAGCAGAAGATACAAGTCATGAAGCACTAAATATGATCACTATTCTAAACATACAGGGGAAGAGAAAAAATAGAGAAATACTCGACAAGAGCCATCATTTCATGCACAAAGTAGTGCGAGGAAAGAGAAGTTATGGCCGACAGACTTACATTTACAGCATGTGACATGTCCACATTGAAAGACCATTTTCTGACTACCGAGATGCTCTTGACAAACTGGGCATGATTCTGCAACTGTTTTAGGTATGCATCCATTTGCTGAAAGCACCTCCGCTTTGGCTACAGTAGAAGCACTAGTGCTTTCTGATTTCATGTTTTGATTAGATTGTACCAAACCCTGGCAAAGGATAAGTGAGTAGCTGCAATTAACATACCAGTATTACAGTCGTAATATAAGATGCTGTTTATTTATGATCCGCTATTAGATGCAACAAGAACTTGTGGCTAAATCACTTAAACTAAAAGGAATCTTGCTTGACTAAACTTATTAGAAAGTACTCACCTCTAGTCAACATGAAGCATGCAAATATTGCATTAGGTACTGCCTGCACTGACTATTCAGACTAAATTTGTATTCTCGAATTTGGACATCATTACGTGAAACTTCCAATGGAAGAGAACTTCTATAATAAATTCTTTATGCAACACTTTTTATACATTACATAGTTATATCCAAACTCTAGGCAACTGTTCATTATATCATGTGGTTGACTGAATTCGGAGTAACAGTTATATGGAAAGCAAAATCATGTTGGACGTTAATGAATGATCCAACACAAGGAAACAGAACACTCAACATGCTGCCAAAAACTGAGGCTTTCTTACCTTTAAATAACGAAGTTGTCCTTTTATCCTTGACAATGAATCCTGTGCTATAAACTTTTCACTAGAATTTTCAACACTAGCTGCATCCAACTCGTCTAGACTTAAAGCATCAATAGACTTATCATCCTCATTTTCTCTAACGCGTAACCTTGAGGTTGCCATCTTAATTTCATCATGAGCACGCAACACCTGTGCCTGAGAGATCGCCAAAGACCTTGCTAGGGCATACTCCTTGCGCATTGCCTGAATAGCAAATTATAGGGACATCAGGCCAGATAGACAGAGATCTACTGAATAATCAAAATGAGATGGAACTTATGCACTCGTATCCAGCATAAGTTCGTTCTGTAAGCATTGAGGTAGCACATCCCCATTTAATATTTTACGAAGGGAAAGAAATATCTCTTTTGTAAAGAGCACAGTAATGCAAATTACATGATGTGTATTTTCATGATTGCTTATGGATTATAATACATGATGTGTTTTTGACTCAGCTAAAGTCTAAAATTTTGGAAACAAAAGTGAGTGAAGAAGTTAAAAACACATCATGTATTGTAAACCATAAGCAATCCTGGAAATACCGAAGAACTATGTTTGCCATACTTCAAGAAGATCAAGCTGGTTTCTGGCTGTCGAAATTCTGTCTCTTTCTAAGAATCCCCTGGAGTTGTTTCTGATTATTGTCAGCACAATCTCCAAATCAGATGGTGACTTTGAGACCTGCCAGAACAATTTCGTGAAGAGAATATAATATAAGATGTTACTGCCTTAACCATGCTATTATAACACTCGGGGGTGATCAAAAGACATAGAAAACATACAAACAAAAGGAATCATATAACTAACCGTCACAGTTTCGCCCACATTCCTCTTCTTTCCATTATTTTCATAGTCAGAAGCAGACAAAGCTGAACTTTTGTCATCTCGAGACAAATTCGAATAAAACTGATTCAGAGCAGACTTCTTCTTTTGCATATTCACTGCTTCTTCTGCAGATGTGATCACCTCTCCGTTATTGTTTTTGTTAAGGCGAAAGAGCCTTGCTTCGTAAACCTGGTCAGAAGAGATTTTATAAAGAAAAGGTTACATAGTGCACATGTCATAATACTTGAGAAAGGTGACAAACGATATAAAGCTACAAACCTGAAATATTTCATCCAACTCACAATGGGTACATGCAGGACCATCACAGTTGGCCATGCACTTTTTACAGTATCTCACCCTTGAAATATCCTCCTCTCTAGGATTTTCCATTGTTTGGTCAATCTCCACGAGTCTATCAAGTAAAGTTTTTCTTGACCCTTCCAAAGCATCCAATCCAGTTTGAATGTAGTATTTTAGAGTTGTTATGCTGCGGAAGCTGCTTGAAAACACAATAAAACATTGGGGGTGTTGCTAAGGAATTCAAAGTAGTTGTATTTAATAGCTCCATGACAGCACAAATTTCAAGTCAATAAGGAGCAGTTTGCTTTGTTCTTCAGAAATTAAAGTGAGATAATGATCAAGTAAAATAGCACAGATATGGAAACACTGAGTCTACGATACATCCGAAAAAGCTTGCACGCAAAATTTTCATTAGGTGGAAGTAGTTTAAAACCAGAAGGCAAATCATCACTAACCATGCCGAGATTCTTGATTTCTTATTCAAATTCCCAGAAAGAGCTTCTCCTATTTTTTGGATCAGAGAGCTGGACGAATCCTGGTTTTGCTCAAAGTGATATAGGGCATCCAACCACCATGTTGTATCCTGATTTTTCCTTTCTGTAAACGCCCCACAGACCTGATAGGGAGAGGGATAGAAAGAGACTCGTTAAAGAGAAAAACCAACAACGATGACAGTTAAAAGAACCAGAATTACATGAAAGTAAGATATTGGACTAACAAAAAAAATCAAGATAAAATCCAAAATGGTGCATTCACATTCAGCTAGATGCAATTCAAGCTTAATGCAAATCACAAAAATAAGTAATGCATGCAATATATTTCTCCACCGTGGGATTGCGTCGGTCTATTCCATATAATATGCTCAATATACAAAATTTGTGCTGCTTAAGCACAGCAGGAGAAATCGTATATGCTATAAAAAATACAAAATAAATTCAAAATGCACTATGTCCAAGTCCACTAAAATATACTGCAAGCATAGACAACAGAATGACATCTGTTTAACAAGAATAAGTGTGATCTAAAATAGAATGAAACCAGAAACCTGTTCATATGATCTCCTGAACTCTTGTTGAGCCAAACATAACTTTGAAGTAAATATAGACAAGAACTTCTGCTTTACATCTTCGCACACTTCTCGCAAGCGCTGAACATACGTTGATATATGCGGCTGAATGTCATTAATAATTTCACCATTTCTCGCCAAGCTCGATGGAGAATTAAGTGAATTATGAGAAATTATGTTTGGATTGGGATGTTGAAAGATCTTCTCAGTAAACGGCAACACTTCAGCAAGATTATGATGAATGTGGATGTTCAACAGAGGATCCAAGCGGAAATCATCGGATTGTTCTTTAACTAAATCCAGTGCCTCTTTATACAACAATACAGCTTCAGGAAAATCTTGCTTGAGTATAGCTATACCCGCAAGTCCATTCAATGCAACAACTAATTTCCTGAGGGCGTCCTCGCCTTCTATTTTTGTCTTGCCTATAAGAACCTGGAGAAAAGAAATCTTAGTTAATAGACGAAAGCAGCAAACTCGATGAAACTTTTGAACAAAGTGATAGGTTTGTATTAATACTAAACCCACCGATAGTATCTCATCCATGGTCATGGGAGACTTCTGCAGAGAACGTAAACCAGAACTTCCTACTTGAGGATGGCAGCAGGCTTGACGTAGCTTTAGAAGCGAGTTGAACAGCTTTGCAGCATCCATATTGGTGATATAAGTTTCAGATGAAGTATCATATGACCCGGAATCTGGACAAAAAATTATGATCATTGTTTATGGTATAATTAGGGGAAATTACAAACACCCCACCCTCAGACATTAAAATGAGATCCTCTAATAGCATTTCTCAGAAACAAAAAAAAAAAAAAAAGGTGTTGTGCTTGTCTCTAACTTCAAAGTCGATGCTCAACTTTATGGAAAAATAAAAAATCTTTTGACATCTTATTTGGCTCACAGTTTAAATATCAAATGACATGATACAAATTTATTGAAAAAAACCTGATGTTTTGTTCTTTCTAACATCATCCTTAAAGCTTTCAACAACTTCTCGAGCATCATCCACACAAGTTTCATGTTGCCTCTGGTAGAAATGCTCTTCAATTGGTGAGAGGGAGAGCCAAGAGACACGTTCCTCCTGAGGAGGAAGTTGCAACTCATCCCAAACATGTGCCTTTGAGGAGCGCCACATAAGTTGTTTGAAATAGTTGTGCGTGAAAGCCCTAGCACCTGCATCCCCCCTCTGCAAAATGAGATAAAAGAGGCAATTTCAACCTCAGTCAAATCAAAATATTCATAACATAGTAATATTTCCATACCTCATATGGATTAGAAATAACATCAGTCCACCAACGAAGAACATCAAATGGGCTTGACTGGAGAAACCTGAGAAGTCCATATAGGTCGTCAAGTTTTCGTTGGATGGGAGTTCCTGTTATGCACCAACGATGTTTTGCATGTAGACGCAATGCCAATTCTGTTGCTGCTGCAGCACTACCCTCCACCATTTGAGCTTCATCCAAACATATTCTCCACCATAATACTCTGGTTAGAAGAGTTGGAACAACTGGGTATCTACGACAAACCCAAAGAATATCCCAATCAACAAGATGCTTAGGATAAAAAAAATCAATAAATATAACAGCAGTGAAGGTAAAAGGATCTCTTGTGTATCTTCCTATGCAGATGTTCATAGCTTGTTTTGGAATTAAAAAAATATATATATTTGCCTTAATATGAAAATCTTCCATTGTTGTTTTTGACACCAGGGAAGAGTGTTTTGTCCTCAAAGCATATTTTTGGAATATGGTGTTCGCGCCAAACTAGGCATTAAAAACCTCCAATGTTCAAAAGAAAGTTTGCTACCTCTTCATGTATCTCATAAAGCGCCGATCACCTTCATGTCTGTCAGAATCATGTGGCAAATCCTCTTTAAGCACGTCGTAAGTTGTCAAGACAACATCAGCACTTAGAAGTTCATCGATATCAGGAAGAGGTTCATTGGAGAAGGAAGAATGTCTAACTCCTCCATAAATACATATTCTCAAAGAGCCAGGTTTTGTATGACTGTTGAAGAAATGAAAGACAATGGATAGAATATAAGTAAAAGCGAGCAAAACAAGGATGATAAGAACAAACAAAGAAAGAAAATAAAGTAAAATTATGAACCAAAGATCTAACAATTTTTGTTGCTGGATACAAGGAACACGGATTCAATTATTCTTCAAAATATTATTCATATTTCATTCGTAACTCTCATAAAGGTTATGCACATACAAGAGGAAAATAACATATTCCATCTACAACAGACGCATATGAGAGGAAAGGTAAACAGGCATGATTTCATGAATAAACTACACTATAATTGGTAGGACTTAATAATCCTGAGTAATAGTTTGGCTAAATTAAAACAGATATACTCCATCTAACTCAATTTTTCTACAGACTCGGGAACATAAGAGGCCCCAACTTCCAGCATACCGCCTTTGGGGAAGCCCAGGCTCCAAGGACATTTTTAGAGTGATAGATAAATTAGGACATCTAGAATAAATAATATATATAGTCGAACAAGAATGACTTTCCACAAATTGTAGTTATCCAATCGTAGTTAGATTTTCAGCATATTAATATAAACAGATATAAGAGAAGAAATTTAGATAGACGAGTAGCTTTCTCAGTAAATACACCATGATCCAAGATCTAAGGACCTGTTAATAGGCCATATGCACAGTACCAAGAGTTATCTTCTACATATGTAATAGCTAAATGTCAGAAGCACAATGCAAGCATCTGTGGATTAGCTGACACAAACATAGGATATCCAGTCACAAAAAAGCAATTAGGTTCAAGAGACTCCAAATAAATGCACAGGGCGAGTTACCGAAGAATTTCAGAATGCCACTGGAGCAATATGGGAGTTGGGCAAACAACAAGAGTTGCACCTGAAGCAACTGGAGATTCTGTGGCCTGGATTAGCTCTGAGCACGTATGACATATATACTCACCAACCATCTCAACTACTTCAGTGTCGTTCTTTCTCTTTCTACAATTCCTTGAGTTTCCAGTTGAGCCCTCCTCGTATTTTTGTCCTCCAGTGGCTTCCCCAGATTTTGAAATCTTTCCTTTCACTGAATACCCAACGCAATCTGCATGCTGCCAAGCATCACAAAAGTCACACTGCACCCACATACCTTCATATTTGTAACTTTCATTGACAGCACCACATAAGCACTCAACCCGCTCCCTTTTCAATCTTTTGAGATTATTCTTTTGGAATCTTTTGGCTTGTATTGCCATATAAGAACCACCGGCAACTTCAGATGATGGCATACGGTGAGTGAAAATACAAGAGAGCAGCTCTATAGTTTTCCCCAAGCCCATTTCATCTATGTTTCGTCATAAGCAATGCAACACCAGCAACCATAGGACCATCAGTTAATCTTATTTTCAATCAAAATCCAGATTTTACAATAAAATAACAGACGATGATATAAAACTGCTGCCGTAGTTTTAGGTAGAGATTTTTACGCTCGTTAATATAAAACTGAATACAGAAAAATATGTCTTTTGAAGGTGAAAAATGTGTTGAATATAACTCCTCAAAGTTAAAGAGACTAAACTTAAACATTTCCTAGTCTAAAGACCTAGATAGTATAAACCAGAAGTACCCAATAACTGAAGAAAAGATGCATTAATTATTACTTGTAAATGTAAAACTCGAGAAAGTTCACGTACCAGCAAGAATTCCACCGGAGACATATGATGAGCAGCAACTAGCATGCAATGAAACATTTCCACTAGAGCATAAAATATGAAAAATAGCAGATGTGTTATTTTGGGTAATTTAAATTTGCTCAGAGAAGTTATTCAATAAAAGCTGCAATAAAAAACTAAATGAAGACGTGGAAGTAAATCAATGACATTTTATAATTACACAAATAGGACAAGGAATCATCACCAAGGTTACAGTTCCCCTTATGGAAAAGTTTTGAAAGCCAAAAATGAATAATTGAATCAGGAAAGAAGAAAAGTAATATGAATCACCTGCAGGTTGGGCAACAAAGTAGCAAAAGCAGATAAATGTCGACAATCAAATCTCAGTAATGTATATTAGATAATTTGGTAAAATAAATAAATTTCAACCTGGGGTTCAACACCTTCAAGATAAGAAATACTTAAACTAATCATCTAACTCTAAATAAAAAAAATAAAAAATAAAATTAAGCGGTTTTAGCTATTGATACCTAATCAAGATAAATTTGCTTATAGAAAAGATTGAGAAACATACCTAAAAGGGTTATAATAAATTCTTCTAGAGGTGTCGATTAAATTTAGAGGCATGCATAGAGGAGAGACAATCTGATTTCTTTGATTTCCATCTAAATTTTCAGAATCACCTTCCTCTCGTTTTACCATCCAGTAAACAGCACGACGCTGATATGGTCTTAGTTCAGGAAGCAAGTTGGCCAGGACATCATCCTCCAGCATTGGTGCCCCCCTTTTTGTAACAAATCGATCAGGTGAATTTCATTAGAGACATACTCCAAAAAATAAAAATCATAATAAAGGGTAAGCTGCAGTTTCCATCAATACTCACTTTGATGGCTTGATAGCTTCATAAAAGCTGGAAACTTCAAATCTCACTTGTTTTCTTGATGCAGAGAAATCACCATCCTTATGTTCCCCAGCATTATATCCATATCTAGCTTCCGAAGTCAAAACTTCTGGCCGAAGCCATGCCATAACACTCATCATACTTTTCTTCCAGAGCGGCCTCGTATTATCGAGAAGGGACTCACACTCATCAAACGCACTTTTCAGAATCTCAACCCGGACAGAAATGGATGACATGCCCTCCAAAAACTCGTCTCCTAAAATTGGCCTAACAGTCAAGTACTTCAAACTAGCCAAATGAACAAGACCTGTAACTCCTTCGTCTGTCCCATCAACATTTCCAGAGACCATGACAACATCCCTCTCAGATCCATCGACCGTGCATTTCATCATAAACTGCAAACACGTATTACCCTCTGACAAAACCGGCCAATGCCCTAATTTGATACGACCGAGATGCTCATTCACATTACTCAAGCTAAACCTCAAGAAGAAACTTGAATCCCCATAGAACTCATCAGTCAGCTTATATCCATAAAACTCCGAGCTCACCCTCAAATTCAACAATAGAATTTCGGAGACATCATAATGTTCCTCAGAAACCCAGTTAGACTTTTCGATTCCAACAAAAAATGGTTCCTCGGCAATCTCGTCTTTTCTAGGTTGTGCATCGTTATCTTTGTTTAACTCTGATTCAGATGACTGCTTCTCTAATATTTCTCCCGTCCTATGAGGCCGAATTTGTTTCCTTCTACCCATCTACACAGAAAAAAAAAAGATATTACTCGTAAAAATTCAAAAACTAACCTAAAATTACTAATTTGAACACGCAGAAACAGAGTAACTATCATCTGATGCAAAATTCAGTTTCGGAATGTATTCAAAGAATTACATGAAATTTGTTCCTCCGTAGATGCAAGTGTAAGCAATTGATATACCTATAATCGCATTCACCTAGAACTGCCCGCTATTCTGTGTGTTTATGAACAAGGGTTTGAGTTAAAAGTAAAACCTGGAAATTATCCTGTTCGTCCTCTTTTTCTGGTATAACACGCGGGAAATTCGAGATTAATGCAACTGGAGGAGTAGGAATTCCGGCAAGCAAAACCAATTGTACGATTGGTTACTCTGTAGTTTCGCCTACGGCGGCGCAACGGTGACTACGTCGGTCGCAAATATTCGATTCACGAATCTTTCATAGTTTTGTTGAAAATAAATTATGTACCCCGGATTTGTCGGAGGGCCGGTTCTATTGGTTTTAACTTTTAAGTGACGGTTGATAAGTAGATTTAGGGCGTTTTCGGGCCGGGTATGGGTCGATTTTATTGGCCCGATTGTTTGGGCGAAAATTTTAGGGTAAATTACACTTTACCCCCTCGTACTCTTCCTGAGAATCACTTTACCCCCTCGTACTCTCAATTTTATCGATTTACCCCCTTGTACTTGTACAATTTCCCAATATAGCCCTTTCCTTCAACTTTTGTCAATTTTGACTATCACGCCGTTTGGTCAACTCTGTAAATTACAAAATTGCCACTGCCTATAACGCGTCGTTTCTCCTCTGTCAATATTGCCATTTCTTCTTCTTCCACCACTTCCCCTTCCAAAATATCCCCAAATTGAACACCTAACTTAGTAAAAATCAAGACCCAAAAATTGATCGATTCCACCTAGTGCAAAGAAAAAAATATATGAATGTGTGAAACTTTCTCTTTTATAATCTCGAGAGTCAAAATCGAAAGAAATTAATATTTACGTCAATATTTTAACTCTTGACCAAATGGCGTCATAGTCAAAATCGAAAAAAGTTGACGAAGAGGGTTGTATTGGGAAATTGTACAAGTACAAGGGGGTAAATTGACGAAATTAAGAGTACGAGGGGGTAAAGTGATTCTTGGGCAGAGTACAAGGGGGTAAAGTGGAATTTACCCAAAATTTTATAATCAAGTCGGTAATTTGAACCGACCCATATATAATCGACTTTATTAATAATAAATATTTATTATAAAATATTTAATTGTAATTCTTATTTTTTTAAAGAAGTAAAAAATAATATATATTTCTCATGAGAGTACAAATAAATAAATAAATACAAAGTATATGTATGTATAGACTATAGTCACACTGTATGCAACATTACAACTATACCTGTAACATGACCTCTATATCTCACACTCCTATTTCATCTGTCAAAACAAACATATAGGTGACGAATATAAAAACGAAAAAAAATAAAAAATAACTCCGAATCGAGAATAATCAATGATCACTTGTTCAACACTTGGCTAGGCGACGAATATCCCATTAGCCGATGAAGTGGAGAATTCGATGATTCTGGAATCTCTTCGATTTCCGAGGTTGCTTTGCTCTTCAACGTAGATTTCATCTTTATGTTGTAATAGTAAGACTTCCGCTCGGCTTCTTCGTCAAACGAGGGTGGTAATCTAACCTCAGCCTCCCCTCCCGTAGAGCAACTCTTGCACAACGATCTCCCGTAATCATCCGAATACGATACAGCGTCCACGTTTCCGCAGGAGCTACAGTGAGACAGCGGTCGTGGTGGTGGTGGTCCCGGAGTATTCCTCCGGCTCGTAGCACTGGGCGGAGGGGCGGAAGCTTCCGGAAGGTACGGAACTAAACGAGTTCCTTCCAGAAGCGAATACTTCAGAACCTTTTTACACGCGTTGCACTTCAGCCGATGGTATCGTTTCTCGAAGAGGATAAAGTCCGCTGGAAGCAGCAATAGCTCCGAGCAACGATAGCAAGCCACGAACGGGGCCCCACCTGCTAATGGCCGTAGATGCCTCTTTGCTGGATGTGATCGTTTCATATCGTTAGATTTCCGTAACGAGAATTCAGAGCTTGTGCGATAACGATGTGGGCTCGTGTGGGCCCCACAGCTGTAGTTCGTTGGGAACTGAGCCGAGTAGTGATAGTTTTGGGGAGAGCAGTGCGGGCAGGAGCAGATATCTCGATGCATGTAATGAGAAGCGGCGTCGCCCGAGAAAGCCAGCCTAGGTATGTTGCATCGTGGGTTGTATATGTTGCCAGATGGCGGCATTCTATTGGGTGACGAAATTTCGGGGAAATTCATCCGATTGAGCTGATCTTTCAGCTCGTTCACTGTTCTCAACAGCTCGGATTTATCCGGCTCCGAGGATGAGTTGAAACCTGGACGTGGCGGAAGCAAATTGCCCCGATATTTGGCACGGGTATTAATTTCACTAGATTTGGTAGCTCGGGGGGCCCACGGGCTGCTTTTTATTGGACGATGACTCGAGGGATTCATAGTGCTCCAATAATTCGTCTCTGCGGGGCCCATATCCTTGTTCTTTCTCGAGAAATGCGAGGCACGTTCGAAGTCGGTTCCATCGTAAGAAGATTCACTACCATCATAATAAGCATAGAAGTTATTGTTGCCCCTTGATTCGTGTTTATTATAGGCGGCAGGAGGCGAACTTTCGAGTGTATCTAAAGAGCTAATTCTTCCAAAATTACGGGCCGGAAAATGTTCGGGGGACGAGAGGTAAAACGACACAATGGAACCATCCGCACTTGCGCTCGTGTTTTTCTCTCTCCTCGAGTTTCTAAAAGCAGGAAGGCCGTTATTAGTGGCGGCACCATCTACTTTGAGACCTTGCGATGCATCGTCATTTTTGTGAAAGCCCACATTTTGATCTGCGAAACAAATCGGGCCCTTTTCGTCATTTTGCGGCGGAGACTCGAGATCGGGCAAATTCTTGACCGTGCCAGCAAAACTGTCACCTTCTTGCAGAGAATCTTGACATCTTACGTTGTCTTCATTATCGAGCGAAGAACCGGACTTAGTGGAATCGTGTTTTGAGCTGCTGGCTTCATTATTTTCCTCCGAGACGCAATCTTGCTGGATTATTGTTGAAGCAGAGCTTGTTTGGTTTGAGGATGATTCGGTGCCATTGGTCTCAAGATTCCGAATTTTAGCTGTAATAAAATTGAAGGGCCGTTACCGAAAGGCTGATTAACGTAAACAAGCAAGAACGGATACGATGAAATACAATAAGTAGAGCAAGGCTACTTATTTTACCTTGAAGAATAGTGTCACATACTCCACATTTATACAGAGAAACACCGGGCAACTCGGGTAGAATTTGTCGACACTTAGGGCATCTAACTAATCGAATTTTGGTGCTCGTTTGAGTAGCCATGGTTCACCGGTTAACGGCAACTTAGAACTCCGATACCCCTGCCCAAATCACCGAATTCTGCCATAAACCATAAATAAATTTGGAGTAATGAGTAATAACATAGTAAAAATTAAACCAAACCATCAAACAAACCCCACACTAAATTCTTGAAATTAGGTCAAAATTCAAGAACCCACAATTCTATATCCAGCAAAAGTTAAAAACAACCCCACCAAATCCTTAAGCAGCATCTATCTAAGTATCACCCAAAAAGAAAAACATATAAAGATTCAAACTTTACATAAAGTGCAATTACAATTGGATATTTATAAGATCCCAAAATAGAAAAAGAAATAAAAATTCAATCTTTACTACGAACAAGTCAACCATTACCAATTTCAGTATACACAGATCCCATCGAACTGCAACTCATTAATCATCAAATATTTCATCGCAATTAAAATAAAAAATAAAAAATCATACCTTAATTTAATGCAGTATAATACCAGTAAATATCATCAACAATTAGGGCACTTCGTAAACCCTCTTCTCTCCGACCACATACACAAGAATTGAAATTATAATTGTAGAGAGAGAAAGTGCTTACGAAAAAGCAAGAAAATTTGAGAGTCAAGGTTATAGAAAATGGGGTTAATGAAACTCGTGGCTGGAAAATTGTTTTGCTTTAACGCCAAATTCAAAGTTCCTCAAATTCCTGGTATTTTACACCCTCTCTCTCTCTCTCTCTCTTCTTTCTCTCTCTACTTTCTCTCTCTTGTTTCTCTACTCTCCAACTTTGTAGCTGGTAACGATAATGGTGAAGTATTCTTGCCGTGTTTGAGAAGTATGTCAATCTCAAAAGTCGAATTCTTGGGTCATAATTATTATGTGACTCCAAACACAACCTCTCTCTCTCTCTCTCTCTCTCTCTCTCTCACACACACACACTACAACACACGAAGAAAGCACACACTTATCTTGGTTGGGAGAGAAAAACACAGTTCTCGATTACAGCGCGTCGGAAATAACTAAAGTTTTTTAGTCAAGTTATATGACACGTATGCACAACCTTCGTTTTCTAGTGCTAAGTCAACCTTATTATAAAAAATAAAAATAAAAAACTCGAAAAAGAAAAAGAAAAAAAGAAAACCGATGAGCAAATAGTGGCTGGTTCGTAAAAAACTCGGCGTAGCGTATGATGACTGCTGTTCGAGTGAAGGAGTGGGCCCCACCTTAGTGATGACGGCTCGGCGAGCCATTAATACCCCAGCCGACCACGCCTGAGCTGTTGGGTGGGACCCAGTGATACGGAGGCTCAAACAATATTCAATTAGAAGCTGGCATAATAGTGACACGTCACCGTGACGTGCTAAGTGACCTGTGTTTTGCAATTATTATTTAGCAATTAATTAGTAGCTATCTTAAATTTAATTTATGAACTATTTTCTGGTTGGAAATCTAAGGAATTAATGTATCAATTTTTATTTTTATTTTAAATAAAATATATGGTATTATATTCATTTCAAAATATAATTAGTATTTTGTTACATATGATTATTAGAAAATAGATATATATAAAAAAAAGACAAATGTTTTTTAATGTTTAATTTAATGATGTTTAAGAAGTGTTTATCTACTAATTATTATTTTGAATATATTTATCAATCGGAACGAAGTTCCAAATCTGACAATAAGTCAATGATTCTCTTCTAGAAGATTATACCCACTCATGAGAAATTATTTGGAAAATATTACGAGCACCTTTTTGGTTTTAATTATTAAAAAGAAAATTACATTTGTTTATTATCAAACTCTAAACTTATTTGTTTTGACTATTTCATAGAATAAAGTTACTTTTAAAAAAATTAAAAAAAATGTGGGGTAAGTGTATTTAAAAAAATTATATTTATTTTCAAAAAGCTCATTATTTAAAAGAGTTTATAAGCTCTTAAATATTTTTAAGTTCTTTTTACTTTAAGACCAAGATTTGAGATCCATTGTATAACAAAGAAATAAAGTGAAGTTAGAAATTACCATGCAAAAAGTTTACATCAATTTTCCATAAAACGAGCTGAGCGGACTCATAACATCCACACAAACAAAACAAACACTATAGATACATATCACATATGTATATATATTTCGAATCTTTTTTTTTTTCTTTTTGTAAAATATTTGCAAAAACTGTTCAAATTTCCCATTTTCTTGTACTAATTATACAAACAAGAAACTTGCCTTAGCAATTGTATGGTGGTGTAAAAGTAGTTATAAACCAAGAAAATGAAAAATCATACAACAAAAACAAATGGAAACATGCTATATAATATGTCCCTTTTTTTTCTTTTTCTTTTTTTTTTAATTCCTAAAAAAAAAAAGACAAAGTCAAAGTCAATTGTTTGACTCAGAAATAGCCATAGTTTTCTTATGAAGCTCCAACTTGTTAGCACCTACAAGTTTGTCCAATTGTCTTCCCTCTCTCAGGAAATAGAATGTTGGTGTTGCTTTTATATCCCATGAATTACTGAATTCCTGCACCAAATTAATAAAATTAATTAATAAATACTTATATATATATATATATATATATATATATATATTTCAATGATTTATATAAGTCGATCGTATATACGTACAGCTAAGTCGTCGACATCAACGGTTAAAAACAACATGGCGGGATATTTATCAGCAAGTTCGCTATAAGCCGTTGTTATCTGTCTACAAGGACTGCACCAAGATGCACTGAAATTCACCACCACCTGCTTCGAAAATATTGTTTTTATTATTATTTTTTGAAGTCACTTTCGGAACCATACCATAATGCAACGGAAAAAAAAAAAAAAGAAAAAGAAGAAAAACGTAACAATTTTGCCATCCTTATAAGCTTCTGATGTCTCTTTCTCCCACTTCTCCATCGTGTTTATTAGGCGGACGTTGCCACCTGTCAGATCACGAGGCACGGTCTCATCTTTGGTACCTCGTTTGCACGAAGGCCATAAACACGAATGCTTGCCAGGCTGCAGCTGTTATTAATATTCACGAAATCAATTTAAATAAAAAAAAAAGACGAATTTACTTCGAGATAAAAAATTGTAAGCTGTTAATTACCTTAGTCCAGCACTGTCCCATCGGCAATTCAGAGCTGAACCCTGGCGAAACGGACTACAGAAGCGACCTGTATTATATATATAGGCGCAAATACATATCGTTTAGTTAATTTTTACCTTCTTCGATCAAATGAACGAAAAACCAACTCGGAAATTAGATGTCATAAATGCCTAAGTTAACGAAAAATCCGTTGTGCCAACAATTGCGATTAGGTTGTGTATGAAGACGATTCTTATATACACAACACATCCTTAAACCTTTTTAAAGCCGTTGTTTTCAATTTTGATCGATCAAATCATCCCATCTGATATTTTTTCCGACCACAACACATTTCAAGCCAATAAATTAAAAGAAAAAAGAAAAAGAAATCAGCCATGCAAAAACAGGGTAAATGTTCATTAATCATCAGAAAAAAAATTGTATCTCAGTTATTTACGAGCGAATCCTGCAAATTCTTGTAAGCTGTACGATCCTTGATTCCTTGGAAACGTACAACGTCGATTTCGCTGCGTTGATCCATTGTAGTTTTTGGCAAAAATCATTGTGCTATTACAATCATCGTGATGAAATCAATAGAAAAAAATATTACCTTGGGATTTTGTGGAGATGATGAGTTCGATAAAACAACATTAAAAAAAATGGTGGAGATGAAAAGAAAGAGATGCCCAGATGAAAAATATGCGGAGAGCTTGCACAAAATTGAAAGCTGGTGGTTGTGGGACAATACAAAAGGAAACAAGTTTTATTTCATTTTATCTATTTTTAAAATATTATATATAATTTATTTAAATTACAATTAAAACATAAGTAATATACTTTTTTAGGGGCCTTCCAGTTTATACATATATATATATTTTTCAAAGTATCTAATATTTCTTAAATAAAGGATGGTGATAAAAATAAATAATATTATTAACATAAATAGTAATTTAGTATTTAATAAAATAAAAAACACAAAATCAGGACTCTAAAATAAAGCAAGACTCACTCATATGTTATGAAAGTATGATCCCATCATCATGTTTCTCAATGATCAAGTCAAAGATTTTTCTTGCAAGGAATTACTACCCTTTTTTTATGTCAGCAAGTTTATACAAAAGGATTTCCTCGAAAACAACTCGAAAAAAATAAAAAGTCAAAAACGAGGGAATAGGAAAATGTATCGCGAGACAAGCTATATTACGAGTTGCGCTTTTCGAGTTTTTCGATTTCTTCTTGATTTTTTATTTCAGCTTCTAGAAGTTCCCTCGCAGCATCCTCTTCATCCTCCTTTTCGTCACGGGCTTCAAACTCCTTGGCAGCAGCCAATGCTTTAACAACCGGGTCCCGCAGCTCGGAAATTAAACCACCACCTATCCTGTACTCTTCTTCATCTCCGATCAAGAACAGCCGTTGATCAGGTCCACTTGCCATGGGTATGTCCACAGCCAATAGTTTCATATCGTACTGCACAACATTTAATTCGATTAACTAAATATAAAGTCTTGATATTTAGGCAAGAAAGTATAAATTCAAGAACTGAAAACAGGATGAGGTGGCGTCGAAAGAAAAACCTGGCCTTTCTTCTTCTTGGCTTCAACACTGACTAAACCCTTCCTTTCGGAACCTTGGATGGGGAAAATAAGGAAACACCGTTTGCTTCTTAAACCGGGTTGGAAATTCTTGAGAGAGATGCCACCACCAGACATGACGTATGCTCTCAAATCCGTTCCTGTAAGAGGGGCACCCATAACCTCGAGAATACCAGCTGATGTATTGAGCCTCCTCATCGCCATTCTGTAAACTTTATCTGGATTTATGGTGAATCTTGAACGGAAATACAAGCCCTTTTACATGAGAAACGAAAAAGTGTATTATGATCATTATAGATGGATGCTTGATTGAAAAGCCAAAAAAACATAATGCATCGGTTAAATGTTTGCACATTACTTCAATTCTTGGCTGAAAAAAAAGAGAGATGATATGCCGAGAAGGGAGGAAAAGAAGCAATGAAAAATACCAACATAATAAAACTCAATCGTTCACTCCCATTTTCCTTCAGTTCTCTGAATAGAACGCGTTCTTATCCTTACATGAATGACTTAGAAGTTACATAGATTCAAATTTGGTAAAATGACAGATTATATACTGATCATGGAACTTTACGATATTCATCCTCACAAGCACGGGACCCACGAGCCAACTTAAGCACATCACCAACAAAACCATAAGAAAAACTACCAGCATTTATTCTGATCTTTTGTTCCCATTTTCTCCTTCTAAACTGAGTCTTATTATCAAGCAACAGTAGAATGTGGACTATCGAGAAGATAAACTTGAATTGAAGTAATAAACTCTACCCGACTAAACAGGGGGGCTTGGATTTTTGGTTTAGATATGAGAATATTATTCTGTTGGGCTAGTATTAACGCAAACAAATCGTTCGAGGAAAACATGATTTCTAACTCGGAGAGTGAGATCTCAAAGACGCGGTACTTACCAATTCAAGGTATAACGAACGGAACGAGGTCTTGAAAGAAGATATCGAACCCCGAACATATCAGACTATCTCAATTGGAACAAATCAATCAGGATCCAGCCTCAGAACAATATGTCGACCGGAAATAGTTACTAATTACGATAAATTGATCAGCATGTGGCTATAATGGAAACGGTTGTACAACAACAAAGCTCCTCTAATATGTATTTTCCAAGTTATGAAGACTAATATTTTTTTCATACCACCACACAATTTAGAATACATCACTACTATGCACATTCCACAAAGACATCAGCAAACAAATCTCCATTCACCATTAAATGACTAAATGAAAATCATCACCAACCGAAACTCCGAACTAAATAAAACGAAAGAAACGCTAACAAATTCATCAGCTCGAACAAGCAAAAGAGAAACTCACAGTGAAAGCAACGATGGCGGATGAAAGAGCCAGAAACCCATACTTGGCCATGCCCTCCGAAAACCCAATAAAAGTACTCGCAATACCAAACAAGACCCGCCATAGCAAAATGCACACCACAAAACCACCTGCACCCAGCACCACCAGATAATTCCTCTTCCAGAACGCTTCAATATGCAGCACCACCGCCTCCTTGTAACGTGCCAGCGCACTCTTCAAAGTCAGAGCAGGGTTTTTCATCGCTTTCTTAGCAAAATTCTTCGAACCCATCTCACGATTCGCCGATGAAAAATACCTAAACCCTAAATAAGTTCCAGGCGGCGGCGAGAATTTCGCGCGTGGATCTAATTTTCCAAAAACACGCGGCGCGTTGGGCGACGAGGAGAAATGGGAACTCAAAAGCGACGACCGAGAAGTGGGGTTTCTGATTAATTTAGGGTTGCTGGTGAGAAAATGGGAAATTCCACTGCTGGTGGGATTACCACTGATCGAGGGTTTTGAAGCAATCTGGTGGAAACACCTCATGAGAAACCTTGACGACGAGGGTTTTGCCATTTTTTAATGGCTTCTGATTCTGCAAAATGCAAAATTAGGGTTTTTTAGATTCACGGAGCAACAAACTCGTGGGCGGAACTGATTAACCTGCTGGAAGAAAATCAATTGAAACCGAGACGATTGAAAGAAATTCGTCTAATCAAATAGACGCAGAACGTAGAACACTGTGTGTAGATAGAGGAGTTGTGTACGTATACAGTAGCGTATGTACATTGTGTACGTTGAGAAAGTTTGAGGACTAAAATTGTTTTAAATGGTAAGTATAGGGACCAAATGTGTTATTAACCGGTATTTATTTGGTATATTTACTCGTATAATAACTAATTAATAACTACTAAATTAGTCACACCACCCGCCATTATACTTTCTTCGTTACACGTCTTCCCCTCCTGTGAGAAAAAAATAAAAACAATTTATTGTTATTATTATTATTTTTATTACTATTATTAAAGTTAAATACAAATTGCATCATTTTACTATCATTAGTGTCGCATACATCCTTATACTATAAAATGCGACAAAGTGATTCCTGCTGTTAAACTATGTTAAAGAATACGTCTGTTTTCAAAGTTGACCGACCATTGCATTAGATGTCAGTCAATTACACACGAAAGTACCCCTATGATTGTGTATTAAAAGTGTACCTATTTTCACCCAATTTTTCTGAAAAAAAAAAATATACTAGGAAAATTAGTTTTCTTTCAAATTTATGAAATTTCGCCATTATGTTACCCCCGCCTAAAATTATCACCCAAAATTTAAGAGTTTCTTTTATTTTGGATAATATTTTTAAATTCTTTTTAAATTTCTAAAAGAAAAAACAATTAACTTTCAGCCTATTCTCGAATTAATATACTTCTCTCTAATTTTCAAAATTCATGCATTTTATTTTTTTCATCCAAACACTACAAGACATATTTTCTTATCACTTGTCGATACCACAAAAGTGTTACGTAATAAAGTAAAAAAAAATATGGTCAAATAATAAAGTCAAAAATGCTTATTAAATGTAAGGATATAAAGGTAACTACATTACATAAACTAACGGTGTTAGAGATTTGAGGGTTGACCGTTAAGTTGAGGGGCCATTTTGTCGCATTTTATAGTACATGGAAATATACAACACTGATAATAGTACATACGTGTAATTTGTATTTAATCCTTTATTATTATTATTATTATTATTAATATTTTCTTTTTGTTTACTTATCTATTTATTTGTTATTTATTTATTTTTATAGATATAGATATAGATGTATACATATACTCCGTCAGCCATTGTTAACCCCTTGTCTCTTCTTCCCCAAGATGATTCTTCCTCCTTCCCTCAACGTATCATCCCATTTCTCTTTCTAGTTATTAGTTAATTCATATACACACACACACGTATATACTAATAAATATATATAAATATATACTGGTTTCTATTTGCTGATCTTTTGTAACAGTTGCCAGTTCTCGCTCCTCTGACTTTTATCTGACATTTCTCTGCATTTTCCGTTACCGGAATATTCTCCATCTCCGATATATCCATTCCCCCTCTTCTTCTTCACCAATAATCGAGTAATTCTTCACTCAATTTCGTGCGCTTGTGTCTGGCTGTTTTTTACCTTCTTCCTGATTTTTGAGGGTTTTTCCTTTTATGGAGACACCAAACCGCGATGCTTTAGATTCCGCCTCACAAGGCAGCAATGGAGTCGGAACCTCCAGAATATTCCGTTCCCGTGCTATCCGGTTCCTACGGTCCCCCATTTCATCCCTGCTAGAATATTCCGGCGTCCTTCGTGACCGGCCGGATTACCCCTTCTCGGAAGCTTACCCTCTCATCCCTGAGAGTACTGGTGCCAATTTCAACCAAAACCCTAGACGTTCGGAGCCACTCAATCGTAACGATGCTGTTGATGGGGGTGGCACTAGCAACTCTGGCGGTAGCAATAACTGTGCGGAGGTTTCGATTCGGATAATCGGGGAGCAGGAGAGTGTTGGGGGTGCAAATAATAGCGATAGTGGTGTAAATGGGGTGGGACTGGGTGCGGGGGAGTCTACGGTAGGGGCTGGTGATGTTAATCGGAATGGGAATGGGAATGGTAATAGTAATGATGATAATAACAATAGGGAAGCATCGTCGAGCGAGAGATATGATATACAGCAGGCTGCGAGGTGGATTGAGCAGATTCTTCCGTTTTCGTTGCTGTTGTTGGTTGTTTTTATCCGGCAGCATTTGCAAGGTAATCGTTGGTATTATTTCTTCTTCTTTTGATTGCTTGCATTTGTCATACATACGTATAACAGACTCTCGTTTCTATATTTTTCTGATTTTAATTGTGGATGAGCTGGTTATATTATCCCTGGTTGCTTCGATTCAAAATGTTGATGGACGATGTGTTTAGCTATTTCTATGGCTGGTATTTTTAGCCTAATAATATCCCCTGAAATGTTATTTGGGAATGATGAAAATATTATTTGCTGTTTATCTGGTTAAGAAGTGTTTTTAGAAATATCTTATTGAAAATGAGGGTTTTGAGAGGCTCGATGAGGAGAGTTAGGACCAAATTGCCTGACTTAAAGGATGGTGTGCATCACATGTTGAAAATTTTGGCATAGCTAAGTCCTCATGCACTTGTGACCAGCAAAATTTGCAAATAAAAAGATATTAAAAAGATCATGCATCTTGAAACTATTCTCCTGCTCCATTAAATATCTATTTTACTGGAATTGAAAGTACTCGGTACTCTGTCTATTATTCTCTCTCTCACATACACACAGTGATGAAAGACACACCTTGTTGACATGCACACACATGCACTTGTAAATTCTCCACCTCCTCTCTCCTCATGCATCCGATCTTTGTCCGTGTAGGTTACTCCTCACCCCATTGATCAGATTTTTTTTTCTCTAACAGACTATATTTGTTGAGTTATTTACATTAGAACAATTAATCCTAGCAACCTAGTTTTGATATTGCTTGCATCAATAGGAGAATGATAGTCTACATAAGAGAAAGGGAGAAAATCCTAAAGAAAAAACCTTAGAAGTGAATGTGGAAACGGATAAACGTGGAGGTATCTAGTTATTGTCATCTACTTAGATTTTTTTGATGGTTAAATATTGTCCTTTTCATGTTCTTTTAACCCCTAAAGATTCTGAAGAGCTGCCCTTGTCTAGCTGATACGTTGTTTGGTGCTACATGTTTCTGTTTACTTGGTGGATTAGACATGTCTAGTGGATGTATGATGTGAGTGATTAACAAATTTTCGAGCATTTTGAGGTAATGTATCTATATTTGTTTTTCCTATAATGAATCTTGAGAAGACAATTTCACATATGATTTTCCATTCTATGAAAATAAATGGTTCCATCCTATTGTTAAAATAGGTGTCTACTATTTTTATTGTTCCCTTTTTTGGCTACTGCCTACTTATGTAAATGATTAATCTCTTATATATACTTGATAAGAAAATGGGAACGATAAACTTCTAAGGAACCTTCTTCCCCCTTCCCTTCTGAGTGTTCTCTTGTGCTATGGTCATCCACAACATCCTTTTGGATCCAACTCTTGATTTTTCAAACAATGGTTTCCAGGATTTGTTGTTACCATTTATTCCACCGCCATCTTGTTCAAGTCCAATGACATTCTTCGGAACCAAACTGCTCTAAAGGTAAGATCCATATTTTACAGCATTAGTCTTGAAAATGATATTTAGGTTTCTTAGCCTCTCCTTTCTGTAGAAATTATTGAAAGGAAAGCTAATGAACTTGTGAACACTGGCTTTTGCAGGGAGAAAGGAAGATTACTATCCTAGTTGGTTCTTCAGTCTTTTTCATGATTCATATATTTGGAACCTACTGGTGGCACCGTAGGGATGATCTTTTTTATCCATTAATCATGATTCCTCCAAAGTCCATCCCACCTTTCTGGCATGCAATATTCATCATTCTTATAAATGGTACGGATTTAGACGTGGTTGTTGCTTTTTACATTGGTTTGTCCAATTAGAATAATACTTATAGAAATAAACTAATTCATTTCATGTGTGGATCTTTGTATTTTGTTACTGCTTAGATACAATGGCACGGCAGACAGCCATGGTTTTCAAGTTGGTTCTGTTGATGTACTATAAGAATGGTCGAGGACAAAGTTTCCGCAGACAGGTAACATAATGGTCTAGTTATCAAGTTTTAAATTGCTTGACGAATCTAATGGTAATATTTTGGCCATTCAGGGCCAAATGTTGACTCTGGTTGAGTATACACTGCTTCTTTATCGTGCGTTGTTACCAGCCCCTGTATGGTATAGATTCTTCATGAACAAAGACTACGGGAGTCTCTTTTCATCACTCATAACGGGATTGTATTTGACTTTCAAGCTAACATCAATTGTTGAAAAAGTATGTTAATCACAACTTATTTTTTGTGTGAATTTTGTAGCCTTTAATATAATATGTCAAACTTATGCACATATGCTTTGTGTATGTGTCTGCATGCGTTCATCAGGTACAATCCTTCGTTACTGCCTTAAAGGCATTATCCAAAAAGGAAGTCCATTACGGATCTCATGCAACATCAGAACAGGTACACTATTTTCTCTGGCCTTCCAAATTCCATTATTCAGCTTATATTCACATGCAAAAGTCTTTTGTCATACCTCTGAGCTGGCATCTAAGAGTTTGCCACAAGTGCAACTCTGCAATTCCCAACACAGGAACTGTGATAACCCTTGCACGCTTGGAAGTAGACTTCAGACAATTGTTGTTCTTGCTTGATATTCCTAATATAGTAAAAAATAATTAACTCCTGGTAATTGAAGGTAGCAGAATGTAGCTATAATAAGGAAAAATATTGCATTTGCAAGCACCCTTTGTATTTTAAAGACTAGAAGTAATTGCAGGAACAATGTGAAACTGATATAGCGATTTTTAGTCGATCTCACTTTAGATAATAGCATGCACAAAAATGTGTTGTATACTAACAAAACCTTGTAATTGATTCTATGTAGGTAAGTGCAGCTGGAGATATGTGTGCTATATGCCAGGAGAAGATGCATGTACCCATTTTCTTGCGGTGCAAGCATATATTTTGTGAAGACTGCGTTTCAGAATGGTTTGTTTTCTTTCCTTTAAAAGATATAAAAACCCTGAGGGATACTTTGTCTTTATTGCCCCTTAAAACAGTTTCTTGTGTTTTTGCAATGCCCTTTCATCTGGTTCCCTATGGCTAGACGTATTCATAAAGTTATATATTTATATGAACATTCTATTTATTCTGAGTTCATTTAATACAAGTATGAGTCCTAGGGCTATTTCAGTTTTGTGGTCAGGAATATATAAGTAAATTGTGATTAAAAAAAATCAGCTGTTCAGGATTATATGATCCCTTTCAATCTTATGTTTAGTTAGTTAGATTGTGTGAAATTGTGATAGCACACTAAAATTCCTAGAATCCCCCAGACTTTAATTTGCTTATTTAATGACGGGGTCATTTGGTAATTCTCGGATTAGGTGGGCCGCTGGGATTATGCAGTTAGACCACTCTGGTCTGGTGGACTACTTATCCAAAAATAAATTGGATTTGGTCATGGCCTCATGGGCCTTCCATCAGTTCCGGGTCTGAATGTTGATTTAGCAATAGCAAGTTCCAAATGATTCACATAAATAACAAAAACTTTTGAAGAACTTACTCACTCGTATAATTGTGATTTTTATTCCGAAATTTGACTCTCTCAAAGTCTCAATTGTGTTGAAATTGCCAATATGGAGAGGAAACAAATTGAGTAATATAATGCAAATTTACGGGATGTTCGTGTGTGCGTGTGTGCGTGTTTGTTGCGTGAGGGGTTGTAGTTTGTTGGTATAATTATGTGTCGGGACATTTGTCTTGCACATTTGAGAAGGATTTGTGTTGTGTTGATATATGTTTTCCAATCTCTCTTAATTTACAAGTGTAGCTTAGCTTCCTGTCTGTTTAATAATAGGAATATTCATGTTTCTGAGTATTGGGTGATTATCTGCTTCTTGTTCACTTTGTAACAATGCAATTCGACGTGTTTGTTTCAGGTTCGAAAGAGAGAGAACATGCCCGTTATGCAGGGCTCTGGTCAGACCTGCTGATCTTCAATCGTATGGTGACGGATCAACTAATCTTTTCTTCCAGTTGTTTTAAAACTTTTCATCAACACACAAACTTAACACCTTTCTCCTTATACAATCTCTAAAATAGGTTTCTTGGAGAAAATATTAGTTTGATGAGGCGTATATGTTATCGATTCCATCTTCGTATATATAACTACTATATACATATATATAGAATATTGGTACTCCTGAGTTGAGTGAGTTCTGCCCGAGCCCCTGGTTTCCTTCTTTTCTTATCTTTAGGGTTTTTTTTGGGGGGGTGTGGGGGTGGGGTTGGGGGTTTTTGGGGTGGGGTTACGAGTTATGAGTTATGAGTTATGACATGTTTGGCACATCATGAATAAATTTATGAAACCTGTGGAATGATGGAAGTCCATTACTATAGTGGAGCCAACAGAATTTCAAATTATAGGGCCATCAGCACAGAAGATCAAGATTTCAAATTATAGGTTCAGGTAAAAAAATAATAAATAAAGACAAGTAAGTTATCAGACAAGAGCACATGTGATATAAACATGGTTTTGGAAGCAATTGTCAGGACCTCTCCACCATGGTCAACACTTTGGGTTTGAACATAAGAATAATTACATTTCATTGGGCTGGAAAATTAATTAGAATGTTTTAATATAAAAAATAATTAATGGGAGAGCTTATTTATATGTGAGATGGGATTTATCTCCACACCAATATTGACATGATAGATAGATTAGATAATACACGAGATACAAAAGGGTGCATTATTAGTGGGCCGGGCTGGGCCAGGAGGGCCCGCTAGTTGCTTGGACTTTATATTGATGTATTATTATTGGTTGTCTATTCCGTGACCAATTCACACATCCACATACTATAAAAATTGGTAATTTGTGAAGTACCATTCAGGTCTAAAAATTGGTAATTTGTGAAGTACCATACAGATGTTCATATTTTATAAATGCACCTTTGCACGAATACGATTCACTCTGTTTAACTACATGATTTGGGAGAGATGATTGAGAATGGGGAAGTACTCTATGTAAGATGACTACTGAACATAACTGAACTTCGTAACTAAGTTCTCCCTGTACTCTCCAGAGTAAAAATTTTCATGTGTTCATAATTGAAGTCATGTTTCTACAATTTTGTTATCGTTACATAGAGATCTAAGTGTGTAACGAATCGAGTAGAACTGAAACAAACTTTGAAAAGAAGAAAATAAACAAACTTTGAAAAGAAGGAGATTGAAAATTGATGGAATATTTGGATGAATTAAATGTTGTTGGGTAGTAGTAGCCTCGTGTGATTTTAATCTGGCATGCAAGATGACTACACACACACACACGAGTGGGGCACCCCCTCCGTCAACTGTGTGTGACATGTGGTGCACCTGTCCGTTTAATTAAAAATGGTCTGGTCAACAAAAAGAAATTACAAAGACCACCACCACCACCTTCCTTTGTTTAATGTTTTTTGTCAATTTTCACTGCCTTTTGGCCCCCCACTGGGCCCTCCCATTTTCTCTCTCTAAACTTCTCACTGCTTCCCCACAGTGTTTTTACTGTTCCTTCATCTCTCTCTCTCTCTCTCTCTATATTCACATCACAATTAGCGGCCATTTCAAAAAACACTAATAAGCAAGTTCGATGAAAATATGTCTGATGTCCCTTTCTCATCTCTGATTCTCATGTCGAAAGTGACCCCTCTCCTTTCTCTCCTTATACTTCTTGCTGTTCTTCCCTTCTTCCTCTCTCTCTCTCTCTCTCTCTCTCTCTTATTTAAAGCCAGAATTTTTTTTAATTTACTTTTTTTTTTACATCGAATTCGATCATTACACTAATCTATATATGTACAGGATAGATTCAATTCTTCCCATTTGTTATCCTACATATTCCTTCTCATCCCTTTTCGTGTTTTTCAACCCTGCTGAAACATTAATGGCGATTTAGGGTTTCAAATTCCTGTATACAAGAAGCCCCCCTTTTTAGCTCCATTTATTTTTTGTATTAATTTGATTTCGTATCTCAGTACTCTCTACGAACAGTTTCATCGGTTGTTTTTTTCCGACAAAAGGAGGACAATTTTCCTCGTGTTTGCAACCCATTTGTGATCATGATTCTATGTGGCAGCAAAAAGCTCAGTAGAATATATATATATATTTATTCATGAGTTTTAATCACCTTCGTTTTTTGCAGATATTCTTGATGTTGGGGTCTAATCATCGTACGATGAAGATTGATTTATGGCAGGTGTTTTTTTTCTTCTTTTTCCACCATTGTCAAGATTAGCCCTTTAAGCTAGGGTTTGTGCAGAAGCTGCTTTTGCCACAGCAATCCTGTGTCAGCTTTTCAAGATTTCATTTGGGTTTTGATTAACATATGTGATTGCTTAATTAATTAATCCCAAACAGTAATCCCATGTTAGCTAACCAAGGTTAATGCTTTTTTCTCCAATTTATGTTGTTAAGAGAATTGATATATAGATGAATTTAATAGTTGAGAGAAGTGATATTGGGTTGAGGAATGGTGTTTTAAGAGCTTCCGTCAGCCCACTCGTGGGTGAGAAATCGGGGGCTGAATTAACTGCCGACTCATTCATTCAACCACTCAGTAGCAACACATTTAAAAGTTAATGCTACTGGTGATTGATTGAATGATGCGGGAGATAATTTCTCGCCCCTCTCTCTCTGTGCTTGGACTGAAGGGAGCTCCTCTCCCCTCTTTCCGTTCAACTCCTTTACTTCATTTTTTCGATATATTATCGAGTAATTTCATTTCATTGATGAATTATATATTTTCTATGTTTTTATGTGAAATTGGCACGAGGTCGATTATTTGGCTAACGTATGACATTACTATATTCCGATTCTCTTGTTAGTGGAATTGCTTCTTTTTTTTTGTTTTTTTTTTTGCAGGTTTTATATTTGGATGGTCGAGATCGAAGGCCTTACCTAGGTTTTATCCAATGTATATTCTAGTAATTGCAGCCACTCGACGAAGGGAACTCGAACTCGAACTCGGTAAACTTTATGGACATATCCTGTGTTACAAGATGTTTTATAGACACACATTCAACTGTAGCATACATAATTAGTTAATTTTTTCAGTTATATGTTTATCTTTTGCTAAAAGTAGGTAATTAACGGTTTATGATCGAACATTAATATATCATGATTGAGAATTTATCTGTGCTGCATTGAATTCAAAAGTATATATTTAATTATTTTATTTTATTAACTTAATATTCTTGATATTGCCAAAAATGGGTGGAGCACACTATTTTGCTGATGCTCTGTTTTAGGAAATTGAAATAGGAACTGTTATTATTTAAATGATTAGTGTTTTAAACCCTTTTTAGGGAATTGCTTTTAATTGTATTTAAATCCCTTTTTACACTAATGTTTGGCTAAAAAAAGTTGGTGTGAAACAATATTTGAATAGATTAAGAACTAATTGTTTTAGCTTTATCAAACATTAATATTTTGAAATAGTTTTTCCCTTCAGAAAATAATTGATTTTATTTATTAATTTTTATAAGAAACAAGTAATTGAAAGACATAGTAAGAAGCATGGATTTACCCCCAAAAATCTAGGGTTTCTCTGCCTTTTAGGGTTATCTGGTCCCCCCTTCTTCTTACATTTAGTGATGGCTAATGAATTGTGTGTGTGTATGTGTGTGCAACTCAAAAGTCCCAGACCAGCCTATGTAGATAAGGCTAGGGTTCAGTTTTGCCCGGACCTGCACCCGCCCCGTTGACAACGGACCCACCCAGCCCGTCCGATTTCAAAATTTAGCTCTTTTTTTTTAATTTAAAAAAAGAAATTGGATAATCCGGTTCGAACCCGGCCCTGACCCGTCGAGAGCCCGCCTCCACACGTGTCAGTTTCGGCCCCCCTAAAACTCGGACCCCTCCCGTGGCTGTGTCTAAGTCTATGTCGGCTCTGCATGTGCTTCTGTTTATATGTTTTTTTTTACACCCTTGATAATGAAAATTTCTACATATGGGAATTAGCCATTCGGCCTTTTTTTTTTAAATTAAAAAGTAAAAAAGTAAAAAAGAAAGTGAACTTTTCATGATTGCAGATTTACCAACCATATATCTAATATCAGCAGTTGGAAATCGGATCGAAATTAGCATTTTTATAAACAATCCTATTTTTATCTTTTTAAATAAAAAATTTCGGCAAAATCGAAATTTTAGGATCGGACGGGACTCGTCATAATTTGGAAAAATTCCTTCTTATTTTGACGTCTCCATGTGTTAAAAATGAAATCTTACAAATTATTTTCTTGAATAAGATTATTGTTGTAACTTGTAAATAGAAATTTAAACTTTTCACACACTATTTATTATAAAACTAAAGCCAGATATGTTGTTTGTTCACGGGCCTCTCTGAATAAACATTCGGCCCGAATTTGCTACTAGGCCCACAATTTTGATCCAGAACTGAGAAGTAGAGAAGGCTAGCCCAATTTAATTAACTCATTCCAAATTAAAAAACTGAAATGCTAAATTCCACACTAATTTCACCAAATCATGCACACAATTGAAAATATTTATCTCTCTAAAATATTTTCTTCTCCTTATTTACCTTTCTTCTTTTTCTCTACTTTTTTCACAAAATCAAACACTAAAAACGTCCCTAGCATTACAAGTTCTTCACGTGTCAAAACAAAAATAAAGTTGGAATTTAATGAAATTGAATAAATATTAAATGAAATTAATTTTTTATGATTATTCACGTAAAAAATAACGAATTTTGAGTGACTTTGATAAAATTATCTTCGAGAGAAATTAGAAAGAATATGAGTAGAGAGAGAATTTTTTCTTAATTTATGTGTGGAATTTAGTAAATTTTAGTGTGGAATTTAGCATGCCCCATTAAAAAAATGTATAATCTAAATGAATTTATTTTGTCACTGATGCTGCTCAAATGCCAGTTGGGCAACCCAAGTGTCCTTGAGCCCACAAAGATAGAGAATGCCGTGAGTCACTGCCACGTGTCCGAGGTAGTCGAAGGGATTGCTCCGTTCGTTAACCTACAAAACAATTAAAACACTAGATGACACGCCGGGTTTGGCCCGGCGATTATCCTCCGACGCTCAAGTCAGAAGATGTATTAATATAAGCAAATAATTATTATTAATTGCCAAATTAGAGTGTACCTTTCTATGTGAAATGACACATACATTTATAGGTGGATGAATAGGTAGGACTTTTGTAAAAATCCGATGTGGGACAATGTGTTGTTACTTTTATAGGTAAAAAATAATCTAATTGAGTTTTCACACAATTAGATTAATTTAGGGCAATTTGGGCCTAATCTTAATTAGGTTTATGGGCCTAATTATGATTAGACACATCATTAAGCCCCCCACTTCCAAGTTGGGTCATGGGCTTGTGAGCCTAGTTGGAAGTAGTATATAAGCTCATCCATGCCCTTGTAGGGTTTTTTATTTTGGATTCTTGTGGTTTCTTCTTCCAGAATTGTGCTAGCGAGATTTAAAAATAATTGGCGAACTTCCAAAGGTATAAATATTTTTTGCAAATCCTCACTTTTTTATTCGAGTCCTTGTGTCGTTGGTTTTACCCGTATTTTGTCGTTTGGAGCCTCGAAATTGCGTTTGATATAGGCGTAGGAATTTAATGTCGGGTCTAAGGTTGTTGGACGAGTCTAGCGACGAACTATGTGGAGTTCATTCGGAATCCGATAATTTTGAAGATGGGAATTCGAAAAATCTTGATAGCCGGGTGGAAAGAGGTCGAAATTTGGAGTCCAGGAGTACCAATTTTGTGAAATTCGGAGTTGCGAGCGAGAAGTTATGTGCGAAACAGTGTAATGGTTCGTTGTTCGAGGAAAATTCCAGTACTGGCGGCTATGGCATTGAATTCCGTGCCAGAAAGGAGGGGGTGACGTCAGCCCTGGGAGGCGTGACGTCACCGAGCGCGGAAAACTGTGCAGCTGGGCGGTCGGGCGGGTCAACTCGGGCGGATCGAGCGAGTCGGGTGGGTGAGTCGACTCGGGCAGGGGGGTCTACTCGGGTGGATCGAGCGAGTCGGATGGGTGAGTCGACTCGGGCAGGCGGGTCGGACCGGTCGGGCTGGGCAACTCGGTCGGGTGGGTCGACTCAGTTGAGTGAGTCAACTCGGTCAGGGGAATCGGACGAGTCAGCTCGGACGACCGGGGTAACTCGGGCGGGAGTGCGGTGTGACGTCAGCGTGACGTCACACGGAGGGGGGCCTGGGAATGCCGGGCGCGTGGAGCGCGTGGCGCGCGTGGAGAGCGTGGGCGGGGACCACCAGGAGCGCGTGGGGCGCGTGGGAACAGCTGTTGGGAGCTGTTCCGCGCGTGGAGGCGCGTCCGGGCCGTTTCCGGCGCGTGTGGAGCGCGTGCAGGGCCGTTCGGAGTCCGTTTTTTCCGCCGAACCCCGTGTTTCAGCTCCCAACCCTGATGTGGGCCCGGAGTTTCGTTCCGTGGAGTTAGAATGTAGCGATCCTGAGACTTGGGCGTGGTCTCGACGGATTAATGTGTTTGGTACGAACTTTTCTCTAAAAAATTCCGTGGTTCGTGGGTCGAAGAGAAGACGTGAATTCGAGGTGGACGAGAGCGTGTTGACCGATGAGGAAGAAGAATTAACCGATTTTTCCGGCGGCAGTGTTTCTGAGGAATATTCAGGAATATGTGCCGAATTAAATTTCGACTCTTCCTTTAGAGTTGGTCAACTGCCCGAGATTCTGGACTATCTACGTGTCGAGCATGCTATTGAGATATCGGTTCCGTGTAAGGGGGAGAGATGTTATGCCCCTCCTGATGGCTACTTTACGGTATTCCTTGCATCATTTTCGGTTGGATTTACTTTGCCACCTCATCCGGTTCTTGTTCAAATTTGTCGAGATGTGAAGGTGAGCCTCAGTCAATTAACGCCGAACGCATTTCTTTACTTCAAAGGGTTTTGTCATCGCGCTGAGTCCGAGGGTTTTCCAATTTCGGCGAATTTATTTCACTCCATGTTTCTTGTGAAACCGCTGAGGGACAAAGCGCCTAATTTTCATTTTCATCCTCGGTCGAAATGCAAGTTTTTGAAGAAAAATGAGAATAAATGGGGGAGTTGGAAGGAGTGGTTCCTATACGTGCGGAATGATTGGGAAGTTCCTTCTGTATGGGGTGAAGTGCGTCCCGTTGAGTGGAGTAATGAACACTCGAGACTCAAAATGGATTGTATCGGAATGGGTTTTTTCGATTATTTCTTCGACCCTTGGACTGTATTTTCTAAGGGTAGAGGAGTTGTGCTGTATTGATTGCTCCGTCCTCTTTCTTTATAGTTTTCTTGAAACTAATATTCTTGTATTTGCTGTTTTCGTGTTCTGCAGGTGAGACGATGAGCTATAATGATTTCAAACGTCGTTGCATGAACAATGGTGCCTCGAAGCCTGTGTCTCGAAACACACCTCCGGCCTCAAAGCCCGTGGCACGGGAGTCGGGAAGAGGCACTGCAGAGGATCGAAGTAGTGGGAAAAAGCCAGTCCATGGGGTGGGATCGTCCCGTGGTCCGGAGGTGGCTGTGAAGAAGAGCGCTGGAGTCTCGGATCCCAAATCCGCCGACAAGGGTCGTCTTGCCATTGTGAGTGCGCCCCCGCTGCCTTTGAGCGAGCTCAAGTCCCCCTCCGCGTCCGGGGATACTCGTGTCGCCCCTATCGTCGTGCGTGAAAAAAGGCCTCGCCCCTTAGGAGTTGAGGAGTTGGTTCTACCGCCCGTTAATGCATGGAAAGGGAATTTTGTTGCTGGTGTTGATAGGGCGCAAAATGGTGGTTCGGTGTTTGACGTTCTTGATAGCGCCTTGGCCATGGAGAAGGTAATGGGTTTCCCGACGGAGTTTGATTCGACTCGTCTTGCCGGGAAACCTCTAGACGAGATGATCGAAGGGTTGGCGTCCTCCTTTGCTCGGGTTAGTATCGGATTTATCATGCACCTCTATATTTGATTTATTATTACTATTAATAATAATAACTCCTACCCCTTTTATTTTTTTATTTATTTTTTTATTTTTTAGACTATGACTTTCGTGCCCTTGATTATTGATCGCGGGAGGGGCTTGGAGGCTGAGCATGCCAAGATGCAAGCAGAGAAGTTGAACGTTAATTCGTTGTATGCGGGTGTTCAGGGTGTCAATGCCTCCCTTCGCTCAGAGATTGAAGGTTTGAAGAAGTCTCTGGATGAAGAAAAAGGCAAGCTGAGTGCCTTGGAGAAGAAATGTCAGAGCTTGGTGACACGTGCGGATGATGAAAAATCGGCACGTCTGAAGGCCGAAGCTAGGATTAAGGATCTGAGCCTATCTTTGAAGAATGAGAAGACCGACGCGCTTTCTTTCATGGAAGCCCATAAGGGGTCGAATGACGTCTTGAAAACGCCTTTGGGTTTGATGGTGGTTGATAAGTTCTTAGGGAGCGAATCTTATATCGAGCTACGGGATAGTTATGCTAGTGGGTTTTTTGCGGAGATCATGCGGGATATCCGCAGTCAAGTTCGTGCAACAAAGCTTGTCCCAGAGGCTATCCTACGGGAGATAGAGCCGAGGTAGTCGAAGGGATTGCTCCGTTCGTTAACCTACAAAACAATTAAAACACTAGATGACACGCCGGGTTTGGCCCGGCGATTATCCTCCTATGTTCGGAATATAGATGTATTAATATAAGCAAATAATTATTATTAATTGCCAAATTAGAGTGTACCTTTCTATGTGAAATGACACATACATTTATAGGTGGATGAATAGGTAGGACTTTTGTAAAAATCCGATGTGGGACAATGTGTTGTTACTTTTATAGGTAAAAAATAATCTAATTGAGTTTTCACACAATTAGATTAATTTAGGGCAATTTGGGCCTAATCTTAATTAGGTTTATGGGCCTAATTATGATTAGACACATCAGTCACACCTCCTACATATATAAAAAAAATGTATGCGCTTTGTCCTACAATTGAACCAAGTTCGAACTCCCTAGCCAAGATCGCTGGAATTATTGAAAATTTTCGGTAGAGAATCGGTATGATTCGAGTACGGTAATAGGTTAGTAGGAAAATAATCTGATAAAATAAAATATGTTTACTATTTTATTTGATGTCCTCAATTGTAATTTACTCATGTTGTTGCATTAGTTAATACATTAAATATAAAAATAAAATAAAATAAAATATTTATTGACATGATGAAAAGAAGCAACCCAATCAGAGAGAAACACGTGGTCACAGGCCGCACAGTAGTAGAAGGATAAAAAACACACACAAAGCAAATGACTAACAATTAACTGAAATTTCGTTTCCTGGTAAAATGCTTTGCAGTACAGTTACAGTACCCCCAAAAAAACTCCATTAATCCCTGAATAAAAAGGCTTCATTTTTCTCTGTAAAGAAATCCAGAGATGAGTATTTATGGAGTACAACCGAATCACGTGTTTCTTTCCGTTAGGCTTACCCCCCCTAAATTAGAGCACCGTTCGCTCGAACTGCTTCGTCTGCATTTTAATGGCGTCTCAAAGTGGGACCCATCTCATTTAATTTCGGAGCATAAGTTTATTGCTAGAGCTGCTTCTGCGTCTGCTTCCCCAATGGGCTCCGACTATTCCGGTAACAATTTGTCTAATTTCACCTCCATTAATTGATGATTTTGATATTGTTGTTAATGTTTCTGCTTCAGTGCTAGGATTAATTTTTTATTTGTGATTATAAATTGCTTTTTTTTTTAGGGTTTTGATTGCTGAAACTGTTTCGAAATTAAATCAATTTTCTAGGACCAAATTTGTGGATTTTTTTTTTTTTGGGTAGATGAATTTTACATGGATAATGCAATGTTGGTTTCAATATTTTTCAGAGCAACTGCAGGGAGCGAAAAAACCGAACGTAAAATCGAAACGAATAGCTGATATTGACCAAGACGAAATCGAAGATCCATCACTTTTAGCCGATCCCGATAGCTGTTTCTGCGAATTCAACGGGGTGCAACTACACCACAAGATTTGCGATGCCGACTCATCGTCTCCAGATACTCCAATGCAAGAATCAGCCAAACGGGTCGATTTTCCTATGATTTTGTTGCATGGGTTTGGAGCCTCGGTTTTCTCATGGAACCGTGTAATGAAACCTCTAGCAAAGGCCACCGGTTCTAAAATCCTCGCCTTTGATCGACCGGCCTTTGGACTAACATCGAGGGTAAATGCGGTTAAGCATAAAACCCCCGTTAATCAAGATTCGAAACACCTAAACCCTTACTCGATGATGTTCTCCGTTTTGGCAACACTCCACTTCATCGACTTCTTGGCTGCTCAGAAAGTCATTCTCGTGGGGTAATAGTCATCTACTTTCCGTATTTATTTGTTACGAATTTTTTTCTTTTCGAGGAAAGATAATACGAAAACGTTTAACTACTTACACGAAATCGGTTGAAGATTATCAGGCACTCTGCAGGTGCCCTCGTAGCTCTAGATGCGTATTTCGATGCACCCGAACGTGTGGCTGCTTTAATACTCGTCGCACCTGCAATTCTTGCACCGTTCGCTATGCAGAGCGTTGTGAAAGGAAATCAAGAAAGCTCGGGTTCGAATACTAGCAAGAATCTATTTTCCAGGCTTAGCAATATTCTAGCAAAGTTCACTAAGAATATTGTTCAGGCAATAGTATATACGATGAAAGGGATGTCGGATATGATAAGCTCTCTCTACAAGAAAGCTTTGTCGTCAATCTTGCGCTCTTCACTCGGCTTGACGGTGGTAATTAATTAATCCGTGTTCTATAATGTTATACAGTTACATTGTGTTATAAATATTTATGGGCTGTCGTGTAATGTCAGATAAGGATGGTAATCGATAAATTTGGTACGAGAGCCGTTCGGTCTGCATGGTATGACTCGAATCAAGTGTCCGATCATGTTTTACAAGGCTATACAAAGGTGAATAGTTGCTCTATTCTTTTTTATTTTTCAAGAAAGTTGACCGGTTATCACTTTCCGAGAAATCTTGATTATTGTCGGAATTTGCAGCCGTTGAAGTTAAAGGGCTGGGACAAGGCGCTAGTAGAATACACGGTGGCATTGCTCACAGATTCTGCATCTGAATCAAAACCGCCTTTGGCGAAAAGGCTCGGTCAAATCTCTTGTCCAGGTATTTAATTCGTTTATAATCACACTTTTCGAAATTTCCTAACTATGAAAATCCAACATTTTTCTTTTAATTACTGCTGCTAACTTAATATTAACACAGTTCTGATAGTAACGGGCGACACCGATCGTCTTGTACCGTCTTGGAACGCCGAAAAACTTTCTCGAGCAATTTCTGGATCTTGCTTCGAAATAATCAAGAAATGTGGCCATCTGCCCCAAGAAGAAAAACCCGAAGAATTTGTCGATATTGTCGATAAATTCCTGAGACAAGTCTTTGGCGTTGCACAAGCGCCACGCCTGCAAGTAGTGTCTTGAGGTTGGCATTCATTAATGATGCAGTGATGTATTTTGTAATAACATATGTTCTCAAATAACAAAATTGCCATTAAATATATAAAATGAAATTACAGAAGAAGTTCATCACAAAATACTCCAAGAACTGAAAAATTACAAACTGAAATTGGTAAGAAAATGCTACTGAAAACGAGGATATGTTGATATTGTAGCACTAGCATCTCTTGCAGCACCACTTGCATCAAATCCCGACATGAAATCGTCACCGAAGATTAACGCTCCAGCTGCTAACGCCCCCGCACCCACCCCCACCCCAAAGCCGGGCCCACCTCGGTGCTGAGGTGGCGCTGCCACAGAAGACGGCATGTTTAAGTAGCTACTAGAGGCGAAGTTATTCGTCATCGGAAAAAAACTAGGAGTATATCCCACATTCGATGGAGGCGGTGGCGGTGGCGGAGGCGGCTGCGGTGGTAGCTGCCGAGGTCGAGGCAGAAGATTAATGCCTCCACTGAAATCTGTTAAATTAAATCCTTCAATTTCATTGCCACCTGCAAATCAAGATTAGGAACACTGTACATAACAAATAAAATATTTTTAATGTAACTTGAACATATATATAAATCAGTTCCATACCTAGATGTGATGAACCGGGCTCTTCCTTTTTTTCTTCGGAAACTCGGATCGAGACATCAATAAATCCTACAGGTCTGTTCGAATTCTTCTTCCTAAGCTGAAAGCTCCCCATTTCTTCAACAGGCTTCGAAACATCGTACTTGTCCAAAAATTCCTTCAGAGCAATAGTTGCAGATCCCAATAGGCTTTCCCTAAGAAAAACAGGCTCCCTGCTGTAAACTTCGACATTTAGCGCCAATTCTTGAAACCCCGTTCCAGAAGATTCTTCAACCGCCGTTGAGAGTTTCGTCTTCCAAACGGGGTTTGAATTACCCGAGGCATCAATTATGGTGCAGTACTTATTCTCGGAACCAATCCATCCAACAGCAAACCACTGAAGCTTCCACAAACAAGACGTTCGCCTAAGCCCACGAGCAGAAATCAGGCACACCTCCACCCGTATTTTCCCCATCTCCGAAAACGAAGAAGCAAATCGGAACAAGGCCCTGTAACCCTGCTAGGTTAATTCTTTTCTTGATATAAAGCCAATAAAAGTGGGAAAAAGATGTCTTATACTTTATGCCAAGAATCAAAAAAGAAACAAAAAAAAAAAAAAACAAAACAATTTATTACAGAAGCTTTACCTTTTTGTTCCCTAAACAAATGACTTTTACAAATGCATTACAAAATAGTCAAATGTTTCAAAACACAAGTGCTTGAAAAAGCCTGAATTTGTGCAATTAAAAAAATATTACTATTTTGTGAGTCCTCTTGCAGGGGGAACTAAGAGTAGCCTTCTACCAGCAGATATCATCGGCTCGTTTTTGGAGGCGGAACGTGTATACGTCATTGTTGTAGATCCCAGCACATCGTACCCAAATCCGCACTCTCTAAAGAATAGCCTGTCGAGAATTTGAGCACAACGTATAAATCGAACGAGACTTGTCTATTTATGAAAAATAACGAGTAATTACGAAAAAAAAAATCTCTAACATGTCACACCTATCGATTTACAAACGAAAATATGCCGAAAAAAAAATACGTCGGCCACTTATAAAAACGAGTGAGTAGAAAGATTGAGAATTACCTTTCGTCATCGTTGCAAAGTGCAGCTATGTCGTATATGTCTCTGCTAGTGAGCATTCTGCAACGAAAAAATCGGATGTTTTCAGACAACCTTAAAATTGTAACATATATGTATATATGTATATAATTTGTATATATATGTATGTATATATACCTTGTGATTCTTTGAACTATCATTTGACCAATTCCTCTACCTTGTAAAGCAGGGTGCACCTGTAAGAAACTTGGTCACATAAATTTCAATATAATTATAATGTAACAATTTCTAATTAATAAATTTAATTGTTTAATTTTGGATTTTTATTTTTATTTTATGGGACTGACCATGACGTCATGGATTGAGGCGGTGAATCCCATATCGGAAACCGCGCGGCCAAACCCTATCAGCCGTCCATTTTCGGGCGTCACCGGCGCGGCCACTCTGCTTATCCAATCTCCACCGACGCCGATGAAATTCGACGGAGTAGAAGATTGGGTGGTTACGAATTCGGGCTTGGTGAAGGCGGAAACCACGACGGAGCTGTGGGAAACGGCGGTGTGGAGCTTCGCCGGATCGACGGGTTCGACCCTGCCTGCGGCGTCGACGGTGGGGAAGCGGTGGCAGGAGTGGTTGCAGATGGCGTACAGCTCTCTGAGGTGACGAAGGTTCACGTGTGCTGGGTTTGTGGATATGGATATTGGTGGCGGAGGAGTGGTGTTGCCTCTAATTTCGGCGGCTATTTTGGGTGGCGACGGCGGTGAAGAGGAGCGGAATTTCGAGGTAAGATAACCGCGGTGGTGTACGGCTGCCGCAACTGCCATTACTCCCTTTTCTTTCAAAGTTTCAACACCATATATATATATTCTCTTATCTTTAGTTAATATTTATTTATTTGTAAATTACGGAATTACAAAAATACCCCTCATGTTTGGGTAATTATAGTCATTTCTGAATTCTGAATCGTCTTATACGTTCATCCTTGCGGTGTCAAATTTAGTGGAATCTTCTAGATTATATAGAATATTCTTCATTTTATTCCCGTTTACCGCATTCGAGCTCCACATTTTGAAACAAGATGATCATAAGATGTGTCTATTGACTTGTAAATATCAGATTGTGGTGCATCATAATCTGTAATTTTGCACAAAATGAGTACAAACTAGAGAGCATTCCACGAAATCTAGAAGATTACGTTGAATTTGACACCATGAGGGTCGACATTTAAGCAGATTCATAGTGGATGGGTTATTGTAATTTGTAATTACTCAAACATGAGGAGATTGTTCATAATTTGATCATACCTCAGGGAGGTGACCGTAGTTTTTCCTTTTAAACTATTTGGTACAAAGTAAGCCCAATTAATTATGTTTAATGGACTTCTTTAAAGTCAAGCCCAATCAATTATTATTAAAGCATCAAGAAGCCCAAATGATTAATATTACAATTTAATGGGATAGTAATAATAGTTAAATACTCTAAACAAGAGAATACATTAGACATCTATATTTCTAATATAATTTTCCAATTCATCCATTTATTAATTTACCCATTAGTCGAACCAATTTGTATCACATCTAGACAAATTGAACCAATTTTATCCAATTATAAATACATTTAACAACAATTAGCATAAATAAAACCCAAAGGAGAAAGGTAAATTTGTAGTAAGAAAAAAAAGAATTTATATTTCAAAATTGCAAGAAGTGATTTCCCAAAATAATAGTGAAGATAAAATAAAATAGCATAAAATAAATGAGTGAGTTGACTTTTTTTCACAACCAGAAATAAAATAAATGATAGAAAATACAATTTAAGGCTAATTGAAAATTTATCATTGAATAGGAACTATAACTTAATGATATTTAATTATTTATTATTACATAGGATCGAAGCAATATTAGTGAGAAAAAAAAACTAATAATGAAAAAAAATTGAAGAAGCATGTAAATACAAATAAACAATATTTTATTTTTATAAATTAGGGTTTTAACACAATTTATTAAAATGAAAAAAATAAAAAAATAAAAAAAAGTCCCCAAAAAGTAGTCAATAAAATCTAATTAATTACACCGTCTGATGTTGTCAATCTGGATTTTTGAAATCTAGTCGGACGTGAAACTCTTCTAAAATCCGACAAATTTCTCTCTCTCTCTCTCTCTCTCTCTCTCTCTTCTTTCTCTCTCCTCTCTGTCTCAGGCCCCTTTTGAAATCAAGCTTCACTCTTTGTCTAGTTTTCGCAGAGACACACATACACACACAGAGAGAGGATTGAGTTACATACAAAACGTACATAGATGCGAGTGTGTATAAACATACAAGAACTAATTCAAAATCTCAGTTGTAAAATAAATGGAATAAACTGAGATTTTCTCCCTCTTTTTTTTTTCCTCAATTTCAATTTTCTCTGGACCTTGGGCGTTGAGGAGCCTCAACTATTTCCTCTTCGGGTCCGGAGATTTTAGGGTTTTTTTTCTCTCTCTCCTGATTGATGCCCAATTTTGTGTGTGTGTGTGTGTGTGTGTGTGTGTACAATTAAGCTGAGATACGTGTATGTGTGTTTAATCTGTGAATGATTCGTTTTAGGGTTTAGATTTATTTGTAAAAAAAAAAAAACGTTGTGTATTAGTGTAATAAAATCAGATATGGACGGGAGGAGAATAACGGCTAGTCCGAGGCCGTGCTCTGGGCGGCGAGTGGTGGCGAAGAAGCGGCCCCGCGGTGGTTTAGATGGGTTCGTTAACAGCGTGAAGAAGCTGCAGAGAAGGGAGATATCATCCAAGCGAGACCGCTCTTTCAGCATGAGTGATGCTCAAGAGCGCTTCCGCAACATTCGGCTGCAGGTTCATTTTTATTAAATTTATCGTCTTTCACAAATTCCATTTTTTTTTTCTGTAGTGTTTGGGTGTTGTAGTGGATTTAAATAACTGAAGTGGGTATAGCTGTATGTGAAAGTATGGATCTTTTTCTGGGTTATATGCGGTTGCGATGATCGATGTTTCTGCACAGCAAAATTAGGGTTTTTAGGTTCTTGAGTAAGTGTTGATCACATTTTCTTCGAAAGCCCTTTTCAAAGATTTGATATCTTCGTCTAGCTTATCACTTTAAGTGGCGTGTATATGTTGTTTGTATGTCTGATCTGTTTATTGTCTCGGCCGAGAGATCAAGATGAAGTTTGATCTCAGAATATTTAGAATCGTAAGGATGGATTTTACAAAAATTAAATGTCGTGATGTATCTTAGATCATTTGGTGCATCCACTAGTCAATTAATCGTCTTACGTAGCAGTAGTAGTAGTCTCCATTTATGAGTTCTCGACTTTCAAAAGATGCTGAGCACTTATTTAGTTTAGGGATTTGTTTCGATCTTCCGTGTGTTTTTGCCATTCTGCCAGCTGGCGTTTCATGCAATAACGAGCTTTAAACGTGTAAAAGGTTTTTGGGAATTAGATTTCTAGAAGCAAGTGTGGTCATTTAAATAGTTGATAAATTTGGCCACGTACTTGCGTTTTATATCGCAGTTCAAACTTGTCTTATTCGTACTTCTAGATTATAAATTATTTTGTATACGAACATGATTTTGTAAGGTTAAGTTATCATTAGTTGCATTATTATCAACTTTATAACTCTGTGTATTTCCTCTTTATGTCCAATCCTTCAATTACGCCGAAACCCTATGCTTACCATTCTTTCATGTTCCTCTGCATCCACGTGGCAGGTTGAGCCACGTTTTATAATTATAGTTATCCAATCGGTATATCCCTTTTAACGAATTTAAGATGCAATGACTCTCGTTATCATGCTAATATCGAGACTTCCTCCTATCATTGATAAGCTTTAATTATTAAGAGTTCATACTAATTGGCTTAAGATTTGAAATATTTTTTCGTGCAAGTTCCGAAAATATAGCAGGCCCATCAAGATTGGACTTAGTTACATCCTATAGATTTACGATATATATCGGGATACGTAAAATAATGTGATTTAGCTGAAAATTTGAAATCTAGTAAATTACATATTTATCCTTTCTGTAATTAAGAGTTAATAGTAGATTATCTTTTCTAGAACATTATATTTATACTATGTAGAGAATCCATACGATTCATACCTTTTTACCCCGCATCGTATTTAATATTCATACATGTATTAATATTGTTTTGTCTATTAATTTTTACAATGCTTGCTAATGTTATTTTAAACGTCTAATGACTGTGTGCTCACTTACTATGACTCGTTGTAAATATCAATATATATTATGTTCTGATGGACTAACCAAATACGACTTTGGTTCAGGAGGAATACGATACACATGATCCGAAGGGATATTGTTCTATGTCGTTACCGTTTCTCAAGAAGAGGTCAAAAATCATCGAAATTGTTGCCGCTCGTGATATTGTCTTTGCTCTTGCACAATCTGGTGTCTGTGCAGCGTTTAGCCGAGGTGTTAATAATATGTAAAAAAATGATTTAATTCTACGATAATTTTTATTCCAGCCCTTGTGTGTTAAGAAACATTGCTTATTCGTGTAACCTTTTTTTTGCATGCAGAGACTAACCAAAGGATATGCTTCCTCAATGTTTGCCCCGACGAAGTCATTCGGAGCTTATTTTACAACAAAAACAACGATTCGCTCATCACAGTTTCCGTTTATGCTTCTGATAACTTTAGTTCCTTGAAATGCAGAACAACGAGGATTGAGTATGAAAATGCATTTATAATTTGCTTAAAGGTTTCTATTGATTCTCGTGCGACCTATAATATATATCTGAATGTGTTTTTTAGATACATACGGAGGGGCAAACCCGATGCTGGTTTCGCGCTGTTTGAGTCCGAGTCATTGAAGTGGCCTGGTTTTGTGGAATTTGACGACGTAAATGGAAAGGTTCTTACATATTCCGCCCAAGATAGGTAAGCATACGGCAAGCTCGTGTGTTAATCCTTTAACGTGTTTCCTTTTACTCATATTTTGCTGCTTCGTTTTGCAGTATATACAAGGTGTTCGATTTGAAGAACTATACAATGCTGTACTCCATTTCCGATAAAAATGTTCAGGAGATTAAGATCAGGTAATTTCTTGTTTTCGGAATAAGGTTTTAACTTATGCACGTGTTCGTTTCAGTACATATAATTGTGTTGCACATGCTCCAAGTTTTTTTTTTTTTGTTTTTTTAACATATAATTAATTTTGCCTGCGTTTTGCGTAACAGTCCAGGAATCATGCTATTAATATTCACTAAAGGCCAAGGCGGTGTTCCTCTACAGATTCTCTCAATCGAGGATGGCACTGTTCTGAAATCCTTCAGCCATCTCCTTCACAAAGGCAAGAAGGTCGATTTCATCGAACAGTTCAACGAAAAGCTGCTTGTCAAGCAAGAAAACGAAAACCTCCAGATAGTTGACGTAATAATAAGCCCCCCTGCCTCTCTTTCTCTATATATGTATCCACTACAGTACGGCTACATTAAAAAATTCTGACAACCTCGTCTTACATACGTAGGTACGCAACACTGAGATAACAGAAGTGAGCAGGACAGAATTCATGACCCCATCCGCATTCATATTCCTGTACGAGAATCAGTTATTTCTCACATTCAGAAACCGAACAGTCGCTGTTTGGAATTTCCGAGGAGAACTCGTCACTAAATTCGAGGATCACCTCTTATGGCACCCCGACTGCAACACTAACAACATATACATCACAAGTGACCAGGACCTCATCATTTCTTACTGCAAAGCCGACTCCGAGGAACCATTGTCTGATGGAAACGGTAAAATACATAAACATATTATTTTATTCATTAATTAATTTTCCAAGATTTTGCTAATTTATGTACTTGTATATAAATTTAGCGGCGGGGTCGATTAATATAAGCAATATACTGACGGGGAAGTGCTTAGCGAAGATAAAGGCAAGCAACAGTCTTCCGATTAACGAGTGCAACTGTAGTGCCAGCTGTGGTGGGAAAAAGTGCAACTCGAGGAAGCGCATACAAGCTTCTAGAATGAGGAGCACGGTCGCGGAGGCGCTCGAAGATATTACTGCTCTCTTCTACGACGAGGATAGAAACGAGATCTACACCGGAAATAGGCTCGGCCTTGTCCATGTCTGGTCCAACTAAATTTCACTAGTGTCAAGTGGGCCCCGTTTCCGTATATTTCGAAGTTTTTTTTTTTTTTTTTTTTTTTTCTTTTTGAAAGTGTTGTTTTGTTGATTTGACTTATTTGGGCTGGGACTAAGTAAAGACGGAGCTCGTATATTTGTTTGTGATAATTACTTGAGGCTCTCGACGGAGCTATATCGATTTGCTATTTGCTGTAATTTGTGTTTTGAGGAACAATTTGATGTGCTGTGGTAGTTATGAACTTAAAACTAGTTGTGGGAGATGAATCTGGATTCTTTGTAAATTACTTCCTGTGTTAGCTGCTGCAGCTGCTGTTTTTATTTATTTATTTAATTATTTATTTATTTATGATAAAAGAAAACATTCCAACTTTAAAAAAATAAACAATTATTTCATTTTTTTTTTTAATTAATAATCACCAACTTCTCAACTAGTAATATAATTAGTAACCAATACGAAAAACGTTTCTTGAAGCTAACGTTTTCTTTTTCTTTTTGTTTCTTTGCCATTTAACTTCCAAGACACTCATGCATCTACTTTAACATCAAATTTGAGGACATATATTAATTTACACCAACTGTTTTTGGTGTATATGTTCTCATAAAATTTAGTAACAAATAGAACAAAATGTTTATTATTTTCATCTTCTTTTTCGAATTAGGTCGAAAGAAAGTTAAAACACGTGGACTAAATCAATTTATAGTAATACAAGTCGAAAAACCATTTATTTTCTTGCATAATTCAGAAACTCAAATCGGATAAAAAATTGGAATCTCACATATATATATTCTAATTCCAATCCAACTAATTTTAGAAAATAAACACGGAAAATTGTCGGAATTTGGAATAGCCAAAACCGAAAAAATCAGATCGAAATCGACGGAATTAAAAAAAAAAAATCAAAACTATGGTGGTTATTGTAATTATCAATAAGAAGAAAAAGTAGAAATTTTCTGTTAAAAAGTAATGAGTTTGAACGTCACAATTATGATAATGGGCCCAACCAATAGGTTTCTTTCGTGGGCCCATATTGATGGGCCCTTCAATACAACTTACTTTATTTGATTTTTTTAATTATATTATTTTTATTTGCCTTTTCAGATAATTGACCTCTAAATCCATTTTTAGATCCTCATAATTATTTCCTAATCTCACTTTGTCAAGTGTATACGATGTGCCTATGATTGTCTCCCACGTCCTTAAACTCAGCAACTTTGTCCTAATAATATATTTAATTACGATTAATTAATCTAATAATGCCATTTAAACTATAACATGGGATTAAAGTTTCCTTTCTCCCTCAGTCTCCCATATTTTTATATCATTATTTTCAAACAATCAACCTCTTTACTGGTCAAATTTTTTTTTTTCTTTTAACGAAATAACTCGCAATCAACCATATAGGTGTATCGGGTAAACCTACAATCTCGTATAATAAATTGCAAATCACACTAGACTAGTTATGTATGGCAAACTCGGATAGCGACTATTGACAATAAAATTCGAACTTGGATCAATTGACACAACTTATTTGCTCAGATCGTTACTAGTCAAATTTTGAATATTATGCCGTTGAAATTACAAAACCAAATATTTAAAATAAAAATAATAATATAATGTATCAAAAAACAGGTGACGTCAGCAACCAACGAACCATCCAAATTCTATCAGTGCTGTAACAATCGTAGAAATTCAATCCCAAATCCTCTCTTGGTTTTTTTTTTTTTTTTTTTTCCTTTTTATTGTAATAAAATAATAAACATTAAAAGATAAAAATCTATGTTTATATTTAGAATCGAATCTTACGGTGTGGAGTTTTCTCTCTCTAGCTCAAACAAAAGGCTCCCTTGCTTTCTCTCTCTACACTCTTAAGTAAAAGGACTTGAATAAAACACCCCCTCTTCTCTCTCTAGGCTAGAGCTGAGCTATTGCTTCAGTTCCAGACTACCACAGTAAGTGTTCCTCTCTCTCTCTCTCTAACTTTCTGAAATGGAATTTTGTAATTTGTATAAGCTTTGAGTTTGTCAGTAATGCGAGAAGATTTGAATTATCGTGCATCTTTTGATGCTAATGTACTAGAGCTTTATTTTATTTTTAAATTTGTCGGTGGATTTGGAAATTGTCCATTCTATTTTTCTTATGGCAGATCTGATCTTGAGAGGTCGGTGGTGATGTTTCAATTTCAACTTCAATTTTTGTGTTTTCTTTTTCATTTTCCTTTTCGGCATTATTTTGATTAAATGCTGAATGCGAAGTTTCTTCTGCTGATTAATAGTTCAGTACATGGTCCATTTTTATGAATATTTGAAAAAAAAATATGAATATTTATCGACAAATGTTGAAACACCTCTCGTTTTTTGTTCAGTTTAGATTTTCGTGTTCTCACCTGCACAGATTATAAATAAATGTGTGTGATTTGACACGATCGTATTCATGGATTTCTGTTGTGTTGTGTTGTGTTATGTACTTACGTTTAACGAAATTCGGTGCTTGAGCGATAATCAGGCGATGGGTTGTTTCTGTTAGCAGGTCTTTACTGGAGTTTGGAATGATAAGAGCTTAAAAAAAATTCGGGTAATCATAAATTTCTTTGTTCCTTCATCGGTGTTTATGAAATTTGGAGGCAGTTTTGAAGTGCATACGACTTATCGAGTTTTCGTATGCTGCCTACAGATTAATTGGCGAAGATGGAGACAACAATAGATGCCCACGCACTGCTTGATCAAGTTGAATTACATATTATACCGAGTCAAAATAGGTTATACTTCAATAATACTAGTCATTTTGTTCCTCGAAAATATGTCGGACATTGTTGAAAAGAATCTTCGCTTTCTTTTCCTTAATCTGTTAATAGATTGTGATACTTGATAACAATTTGTTTATATTTCCGATTTTTTTTTTTTGTTGCACCCTGTTGAATCTAATAATTGTTGTTTTTGCCGCATGTGTTAGTTATTTATTTCTTTTGTTGTTTTGACGTTTTCTGAAGGTATGATGCATGTGTGTGCTCTGGTAGCAAGATAGAGAAAGTAACATCAGGAATTTTGGAGCATCTGTTATTGCATTCAGCTGAAATCAAAGCTTTGCATTCAAAAGGATCCAGTGCCAAGTATAAACTCAGCCGACCAGAAAATTCACACGACATCAAATGGTTTACAAAGTCGACATTGATAAGGTATAGCAGATACTCTTGCCTTCTTTATTTTGCTTCCGGTGGAGATAGAATATGGTCCTATTTGCTTTACTCAAAATTTTATTTTCATAAAACAGGTTTCTCCGTATAATTGGTTCAGCAAATATACTGGACGTTACCAGTTCCTTGAAAAATGAGATATCTCAGCTGGAGGAAGCCCGTAAATTTCATCTTTCACTTTATGCAAAGGTAAAATCAGTTAATTTTCACCTAAATTCATATCCTTAGAATCCAAACTGATGTTTTTTTTTTCTCCCGTTTACCAGGGTAGAGAATATCAGCTCCAGAGTGGAGAATCTGGTTAGTGTGTGTACGTTTTTGTTAAGATTGAGGTTTGATCTAATAGTGTTGAGAATATCTTTATGTGGATGTTTTTTGCATACTCATCTTATTCATATGCTCTTGCCTAAGAAAAAGAAAACTCCACAAATAGGAAATATAAAGCTTATATTTACAATCATTGTTGAACGGATACCGAGTTTAACTTTTTTACCACTAATCTTTCTGTCAGATGGCATCTTCACGGATGGTACACGGTCAACTACAAGAGTACGCTATTTTTCTTTTTCCAGCTCAACTGACATTGATAGTTACTGCTTGTATATTTCTTCTGAACTGTCTACATTTTTGATGGGTTTTTGTAGGCTGAAGGCGCAGATGCATCCAAGTAAGATATTGGCTAGCCTGTCTAAAGTTGAAACTACTTGTAAGACCAAAATAACATGTTCTGTATTCTGACTGTTGGGGTTGCCTACAGAAATGAATTGCTGCGGGCCATGGACTTAAGGCTAGCTACTTTGACAGAAGAACTGATCACTGCTTTTGACCAAGCTGCTGGTTCTAGCTATTCCATCGAGGAGATGTCTGATATTGGGAAGTTGTCTAAACATTTTGGATCAGGAGACTTGAGGTAAACTTAGTTTTAAAACAGAAAGCACAGATGTTTTTCCATTTAAAAAACATTGTCTCATGCCGTAAGGAAAAATTTCTAGTTATTGTTAATGAAAACCAATTGTTATGTCTATTCCTTCCAGCGATTCCTTAAGGAAGTATATAGAATTGAGACAAGGAGCCCAGGCTGTTGAAGATTCAAGCAGAACACAGTTGTTGGAGGATAAAAAAGTAAGATCAAAAGAAGGGAATAATCATGCCACTAATTCATCGTTTTCAGATACGCAAGTAAAATACGGTGTCTCTCCAGCAAAAGTTGCACAGGTAGAGAGGCAAAACTCTACAGAAAGTGATGAATCTTCTTTCTCGAGCGAGGAAGAGCCTCCATCCGAGGAAAGAAGTCGCACTCTCGTAAGATCTGCTTCACCTAGGAGATCCGCATCTCCAATGCGAAGGGTACAGATTGGACGGTCTGGATCTCGAAGGTCTACTGCCATAACTATCAAGAGTCTCAACTATTTTCCTGGCAGAGAAAGATCGTCTTTCCCAAAAGACCCTGCTGAAAATGACGGTGATGAAGAAGGACTTGAGCATGTGCCTAGAAAACCAGAAAATAATGTGCGGAGAATGAGTGTGCAAGATGCAATAAGTCTTTTTGAAAACAAACAAAAGGACCAAACAGTAGATATTCAGAAGGCTAGATCATTGTTGACTGCATCTATCGGTGCAAGCAAATCTGTACTGAGAAGATGGAGTAGCGGAATGGGTGAAGAAGATTCTTCACAATCTCCCCGAGATACTTCTGCCGAGGATGAAGTTACAAAGATTCAAAATAATGTCGAAACAGAAATTCCATATAGTTCACCAGAGCCTGAGGCTGAGTGTCCTACTGAGCCCCGTGGATCAGATGTCAAATTGGACTTGCATGAAAATGGAGCGCATAGTCCGGTAATTATGCAAGAGGAGACACTTCCAACTGAATCAACCGATATTAATGACAAATTAATTGCTTCTTCTGAATGGAGCCGTCAAAAGGAAGCAGAACTCAATGAGCTTCTGATGAAAATGATGGAAACTAAGCCTGTAAAAAGCCGTACTGTTGTCTCTGCAAGCAACAAAAGACAAAGCTTGCCTTCTGAGAACAGAGGCGGTTTTTACGATGACTACAAGGAGAAGAGGGACGAGAAACTTCGGGGAGAAGCTGCTAAAAAAAGACCTGAGAAAGACAAACAATTCAGAGCTGCGCAACAAATTCTTGATGTTAAGAAATCACAACTGATGACCTCAGCAAATGCAATCGACGCTGGTAAGAAACAAATCGTGAAAAAGCTCCAGAAGCCGCAGAAGATTGTGTCTTCTCAACCTGCAAATCCGAAGATAGAAAGCCCAAAACCTGCAATTGTTAAGAAAGCCTCTCCAAAGGCATCTTCTCTGCCCGCCACACGTAAATCATGGCCATCAATGCCATCACCAAGAGCCACAGGGGCATCACCTGCTAAAACCCCTGTTCCAGCATCTTCTACCGGTCCAAATGCAATGCCAACTCGTAGAAGATCACAGCCAACAACACCAGTTTCTCATCCGAGTTCAACAATAGACAAATCTCAAACTCGGGTTAAGTCTGTGAAGTCGAGTCAGAGTGATAGCAAGAAACCTAGTGCTACTGAAACAAAGCAGCAGCACTCTGTGACAAAGCCTAAGAAAACAGCCAAGAGCAAAGTTCAATCTTTCCCTGAAGATCTTGCTTCCTCAACAAAACCTAGTTTATATAACAAAGTCACCAAAAAGAGCAGTGTTGTTCCACTGGAATCAAAGCCTTTTCTTCGCAAAGGTTCTGGAACTACATCCGGTGTTAATCCAGCTGTTAAGAAAAAAACATCTTCTCCTCAGGAACCATTGAAACTGTCTGAAGATCTGACCATGGCCGCTGAAAACGCAACAGTTTCTAACTCTTATGATATATTGATAATTGAGCATGAAGAGAAGGAAATTGAAGAGTTGAAAATAGATGCGGGTATTGAATCTGTGGTCTCCGCTTCAAGAAGTCCCCATAAATATGAAGACAACAGAGACGAGAATGAGGGTAATCTCGGTAACCCCACCATGGACGATGTCATTGACAAGGCGGTAGAGCCTGAATTTAAAGGCGAGGAGGCCGAAGAAGAAGAACCCACTATCTCACCTACAGCTTGGGTTGAAATAGAGGAGCACGAAAATCACACTGTTCTCTCTGGTGACCGTGGTTGTGAAATAACGGGTTCACAAGCATCCTATGTAACCCCGGTTGGAGTGGCGAGTCCTCGAGTTCGTCATTCTCTTTCGCAAATGCTTCTTCAGGAGATCAGCGAACATGATGCTGACTGGGGGAATGCTGAAAATCCACCACCGACGGTCTTCCAAAAAGATGCACCCAAAGGATTAAAGAGGCTGTTAAACTTTGCTCGAAAGAGTAAACCCGAGGCAAATGCATCTGGTTGGTCCAGCCCCACTGTCTTTTCTGAAGGAGAGGATGATGCTGATGAATCAAAATTTGCGAATAAGAGAGGTGCTGAAAATTTGAGGAAATCAACCCTTCATTCAATGAATAACGGGAACCAGAAAAATTCGACTATTTACGAACACCCTGGTACTTCTCTTTAGATGCTAAAACTTAGAATCTTGATGTAAATAATTGGTGTATAAAAGTAAGTTAATCTGCACGAGTATAGACCCATTGAAAACCTAGAGCAAAATGATTACTTAGAAATATTTCCGAGGAGGCTTCTTTTCCAAAATGAATCCACTTCATGCTTATCTAGTGTTACATTTGGTCTTGTTCGATGAATATATGGATTTAGTTTATCCATAGATGAAATAAACTATTTTGCAGGTCAAACAAATATTAGCAGACTCCATGCTCAGAGTTTATCTCAGCAAATTCAGGATGGCCATGTTTCAGCTTCCGTGACTACGACGAAAGGTTAATTGTGCTATATGCTTTCTCCATACGTATGCTGAATATTTTTAGTTACGTCTTAATTTCTTTATCTTGTTCTGCTTTGCCTTTCAGCTACAAGGTCGTTCTTCTCTCTTTCGGCGTTTAAAGGCAACAAGTAGTAAACTGGAGCTAAGATAACAAAACTCCGAGTTCTACATAAAAAATGGAAGATTTTAATCGGGGCATTTTGTTCGAAGTATAGTGCTGCTTTGGTATTTTATTTTCCAGAAGGCACTTCTACGAGCAAAATGGACCGTCTTTCTGCTGCAGCAAGAGGTGTTGTAACAAGTGTATTTTGTAGATGTGGTGTCTGATTTGTTCCAATGCTTGAATTGATTGTAGCTTGTAAAAGAAGTGATGATAGAAGTTTTAGCATTTGCACAAATCACAACAAATTTGTATTTTTTTTCTATCTTCTGTCAATCATTCTGTTGTATTTGTGTCTCTTTGTTCGACTGAGATACAAAATTATTTAATGATTCGAATTTTGCTCGTCTTCTACTAGTCGATGCACATTAAAAATAGCTCTTTTTTTTCCATGCAGGCAGCTATGGTATTCAGTTATAACTATATTTCATATTTCAAAATAAATAATACATATCAAGCATGCAAGATTATGTTCTTTCATTCATTTAATGTTACCGATATTAAAATACGAGATAAAATACTATGTGGAGTAAAAGAACAAACGGTAATAAATTAATGCAACTAGCTGAATATAGATCTGGTTAACACAAGGATACAAATTAATACAACTTGCAAAAATTCATGTGGTCGATAGAGTATAAACATAACAATTACTGAAGTGTGGAGGCTTCCCTCTTAACTCTTAAGGTACCGTAAATGTGGAAACATGTTGTCTGCATGAGATCCATAATATTGTGAAAATATTGCAACAGTTCGACTTGTATTGTCTGCACCATTTTTAAGACCATTTGATAACTGGATTGACGCGAGTTTAATCAGCTCATTCCCAATGACGATGTGGCTTTCACCGTAGAGCTTTTCCAAGATCTGTTGCCAAAATATTTACCAAAACTTTAAAATATTGAAGAAAAAAAAAGGGCCATCAATTCATGTATAAAGCGTATATACGGTCATAAGATACAAGTGACACATATCTCGAGCATTACTTATGGCCATTCGTGACACATATCCCATAGATAATTGGACAAGTGTTCTTCAATCCAAATTCTTTTGCTAGTTCGAAAATCATGTTTAAATTGAAAGGTTTACCTCTATTGAAGCCCGACAATGTTTCAGTGCAGCTTGGAATTCTCCAATCGAACAAAATGCTTGTGCGATAATATCTTCCACCTGACAACACCAATTGACTTAGTCGAAACATTTCAATGCAAATCCTACTAAAAGTATTGAAAATGGGTTGGTTATATTATATATAGTACAAAAATATCCCGATGGAAAATAATAAGACATTAATATCATAAAAAATAGGAAGGTAAAACTAATATAAAACCATAAACCACCTCAGCTATTCTCTTGTTGAAAGGATGCAATACTGTTCTTAAAATATCAATAGATTTCAACGCGTCCACAACTAAATCGGTTGCAATTTCACCAGAAGCTACTGCTTCCTGCAATCTGAACAGTAAAATAATCGAGTTAGATGTGTAGTTATTATAAATGTGTAGTAAATTGAGACTTTCGAGTTTATCAAACTAAGAAATTTCAGCGAGAAAATTCCACCAGCAATACCTTCGGACACGAATCTCAGCTTTGACGATTGTTTTTTGTGAAGCTGGTAGATCACGAAAAGAGCCACAACTCAAACAATGGCCTGGCTCAAAGCAACGATAGTAATCATTTTGCTCAAACACATGACTAGCTACTCCGCCGATCTTATCATCCTTGAGGATATACTGCTTCAGTAGAGAACAAAAAGAAGATGAGAGATATACTTAGTATCACTGTCATCATCATTTTTTATGCCATAGTAACCTTCATCATGCAAATGCACGTGATTCATTTTCCGATGCTTATCAAAGTAAACAAAAGATGTGATAGTGGGAAAAAACAAAGCAATTCTGCATCATGTAAAGAATGTACAAACTCACAAGTTGGACGGATTTCAATGCTGACTAAATAGTTCATTATGAAAGACTGCCCGCCTCTTTGTTGATTGTATGTTTCTTTATGAAAATTGTTCAACATAAAAATGATTGAACAACATAATACCTGCAACGAGTCTGGTCCTTTGAAATGTTTGAGTTTTTCCTTCTCGTATTTAGCAACACAGCTCTCCAGGACTACTCCAGAACAATTTGGTATACTACACCGGTAACCAGTATGGACAAGATCAGAAAAATTCAGTTGTGAACAACCACTACACTGACAGATAAACGAGTATCGCTCTTCCAAAAACTTGCGACGCTCACTGCAATCCCACTGCCCAACCTGTTATGAGTAATTAATCACTTAGAACAAAAATCTGCTTGTATCACTATTATTGCTTATAGAATGAGTAGAAGAACTCTGTTGCTTCGAATTGTACCCATTGTATTGCCCACTAACACTATTTTCTCATAAATCAAAAAAGTAGTTCTACATTTAAACACAAAGCAGTATATATATCCGGTTGTACCAGAGCAAACAATATAAAGTCCAGTTGCATCTTGTGAAAATTGTGATTTTTATGTTACTAAATGAAGATCTGACTACCTGAGGGCCGTAAGAGAGTTCCAGTTCGGATCCTGCTGTGACATTTTCTGTTGCTCGCATGAAGAGGGTACGTGAAAGAAAATATGCGTGAACATTTGGCACGCAAGAATGGTTGAATAAACTGCCACTAGAATATACAGCTTGAGCCACTTGAACCTATAAAAGTATCATTCAGAACATTTTAAAAAATTCAGCATCTCAATTTAAACAAATTGATAAGTAGAGATAAAACCACGTTGTTTAGTTTGCACAAAAAAAAAATTCACCAAACGAGAAATGACCTGTTATTTCCGAAAGTTATCAGAGTCCAAGAACAAGTGTAGACAATAATAATGCTCTTATCAGCTTATTTTTATAGTCTCCAGGAGGAGATATTGTATTCTTTTTATTAGAAATTCACTATGCTCACTAATAATATCAAACTGCTGGCAACATTGATGATGTAGGGATGATTCAATTTGGATATTTCAATAGTTCACAGCAACGAGTACCTGTTCCACAGAACTTGTTGCATTATAATCTAGATTCTGCCTTCCATCTGGATGATTCATACGAACAATTGCCATGGAATTGACTCTAATTCTAGACAGAAGCATGATAATCTGCAATTAAAAACAATAAAACTGAAATAAGACTCATAAGTGTAGCTTTTCATGACAACCAAGCAATGCGATCTACCTCTAAAGTTGTGGCCGAGTTTAACGGAAGCTTGGAGGCATAAAATCTTTGAAGACAACACAGGAGAATAATAGAATAAACATGAAACTCCAATTTGGTTTCATACGAAAGTTTCCCGTAATTTTCACAGAGATCCTAGAGATAAACAAGGCTGTCAGCTTGGACCGACATAATTTTACTTTTGGAGAAGTAAAAAACAAACAGAAGCAAAATAAAATAATTTTTTTTTATACAAGTACCAGAATCCGATTAATTTTAGAATCAACGCCACCACAGCTCTGTTTTTCTATATGCTTCACGAGGATGCGGCCAGCCAGAACCACATCAGACGGCAAAACTGCAGGCCAGTGCATACCTTGACACTCATGTTTATGTTCAGCAGCATGTTCAATACTTGAACTTGAAATGTCAGGCGAAGTCACATTTTTAGCATATTGTTCAAGATCATCAGATAACTCTTGTGGAAGCCTATATTTGTCCTTACACAGTGAAAAATCTTCTCCTCCTGCTTGTACTTGACAATTTAGAGAGCAGTATAATGGAATTGAACATGAGACGCAGGGCACTGTATCCGCTGGTAGTTCATTGAAGCAGAAAGCACAATGAGTTTCCCGACAATTCTTCAATATAATCTGCAGCACTACGACACATGAGAAATAAACGACATTCAGCAATTTCAAATACAAGTAGGTTTTTTGCATAGTTACTATTCTACACCCCAAAAGTAATTGTGTGTTTTGGTTTAACTCAGTGGACGACAATGATGCCAATATATTCTAACTTTCACCACGAATATGAATTGGAAGCATAAGGTCAGAAACATAATTGTTTATGAAGTACGCTTGATTAAGGAATCCATGGATATTGGTCGAGTTAGTAAAATATTGTTCAAAATTAATAGAAACAGTTCTCATACGCTGGGTATTTTTTCTTAATTCGTACCGCAGCATATGGATCTTCCTTATGAATTAAAGAAGCCAGGGGAATGTCAGTAAATGAGGTCATTCCCCTCCCTTTAGTAGTTGTAGAGACATATTTGAGTTCCATCAGAAGACGTTCCTCTGTCACATAAGAAATAATTGAAGTGAAAGACATTAAATGAGGTGGCAGAATATTAATGAATTAATGGGCAGGTGAGAAAATAAACTACTGAAAAATCTTATAGCAGGATCTCATAAGAGTCAAAACAAGTTCAATAACAAATGTCAAACTATAATGGAATGCCGTGAAAACTGAAAAGGTGAAACGGATTGCAGATAATAAGGAACATATTGGAAGATAAAACAGAAGCTGCTTATCAAATGAACATAAAAATGAAGAAAAATTGAAATGAAGGTGGTGCCAAGAAAACCTGAGCTGTCATGATATGGTTTCTCTATAGCACGACTTAGCCCGGATTTGTTCAACAGCATATTAAGTTCATTTTCTATCTGTTTTTTTCCACTCGAGGATGTCTCTATCTTCAGGGAAACAGTCAAATCCTTGATAGCATCTTCATAGTTGCCCAATGAAGAATTTGCCTTAGCTCTCCTAAACCATGCCTATAATACGACGTTAGATCAGAACTTCAGTGATGATACAAAAGGATAGAAACTTAAAGTAGGAATGTTAGATTTCAGTGAAATGAGTGAAGATAAATGATGGATCTAAGAATTCACCTTTGCATAGGCTGGGGATACTATGAGAGCCCGGCTGCAATCTCTCAGACTTTCCAGAAAGAATCCCAATTTCTGAAGATAAACCAGAAAATAAATTTGTTAAATATCGATCGACTTTCGTAGAAGTACGTAAATCAAGATGATTGCATCAAACACATCAATCTCTACGAGAGAAAAAAAATTCTAAAAACCAAAAAAGTTCAAAAAAGCTTTTCATTACCCCCAGATATCGACAGGATGAACAACGAATTTCTATGTACAAATTTATGAAATAACTTCAAAATCATTACCACTTGGTAACACATGTGGGCCATGAATGATCACGAGTTAAAACTCACATGCAATGTGGAAGCACGATTAAGGTACAGCATTGCAACAAGGTTTTTCTCCTTATCTTCAACATCTGCTGGAGCAGCGCGCAGTGCCTGTTTATATTCATGTGAAGTGAAGGAAGACAATGAACCACCTTAATCATTATCATTTAAAGCACAAAAAAAAAATACACCCTTTGAATCCTGGCTCGTTGGGCTGTTTCTAAACTAACAAATACAAAGCAAGTCCGTTTGTGTTTTACAAATTACCCTCAATTTTCGATAGCCATGGTCGATATAACTGGCCACATTATGTGGTTCCTATGCAATTAAATGCTTTTGCTAATGTAAAAAATTGTTTCAACACCAAAAACAGATAAATCAAATTTCACGTTTTCGCCCTTGAAAAATCGGGATACAGACTGTAAAATGCAGTAAGTAGAAAATCAAAACCGACACCCCATTTTCTTTTTTTTTTTCCAACCTGAGAGTAGAAATGCAAAGCAGTTGAATATTCCCCTTTGGAAAAGCACTCATTGCCTTTGGCCTTGGCCTCCATAGCAGCTTCCTTATTCTTTCCGCAGAGCGCCTTTTCTGGGTCCGTCAATTCTCTAACCATCTATCAATTTTCACCGAAAATCAGGGGGCAAAAAACAAAACCTAAAAATAAAAAATACGATTTCCAATTTTACTAAAGCAAAGGCGTACCTGGTGAAAGAGGGGCAAATTTTGGAAGAAATTGAGGAGGGAAGAGCATGTGCAATGGAGTTCATCAATGGTGCTCTGTGATATTTCCAGTTTTAGAGTTTCAGGGATCACTGATTTCAGCTTCTCCATTGTGAAAAGACGAGGAGCCAAGGCAATTGTGAAAAAATAAAAATTCAAAATTCCTTTCATTATATATTGGGTAAATTACACCTACCTCCCCCGAGGTTCAGTGTAATTATAATTAGCCCCCCTATAATTTGAAATGTTACGCATGCCTCCTTTCGGGTCTTACATATTTAATACTTGCCCCAACGTTTTTGATAATCCAACTTTACCCTTAATTAAATGGGTTAATTTGGCCCAGCCCCACAAAGTCAAGTTTCACTACAAATAGACCCAATCATTAATGTTTCATACTTTCATTTCATTTAGGCCTATTCAAAACCGAGTTCCCAAAATACCCCTGCTAATTTCATTTGTGATAATTAATTTCCTACAACCATTTCTGCATCTCGATCGCCACTACGATTTCTTCCTTGCTTCGCGATCTCCGATTGGTCGGAATTTTCAATCTTGTTGACCAGCTAATGCTTGTTAGATAACACATCTTTAGGTTGCTAGATTAACTAATGTTTATTAGCCTCCGCTATTTAATCAATTGAACCTTATAAAAAGGTAACCTTAAAAAAGCGTATAATAATTAAGAGAGTGAAATTATATTAGTTGAAAATGTATTCTATATTTAGAACATTTTATAAAGAAATTTCACGTGCAAAGAACGATTAGCTCGGCAGGGTTTGTGGATATAGGATTATTAAATTAGATTTCACAATCTCAACATTCTGCCCAAGATAAATTATAAAATTATTGAATAAATATTATATTAATAATTTAGTAATTCTATGCATATTTATCTATTTGCAAGTAGATATAAGATGAGGTATGGGGCTTAGCTATAATAATAGCTAATTCGTAAATCTCAACTACTAGCTACCCTCTGAGTTAGCAACTCAAATTTTATTGCTAGATCTGTAATCGCATCTCAATTAATATATATATATATATATATATATATATATATATATATATATATATATATATATATATATATATATATATATATATATATATATATATATATATATATATATATATATATATATATATATATATATATATATATATATATATATATATATATATATATATATATATATCATTTGATATTATATTTTTCATACAGTTGAATCTCGGTAAATTAATAATTTTGTTTAAATAATAATTTTTTTCGATCCCAACTCAAAAAAAATGTATTAAGTTATTAGCTCAGCAATTTAATATTTCGCTAAATTAATATCATTTTGGTAGTCCTGTAATTTATAGAGGTGTAAGTGTATTATCCAATAAACAAGATAATGCATGGAATGATAATAAACAACACACATGTATATATATAGAGAGAGATATATTAATGCATGCCAACCAATATAGGATTTAATTTAATTTTTTTAGCAGTTATTCATCTATATAATCCTCTCTCTTCAACTCAAACTACCATTCCATCCCAATCCCACTACAGTCTACATATACACAGAGTCTAGAGAGAGAGTTTAGAGAGAGAGAGAGAGAGAGAGAGAGAGAGAGAGAGAGAGAGAGAGAGAGAGAGAGAGAGAGAGATAAGCAATGTCAGGTGCTAACGTTAAACCCGTTGAAGAATGGTTCGAAAACCTAGGCCAAGCAAAGGAAACCCGGACCAAGATCCATTTCTACTTCCAGGATGTTCTCGGCGGAGAAAGCCCCACCGTGTACAAGGTGGCTCAGTCGGGCATCACCGCCACTTCTCCGACCACTTTCGGCCAGATCAGCATGGTCGATGATTTGCTCACAGCTGGGCCCGAGCCCGATTCGGAGGTAGTGGGCCGGGCCCAAGGTACAATCGGGTTTGCTGATTTGCACGACACCGCAATCCACATGGGCCTCAATATACTGTTCACACAGGGAAAGTACAAGGGGAGCACCGTCACTGTTTCGGGTCGGAACCCGATCTTCGAAACGGATCGTGAGCTGGCGATTGTTGGTGGCACCGGGTGTTTTAGGATGGCGCGTGGGGTTGCGATCAGCAATACTCACTCGTTTAACGTGGAAACTAACTACGGTGTTCTTGAGTACACTCTCTACATCACTCATTACTGATCATCGTCGTCATTGCGTCACTGTGACGCATCCATGCAGATTAATCTCGTTTTTTTTTTTTTTAATTTAAATAATAATTAATGTGTTGTTTTGATTTTTGGCCAATAAAATATGTATGCTGCTCCCTTTGGTAGTGATATATGCTGAGGGGTTGTATTATTGTGTATGTCTATTTGAATTTTATGAAATTGCTTTTATTATTATAGTCAACAAATACTTTTTCTTAATCTTTTACGTATATAATATTCAGTGTACTATTAGTTCAATGTATTATAAAGCTCGTTTCTCGAACTGAAGTTCTTAAAGCAGCAACGAGATTGAGTAATTTTATATTGAGCTACGAGAAAACTATACAAGAAATTCTAATTATATTAAGAAAAATGAAAAACAAAACGAGATTGATGATGATACGAAGTTCAATAAGAATCAAACGACTATTTAAACTATATTTTATCAGACCTTCATAGATCTATACATATTATTTTTATGTATTATTAATTAATTTATATAATATATGGGACTTCGTAAAAAAATTCAATTGAGTGAATTATTATCGGAAGAAAAATATTATTCAATTGAAATTATTAATTTATTACACGCTGTAGTTGAATTGTACTTAACGCATTACTCATCAAAGGTGATTAGTATTAATGTTTTGTTTCTTTCAAGAAACAATTGAAATGGCAATATAAAACTTTGTTAATATTTTAAACAAGTCAATTTAGAATGTAGAGAGAGAAATTCTGAGGTGAGGAGAGAGAAAATAGTGAATTGTGAGTTGTGACGGTGAAGTAAAGATAAAGAAGTTTTTTAATCGACTTTACTCGACTTTACATTATCTCAGTGAGATTTCTCTAAAACCCTTGTTCTTCCCCCTTTCCTTTCTTCCTCTAATTTTCGCCGTCGGATTCATTCTGCAATCGGCCCTAACTTTGTAATTTATCTCATTTTCTTCATTGCTTTCAATTATTACTGTTCTTACGTTTCATCTATTCCTCTCTTTTTTTTTTTTTTTTTTTTTTTTTGATTTATGCGATTTGAGGTTTCCTCTAGGTCAATTCGTAGTTGAATTCTTCGAAAATTGTCTTGTTTTTATCCAATTTATTTATTTTTTGTGCATTTTCGGTAATAATATTTATCCTGCAAAATTTGATTTGGAGCAATTGTATTGATGGTGGACAGGCATAAATGGCGGCGCAATTAGTCAGAGAATGGGTTGGAATTGAGCAGTTTCCTGCTGCCACTCGGGACAGCGTGGTCGAATTGTTGGCAGATTTATTCAAACAGGTTCGAAATTCTTGCTTTGATTTTACCTTATTGACATTGCATTACATACCTTTTGGCTACCCGAAAAGCAGCAAATTTTTGTATAATAAAATACAGGATTTCAATTCTCATGTCAGAAGATTATAGAAAATCTAATGCAGTGGATAATCAATTGTCTATTTACTTATGCAATGCGTTTCAAGCCATTCGTTCTAGGTGGTTCTATCAATAGCTGTTTACGTAAACTGAGTTTTATGAAGCAACATTATTTGTTACTTCTTGTAGAATGTCGACACATTGACAATCCTTGTGCTGGGGAAAGGTGGTGTTGGTAAGTCTTCCACGATTAATTCAATTATAGGCGAGCGAGTCGTAACTGTCAGTGCTTTCCAGGTATTATTATCCGCTGCCTGTAATTTTTTCGAAAAGCATGTTTCTTGTACAATTGTGCTTTTATGTACGATGCGATTTTTAACGACAACGTGTGCATTTTATCTCAGTCGGAAACACCAAGGCCAGTAATGGTCTCACGGTCTCGAGGAGATTTTACTTTGAACATTATCGACACACCAGGCCTTGTTGAAGCAGGATACGTAAGCAACCAGGTGCTGGATACCATAAAAAGGTTCGAACATTGAAGCAGTCACTTTATTTAGCATTTTAGATACATTTAAAATGTAATATTATTACATATCTTGGGTAAAAAAAGGATATCTTGTTTGTTGTTGTAACATTTTCTTTCCTTGGGGTAGCTTTCTTGGTAGGTTCCTTATGACAAAGACGATAGATGTTTTGCTGTATGTGGACCGTTTGGATGCGTATAGAGTGGATAATTTGGACAAGCAGATTGTGAAAGCTATTACTGAGAGTTTCGGCAAAGAAATATGGCATAAAGCAATTGTGGTTCTCACTCATGCTCAGCTATCACCTCCAGATGCATTGAGTTATGAAGAGTTCTTTGCCAAGAGATCCGAGTCTCTTATGAAATGTGTTCGTCAAGGTGCTCGACTTAGCAAAAAGGATGTTCAGGTATACTCTCAGTTTACGGCACTTGATTTTTCCTCTTCTTAAGGCAGGTTCGTTTTCTGTGGTACTGGTACCCTTAATCTACAAAATTTACACTGCAAGGTCGTCATTCTGGAGTGAAAACCTCCTATCTTTGGTGTTTTTCTTTGCTCATGAAAAGATTGCGAATGAGGTTATTCTTCTATAGATTGTGTCTCCAAGCATATATAAAATAGCTATTTAACTTGGGTTAGTCATTAGCAGCTAATCTTTAATGAATATTGCCCTGTGATTTAATGTTTTAGTCAGCAATTCAGCATTGTGGTTTTACGCACTTGGATATGGTCTGTTTAGATAATCATTTTCTACAAAAATTACATCCCGGAGTTTTTAAAAATATTACACATAGGTCCAAATGTATTCTTGTCTAAACAAATTTAATGAATAGTACTTCAGGGGCAAAATTTGATTTCCTATTAATTTTTAAATGATCTCGGCAATCTTCCGTTGGGTCAATAAACAGAAACTCGGAAAGGGGGAAATCTATGACGAAGGAAATCTCTCATGGGTGTTTTTTTATGTTTGAAAGTTAGTTGACATGTTCTGTAAGTCGGCCAAATCTCAGGGGTATTATTTGTAATCAACCCTATTATGATATCTATATCTTGATAATTCAAAGCCCGAGTAAAATATGTGAAGAGAAACATGTCACTGGATAATTGGCATAGGAGAGTAGAAAACCTTAATTGGCATAGGGAGACGAGTTTCCATTGTTTTTATTCTAACTACGATTTTTTTATTGTTCTTAGAATAATGTGATACCTGTTGCTTTGGTTGAGAACAGCGGGCGGTGTAACAAGAATGAACACGATGAGAAGGTATATATATTTTCTTAATAGTAAAACTTCTATCTTTTTTTTCTCGAGACTCTTCATGTTTAACTTTCTAAAAATCATATTTTCCAAATTGCAGATTCTTCCAATCGGCACTCCTTGGATTCCTAATTTAATCCAGACCGTCTCTGAAATTGTCCTAAATGGGCAAAAGGGTATTATCGTAGATCAGAGGTTGATCGAAGGGCCAAATGCTAACGACAGGGGAAAGCTATTCATCCCATTGATCCTAGCTTTCGAAGTAACCTTTTCTTTGCTTTTAAATCTTCGTAATATTTTTACATGGAAGAATTTTCAAAAACAGATTTTTTTTTTGTTTTTTGCAGTACTTGTTTGTCATCAAACCGATTCAGAGGGGGATCAAGAATGATGCTGCTAGAGAGGCTAAGCCTTTGTGGGCATGAATAATCGGTTGAAGAATGTCCGTTTTCTTGAAATAATTTGTTCGGGTTTTTCAGATATTCTCTCGCTTTGTGCTAAGCTTGTTTTCCTTTTCTGGTCAGAGTTATATGTAATTTTTGAAATACAGTACTCACAACAGGGATGCTTCTCCAGGCAGTGGAAATTAGAAATTTGATATGCAGAGCCGTCTTTTTGCATACACCAGTGTTGTCCAATAAATGCAAAAAAAAAAAAAAAAAAAAAAAAAATTCAAAAATGAATTTTTTTTATTCCAATTCCGATTTTGAAAATTCCGGAAGATGAAAATGTGATTCAATTTTGGAATTTTTCAGAAAAAATGTCAAAAATATTAATTTAAAAAACATCATTTGTCTACATCCATATAAAATTGGGAAACCATAAAATTTCCTCCTTATACAAATATGTAATAATATTTATATGATAAATACACTTTTGCTGAATTTTGGATTATTTATAAAAATTAAAATTGGATTAAAAATAAATGGATTTTTTTTTAATGTATACTCTCGATTTTGATCCAATTTGTTTCAAAGAAACTCAAAATCAGAGTTAATTTTTTTACAAATCGTTTCTTTAAATCGTTTATTTATAAATCAGAATTACCAAAAAAAAGATGACGGTTGTGTACGGAAAAGGCCTTTTGGCGCGAAACAGCAGTATATATAAATGAATGCACCTGATATCAGATTTCTCATACGCCACTTTAAACCGAAAATACGTATACCTCCATCTCCATTCAAAAAAAAAAAGAAAAAACTCACATTAAAGAAAACTCCAACAATAAAATAATCTGTATTCTTTTCTTTTTTCTCTGGGATTTTCGAGCAGCATAATTGATTAGCAATGGATGATGTGTGCGATTGGAGACTTCATTCCGATTGGTATTCTCCGACTCGCCTCCACAACAGCCCGGTGAAGTACGATTTTCCGGTAATAATAAAAAAAAAAAAAAAAAAAAAAAAAAACAGTTTCAATTATTTTCAAGGCATTTCTTGGATAATAACTATGATTTTTATTTTTTTCTCTGAATTAAGGGGGATAGGTTCATCCCGAACAGGAGCTTGATGGATCTTGATCAAGCCCATGGTGTTTTGACGAACAAAATTACTAAACTACCCTCCAAGACGACAAACTTTAAAGTTTGTTCCTTTTCCATTTTATTTCTCATTCTTCTCTTCATGTTCACAGTTTATGGTTGAAGGATTCTTGAATAAATTTGTGGGTTTTAATTATGTTCGTCTATGTTTTTTCGTTCGTTTTCGATTGTTTCACTTTATCGTGGGATTTAGTTCCTTTTCCGTGTTGGAGTTTCTTGACAATGTAATACAGATTGTTATTATATATATGAAAGTAGTGATCTTTAAATTTTATGGTTGAGTGATTAATTAGGCTGGTTGGTGTGTTCTTGTTTGATTAAATTACAGATCGAACAATATAGGCGGAATTTAAAAAATCTCACTGTGAGTGCCGAAGGAAGGCCATTTCAAATGCTCGTTTTCAGGGGCAGCCCCAAATCGAATCGAAAATTGAGCCGCGAAATACAACGCAGCAGTGAAGACCTCCCTAGTTATAATAACCCCCCTCGACAATTCCCCAAGGTTCGGTTTCGGTTTCGCTTATATATATAAGTCGAAAAAATCTTGCTCGATTTTGTTGTCCTTGTTTTGATAGCCACTTGTTGAGTGAGTGACTAATATTTTAATTGGATTCTTAATTCTTTAATACAGAAAGAAACTCTTGTTCTCGATGCACCCAACATAACGAACGATTACTATCTCAGCATAATGGATTGGGGGGAATCGAACATTCTAGCGGTTGCTTTGGGCACAAAAGTGTTCTTATGGAACGCAAATAGTCGCGAAATCGAATTGTTGTCCGAAGTTAGTGAGATTAATGACTATCCTGGTAGTGTATCGTGGTCCAAAGATGCAAAAACAATTGCAGTAGGGTATAATTCCTCGAGAATAATTCTCTACGATGCCGAGTCTCTCAAGCCCGTAAGAAAATCTGGTTTTTTTTTTTACACACTATGTACGATGTAGTTAGTGTCTACGAATCGAAGTCATTAGTTTCAATTGTATGTCTTTATTTTTTTTATTTTTTTTTATGCAGGTGAGATCCCTAAACGGTCACCGGGGAAAGGTGGGGTCCATTGCGTGGAACGGTCATATATTAACATCCGGAAGCCGCGATAGAGCCATCATCAACCATGACGGTAAAAAAAACAAAAAAACAAATCCTTTTCTTTTTTTTTCCGTCTTTCACTACTTTTAATCTCGAGTTTGTTTAACAGTAAGAGCGAGGAATAGTGTAGTGTGCCGAGTTAAAGCTCACGAGGGTGAAGTTTGTGGATTGAAGTGGTCAAGAACAGGGAATATACTCGCGAGTGGTGGAAATGACAATTTATTGTACTTGTGGGATTCGTGCAAAATGAGCTCGATGAATAATTTGTACCGATTTGATGACCATTGTGCTGCTGTAAAAGCACTTGCTTGGTGCCCTTATAACTATAACGTTTTAGCCTCGGGAGGCGGCTCTAGTGATTGCTCTATCAAGATGTGGGACATGCAGAAAGGAGCATGCATTCGAAGCACCGACACTAAAGCACAGGCGAGTTAGATTTTTTTTTTCAAGATTTTTTTTTTTTTGAGATCATTTTTGTGTCGAAATGTTAGATCGATTCTTTTTTTTTTTCCGGTGGATAGATATGTGGGTTGCAGTGGAATAGGCATCATCAAGAAATATTAAGTGGGCATGGCTATGGCAATGGCTCTGAATCACAAAACAGATTATGTTTGTGGAGTTACCCTTCGATGACTCGATTAGGAGAATCGATTGATCTTGGAGCTAGAATTCTCCATCTATCCCAGGTTTGGTTTAATGTTGTAAGAAATATTGATGAATGCAAGAATCTTTAAAAGTAATTTCTTTTTTTTTTTTTTACAGAGCCCTGATGGTTTAACGGTGGTCTCGGCTGGAGAAGACGAGACTATTCGATTCTGGGATGTATTCGGTCCTGCATCAAATGCTAATCCAAGGGTTTCATATTTGGATAGTCTTTTATCTCTCAGAGAGTCACCAATAAGGTGACAAAATATGCTGTTTAAAAAAAAATCGATCTCAATCACCTATTAAGTAAGCGTCTGTAAATCAAAGCTCGAAATTTTGGTTTAATACTTGTTATTTGGTATCATGAGACGAAAGAGATATCAGAAAAATCAAAAGCTCGTTGAGGTTATTATCAACAAACAAATTACTACAAATCGATGACCCACGTAATCACAAGTTGAAGAAAAAAACACCAAAGTGTCGAGTTGGTCATAGTATTTATTCAAGAAAATCCTTTCATAGCGAAGGACTCTTAAGATACTTGTCCGATAAAAACTAAAAAAAATAAAAATAACAGCTTCTGCAAATGGGTTCAAAAAGATTCAACTCAAGCAGGCAGAAACAATGAACACAGAAAAAAAAACTCAGGGGTACGATGAAGACTTGTCTTCCCTTTTAACCTGTAAGAGCAGCATTGAGAGCACTGTGTACATCGACACCAATTTGTGCTTCAGCTTTCTCCGCATCAGTCGATGCTGAGTTTAGCTTTTGTTGGAACTCTGCAAGGCCTTTCTGGACCAAGTTTGGGTCAAGGCGGTCAACGGGTGTGGCCTCGATAGCTATTATATCCGCAACAGAGTTTGCATGGATAAATGCAAAACCACCGCTCAAGAAATATTTGCTGATGTCATTACCTTCATGAACTGATATAACTCCAGGCTTCAGCTCGGCAATTGTAGCTACATGACCTGGCAGAACACCCATCTGTCCAGTAGTTGCTGGGATTATCACCATATCAACCTGAAAATCCATAGAAAAAGAGGAGTTTCACTCGTTGAAAATATTTCAAAAAGAACTCTATCACAAGTCATCGGCAGTCAAAATTCCGAGCTTTGTGATCGTCTTAATGAATCTGAGATGGTTGTGTCATGGCAAATCACAAAAAAAAAATCAAGAATATATATAGGTAAACGAGGATGCTCATTATTTTATCACAATCAACTCAAGTAGTTGACTCACTATGGTCTACCGTTGGTAACTATAAAAGCTCACAGGCATTATAGAGCTTAAAAATGTTCTTCTAGTAAAGATACAAAACATTTAGCCTACCAGTTACAACGGAAAAAGAACCCTAAGAGTGAATACTCCAGAAGGTCTCACTCATGAACAGAAGGAAATGTAAGGTGATTATCATGAAACCGAACAACAAATACAACAAACATGTATTATTTGAATTGAAGTTTAAGATCTAAATGGGACTACTTTCGAAATATCTTAATTGTTGGAGCATTGAAGCTGCTGTTACAAATGCACAAGATGCAAAGAGATGTTAATAATCAATGTATGTCACTATACCTAAATTTTTCACAATCAGTTTAGCAAAACTAAATCCATCTGCAAACCGAGCATTGTAACTTGAGGGCATAGCAATTGCAGAAATGAAAATTGTATCCATGATAGCAATGAATTTGACTAATAAATACTATGCAAGTTAATATTTGCCTTTTAGATAACATTATTTAGTTATAGCCAGCTTCAACCAAAAGATGGTTTCCGATCCAAATTTAGAAACCCTATTTCCTGTAAGACAACACCAACTTCCGGCATACTTCAAATACGGTCACATTCTTCACAAAAGAATTTCAACAAATTACACATCCATAAACCAACAGCTCAAGTTCAGCAATTAATCGGACCAATCGATACAAAAACACACATCGCGTTAAAAACCTAGACACAACTCAGTTCCAGATATCACACTATTTTCCTTTTCACAACAAAAATACCCAAAAAAATCATCTTCTCCGGCTCCGGCAGCAAGCTCGATTAGAGAATGATTTATATATATCTATAGGTAAATCAAATAAAGCATACATTAGTGAAATTGGTACCTGTTTGGCGGATAAGACGGAATCGTAAGGAAGCACCAAATTAACGGTGAGCTTTGACGGTATGGTTGACGGAGTTGGTGGACGGGGAGCCATGTATGCGGAGGGTGTCCTTGGGGGATCTATGGTCGGGATCAGTTTCTTCCAAGCGTCAACAAATTTGGAGTCTCCAGACGTCTCAGCCGGTAGATCGGCGGCGTATTGACGAGTCCACCGCATCGTAGCGGCGGAAGCTCGGCTGAGGAGGAATCGTGGACCCTGTCGCAACATTTTGAGGAGGCTGAGTTTGTGTGTGTGTGTGTGTGTTTTTCTGCGTGTGATTTTTATTTTGGGGGAGAAAATGGAGGATCGGAGAGAACCAGAGTGAGATTTGGGAATTTTGGATTCATGTAGCGGACTTCTGACTTCTATTTCTATAACAATTCCAGGCCCAAATGGACCTATATGAGGCCCGGCCCATTACATTCGGTTAATCATAAGACCATTAATTTTATTACAAATAAATAAATAATAAATAAATTTTTGAGGTAAGATCAAATTACGAAAAAACTCATACTACTTGGGTAATTATCATCAACTATGAATTGAATTTTCGTATACGTTCATCCTTGTAGTGAAAAACTTAGTGGAATCTTCTAGATTATATAAAATATTCTTAATGTTGTACCCGTTTTATCCTATGTGAGCTCCACAAGATGATCATAAGATGTGTTTTTTGTCTTGTACATATCAGATTGTGGTGTATTAGAAATAACATTTTTTGAATAAAAAGAGTACAAATTAGATAAGATTTCACGGAATCTTTGAAGATTATGTCACCATAAGGGTGGACATGTAAAAAAATTCATAGTTGGATGCGAGGGTTACAATTACACAAATATGAGGGGGCGTTTCGTAATTTAACCATACCTCAGCGGGCTGATTGTAATTTGCTCAATAAAATAAAAATTGGAGCTTAGTTGAACTGGTTTGTCGGAGGATGGCGGTCGGCACACTTTGGGCGGCGTAAACTGCTGAAATGCCCACACTACCATCACGCAGCGCCGGCGAAACCACCAAATTATCAATAAATATCAAAACCCAACTATCCAAATTCAAGCTCTCGTACTCCACCTCACTCTTCCCTTCCAATCTAAAAAATGCCTTCTCCAAAACACCCACAACCACCGCCTCCGCCGCCGCCGCCGCCGCGAAAACCATCCAAATTGAGGAGGATACCCCATCTCAAAATTCAAATTGCAACAAATCCAAGAAAGCCATAGCCGCGGCCAAACTGATCAACACCAAACCCTGGGCGGCGCCACTAGAATCCCGCCTCTCCACCGCCCTAACCCCACTCTCCCAAACAGCCTTCTTCCAAACCCTCCGCCGCATCAAAACCCCATCAAACGCCCTCCGCTTCTTCAACTGGGCCCAAAGCTCAGGCTTCACCCACAACCACCACTCCTACTTCATCATGCTCCAAATCCTCGGCCGGGCCCGACACCTCAACCCGGCCCGAAACTTCCTCTTCTCCATCCCCAAGAAATCCAACAACACCGTCCCCCTCACCGACAAGTTCTTCAACAGCTTAATCCGTAGCTACGGCGATGCGGGCCTCTACCAAGAATCCCTAAAGATATTCCAAGTTATGAAATCGATGGCCGTTTCGCCCTCCACCGTCACGTTCAATTCGCTCTTCTCGATCCTGCTCAAGAGGGGCAGAATGGGAATGGTTTTCGAGCTCTACAACGAAATGCTCAAGACCTACGGGGCTAAACCGGATTCGTACACTTTCAATGTTTTGATAAGAGGGCTGTGTATGAACTCGAGTGTCGACGAAGCATTTAGAATGTTCAAGGAAATGGAGAAGTTCGACTGCAAACCCGATTTGATTACGTACAATACCATCGTCGATGGCTTGTGCAGAACCGGAAAAGTTAGCATTGCTCGTAATGTGGTGACGGGATTGTTTAAAACATGTGAGGATTTGAGGCCGAACGTTGTTACCTACACCACTTTGATTAGAGGGTATTGTGGGAAACGAGAAATCGAAGAGGCGTTTGATGTGTTTAGAGAGATGATCGGTGGAGGAATTACTCCCAACGAGATTACTTGTAATACACTCATACAAGGGCTTTGCGAGTCTCGAAAGTTCGATATGATAAAAGAGGTTTTACGGGAATGCGGCGGAACTATTGTTCCCGACACGTGTACTTTTAATACCATGATGAATGCTCATTGTAATAGTGGGAATTTGGAAGAGGCGTTAATTTTTTTCGAGAAGATGAAGGAGATGAATGTGAAACGGGATTCGGCTACGTATAGTGTGATAATTCGCGCTTTGTGCGAAAAGGGGAGTTTCGAGAAGGCAGAGGAGTTGTTGGACGAGTTATTCGGTGAGGAAATCTTGTTGCGTGGTGATAATTGCACGCCTATTATTGCAGCGTACAATCCGATATTTAACTATTTATGTACGAATGGGAAAACCAAGAAAGCCGAGAGGGTTTTCAGACAGCTAATGAAAAGAGGGACGCATGATCCTATCGCTTTCGAAACCTTAATCTTTGGACAATGCAAAGAAGGGAATTTTCAAGATGCGCATAATCTGTTGATCTTGATGTTGAGGAGAGATTTCTTGCCTAGTGTGAAGATTTACGAGTCTTTAATCGACGGTCTATTAAAGAAGAAAGAAGCGAATCTAGCACACGACACTTTAGAGAAGATGCTGAGAAGCAAGTATATTCCAAGGGCGTCGAAATTCCACGGCGTTCTAATGGAGCTCGTCGAGAAGGAATATGCCAAAGAATCTGCGGATTTGATGGGGCTGATGCTGGAGAAAGAGATCCGACCGAACGTGAATCTGTCGACCGATGTCGTACGGGTTCTGTTCAAGAATTGTATGAACGACAAGGCGTTTGAGATTCTCACGAGTCTTTATGGAAATAGCTACGTTGTGAACATGGAAGAATTGGTTTCGTTTCTTTGCGGGGGAGGGAAATTGGTCGAGGTGGGTGAGTTGTAGGTGTATGGTCTGAAGAACGACCAGATTGTCGATTCAGGTTTGTTTGATAGAGTTGTGACGAGCCTCTGTAAAGGTGGTATGGCGTTAGAAGGATTTCGTGTTTACTATGAATTGTTGGAGAAGGATGCTCGACATCCGTTGGGGTGCGTTGAAGATTTGAGGAATGCCCTTGTCGATCAAGGTAAATTGACGGAAGCCGATTTCGTTGCTAAGAGGATGACTAGTAATTTTGTAGCAGTTTAAATATACCTTGAATTTCGTCAATTTTGATCCGGATATTTCCAATTTTGGAACAATGATTCTTTTTTTTCATTTTGCGCTTTGAAAGTTTCGATTTTTTCGATCTTTTTTTTTTTTGAAGTGGATATGAATACATAGTAAATTTAAAAATACTATTATTAATATAATTAATTTCTTTCCGTTTGTCGTACCAAAAGTTTATAAAGAAATCGTTCCTGCAGTAAAGATGCTATTACGAACCCGACTCGTAATGAGACTAGCTATTTTACAAAGTGCTCGTGTTTCACATCTACCTTGTAATCACAAAAATATTTATACGTCTTTTGTTACTGAACGAAATTAAACTAGAGTTATTACCTTACGCACATAACAACAAAAATATCTACAAAATCGAGCTCTCGATATCTAACCTGCGCATAATATCCAAGGAAAGAGAAACGAATAATGGCTGTCATGATATACAAAATCAACATCTCGATGTCTAACCAGCTATTATATATATACTCATGGTTTTGGGTCATCACAACTAATATAAATAGGGATATTATGTGTAATAGGGAAAGAGAAACGAATAATAGCTTCACTTTATTGCTTTTCAAATCAAATATACCTTGTTCTCGCAAGTTCTTGACTTGGATTTCGTCAATTTTGATCCTGATATTTTCGATTTTGGAACAATGATTTTTATTTTTTATTTTTCAGTTTGCGTTTTGAAAGCTTCAATTTTTTTTTCATTTACACTTAATAATATAAATATTATTATGTATTTTATATTATAGGTGACGGAAATTTTGAAATTCAAAATTCTACCAATTCCGACCTAAAAATTTTCGATTTCGGAACAATCTTTTCCATTCCAATTTCCAAAATTCCATTTCTGAAAATCACTCTAGGCCTCTATAATTATTATTACTACATCAAAATTTTGAAGACAAACAACAAACAAGAAAAATAATACTCTGATGCAAAAATCCAATTACTGGAAATGTGAAAAATCAGGTGGCCTCGGAATCTTCGGAATCAGGGTCCAAGTACATTTCCACAGCCTCCGAGTTGGTTAGGTTGTCTTCGGATTCTGTTTTCTTCATCTCTTCCTCCTTTTCCCTCTCTGCAGCTCGAGCCATTGCAGCCTCCAGCCTGGCACTTACAGCATCCCACGAAACAAGCTTCTCCATAAACGTAGACACATAATCCGGTCGCCGGTTCTGCAATAATCAAACAAAACGGTAATCTCACTGTTAACACAGTTGAAAACATGTAATAAAAACACAAGCATCACAAATATTGAAGACGAGGGTTAACCTGGAAATCGAGGTAGTACGCGTGCTGTCCAAAGAGAAAAACGAGAATGTTAGAGATCGTTTACAAGTTAATATAAACTTCTCTTTTCTTGTATGTTATAAAACTTAAAACTTGCAAGCACTTACCTCCCAAACATCTACAGTAAGCAGTGGCTGCAAAGAAAAAAAAAAAAAAAAAAAAAAGTAAGTGAAGTACAGTCATAAGTGATAAAATAATACGAAGAAAAACGATGACAAGTACTCACAGAGTAATCCCAGACAAGAGGATTTACAGCATTTGGGCTCTTTACTATCGCAAGCTTTTTGTCCTCGTCGGTTGGGCGTGGATTCACAGCATTACCAACATCGAGTCTATTTGCTTTATCTGCACGGAGAAAACGAAAGGGTCAACTTGTATTCTCATCTTTTATTTCAGTATAAATGTAAAAAAAGGAAACTTCCGGAAGTTCTTACAGACGAGCCAAGCCCAACCGGAACCGAATTGCGTGGCTGCAGCCGCCTTGAATTCATTGACAAACACTTCGAAAGAACCAAAGTCTCTTTTGATCAATCGTAGAAGCTCTCCCGATGGTTCACCTCCACCGCCTGGTTTCATCGACCCCCAGAAGAAATCGTGATTCCACACCTAGCAATTAAATACGACATGTAAATATATTTTAAAAAAAAATCAATGAAAAAATATGTTAGTAAAACGGAGTGTTTCAGTACCTGTGCAGCATTATTGAAGGGTGGGAGGAGATCACCCTTGTTATAAGTAGCTACTATTATTTCCTCCAACGGCTTTAAATCGAGCTCTGTACCAACTATTTGCTTGTTGAGGTTGTCTACATAAGCTCTGTGATGCTTCCCCCAATGGTATTCGAATGTTTCTCGACTCATATGAGGTTCCAAAGCGTCCTACATACTCAGATTAAGGTTAATTAATACTTATCAAACATGTCCAAGCAACAACATCCAATCAAACATAACATATTGCAAAAATTAAATAACCAAGAAATAAATTCCCACAGTTTCATAGTAATGGAAAGTGATAACACAGTTCATCTCTTACAAGCGAGTATGGCGGAGGGCTAAGATCGATTTTGGCCGTTATTAGACCCCTGCAAGCTTTCCTTACACTCCTTTTCTGCAATAGACAGACATTCAAAAGCAGCCTTGTAATAATAACATCATTGGAAGATAACACAACATGCCAAATGCAAGTGTGCAGCTCAATGTTTTCCACTTCATCCATAAAGTTTTAAGTTCTTAACACGAAAAAAACCATATCCATAATACAGTCCCACTGTGACATTTTGTCGAACACCTCAAACGCATCAAAATGTATTGTACAAGATTCAAAAAATTCAAAACCCCATTAATAAAAAAATCAGAACCTCAGCAGTATCACATACTACAGAAGTACTCACCTCATTCTTCTTCAACTGGAGGATGCGGGTCGACCCGGAAAAACCTGCAACGACAAAATCAAAGCACACCAAACGGGTTTAATCAGTTTTACGGAGCTATTAGGCAACTGTTGGCGGCTATTTTTATTACAGAAAAACGGCAAACCTTGGGAGGATAGCAGCCCGCATTGCAAAGGAGTAGCAATGGTTGCCGCCGCAGAAGCAGCCATAATCTCTCTGTGCGCGTGCGAACCACGTGACCAGCGTTAAGAAACTGCCCTTTGGGCGTGTGTATGGCTATGGTCAGGTTTATATATAATCACAAGACGCGATTAATATCTGTAAGCTGGATTTTGGTACGACAAAGAAATGCGTAACATGTACTACTTCGAATTGTGTAGTACAATGAATTGTGGTCTGAAATTATATGTAATCATTTCAACGCTTTGGATTACTTATAATTCTGTTATTCATTTGTGTTTGTTTGAATTTGGCGAAGTTCATTATGTGTAATTTAACTTAAAATATTATACATTTGAATCTATATAAATTAATATGGTCGGGATTATATTAGAGTAATTCTATTAGTAAAATATTAAATTATTGAGTTAATAATTTAACGCATTTTCACTAAGTTGGGATTGGAAGAATTTATTATTTAAGCGATTATTAATTTATTGATGTTCTATTGTATTCACGTATAAGGTGTAATTCGCCAAGCATATGATTTGAAAATTCGATGCATTTGATGCTTTAGAATAAAATTGAGAGAAGTTGTAGTAAATTTTAAATTCAATATGTAAGTACTAAATACACTTATTTTGTAGGGAAAATGTATATGTCACACTCTAAAAGTGTTTTTTTTTTAATTGAATAAAATTATGTAGCACGGAAACATTAATTTCTTAATGTATTTGAGTTTCAGACATGTTTTGTGTACGACACTCGAGAACATGTGACGGACATTTTGCAGTTTTTGAAAAGTTAGAAATATGTTTGAATAGCAAATTTCTAAATATGTTTGTTGTTTCTCTAATTATTAAGATGATTTAATGGGCAATTGCAAATTCAATTGGTAATAATATTTGTTTGGATATATTTGTATGCAAATATATAAAAAATATTTATATACAAATAAAAACTTATATATGTTATATACAATATATTTGTAAATATATCCTTATAATTTTAATATTTACACGATTCCTCCAAGTTCCCGTATCGCCATTTTTAGGCCATGCCGTTTCCCTGTGTTAGTTTTCCTGTTTTTCCGTATCGCTGTTTTTGTGTCCGTGCTACATGGGAATGAAGGCAAAAACAGTTGATTACGATGAATAGCCTATCCAAGAAAAATTATAATTTTAAGAAATCTAAAAAAAATTATTGAAGTATTTGTAATCTATAAATTTATTTGACTAAATTCTAGAAATATATAAAAAATATGGTGATGAAAAAGAAATGAGGACCACCTCAATCTTGAATCTTGATTATAGGAGAAGATTTTGGTTAATCTTTTCTTCTTATTATGTACATGGAAAGGAAATTGCAAAAATGTTGATCACTAAAAAAGAGGCACAGATTGCCAAAATATGTAATTTGAATTATATTTCAAAATCCAAATATAATAGTATATATATACAAAATTTGGACAATTTATTCATGTTATCTACCCACACAATAATCATCAAATAATATTTCAATTATCATAATCCGAATTATTAGAATGCGTTTCAATATTTTCAATTTCAAAAAGCAAGTAATTTTTTATTATTTTTTCTCCAAATAATCCAAAATTTAAGATAAGATTTTAGATATACTTCATATGTAAAAGAGATTTAATCATGAAATATATACAAGTACTTTCCCTATTTAGGTAATTTGATTTTAGTGCACAATTAAATTTGAAGCACCCGCGAAAAAAGATGAAAGTAGGCGTCCCTTAGTAATGAAGAGTTGGGTTTATAAAATGGATCGTCTTCTCCACTAGTCTGCCACCGTTTCTCTCTCTTTATTAATCCTCCTCCTCTTCCTCCACCACCACCACCACCACCACCACCACCACCACCTTCAACGCAGGTCCCTCTTTTTTCCGGCACCCATTTTTAATTAATTTATTTATCTTTGTAATAATTTTCATATTTCGATTTTTTTTTTGTTTTTGCAGAAGCAGAAACAGGGGAGTGGTTGATAATCCTGCGATGTTCACCAACAATGGAGGTGAGTTTTCCTACACACTAAATAATAAAATTGTTATTATTATTATTATTATATGTCTCTGACGTTCGTCATCGGAAAACTTGCAGCGGCGAAGAATTCTGCAGGCGGCAAGAGAAAGATGAAGGATGTTGCAACGGAAACCGTCGGGCACAGCAACCACCATCCTCACGGCAGCGGGCCCCCGCCCCGCCGCACGCAGGTGCAGCAAATACTAAACACCGCCGCACCGCAGAAACCCTTCTCGTTCATGTCACTCCTAACCTCCGACGAAGGTCCCAACTCTCTCGTCCCGTACACCAGAAACCACACCGAAGAAATCGAACAGCTAATCTTCCTCCATGTAAATAATTAGTCCTCCTACTAGTTTTTTTTGTTCGTTTATTGGCATTCGACACCCCTATGTTTTCTCTAATTGTTATAAAATCCCCCCATCTTATAAAATATTAACAAAACCCCCCTATAATTCAATTTCTTTAGCAAACTACCCCTAAAACACACTCTTTAAGTTCGTAACGGATATTTTGCTAATGTATTTAAAAACCGCAGTGCGAGAATCTCCGGCAAGCACTACGGGGAACAATCGGGACCCACAACCAAAAAATCAACCGTTGGGTCGAGGAGAAAGCCGCCAAGAAACTAAAAGAAAAAGAATCGGAACTGCAGCAAAAAACCGCACGCAACATCGAACTAGAGAGGCTGGCGACCCTGTACAAAAGCGAAGCGGAGAGGCTGCTGAATCGATCGAGGCAATTGGAAAGGATGAATACCTCCCTACGGGCCAGTTTGCAGGAGGCCAACGAAGCCCGTCGGTTAGCTGAGACAGAGCAGGAGGACGAGTCATCGTTCGAGGACCCCGATCGGGTGGGGCCCGTCAGGCTCGACTGCAAGGTGTGTCAGCGACAGCTGGCGACCGTGCTGATATGGCCGTGCAGACACCTGTGCGTCTGCACGGGGTGCCAGGCTGTCACCAAATTGTGCCCTGTTTGCTGCGGTCTCAAGACGAACTCAGTTGAAATATGTCTCCCCCTTT